TATGAGTCGGATTTACCTGGAGAGTGGCTGGCTGGAGGTGCCCTGGGGAGACGGCGACTTAGGTGGGTGCAGGCTCCCCCCTCTCTCCCCCGCCCCCTCCCAAGCTGCATGTGTCTCAGGACGGGAATGTTGCTGTCCTGGGTGTGGTGTTTACCCATCGGGGCAGGCTCGCTCCCTGTAAATTAAATACCAGATGTCTGGGAACTCGTGTCGTTTCTAAATTTATTCTGAGTCACCTCCTGCGTGGTGACAGGGAGGCCGTGACAGCAGGCATTTGATTAGAGGGCTGGAACTTACAGCTAGTCTGTAAAAATGATTTTCACACTGAATAATTTCACACTGAATTATCCCAAAGAGTTCAATCGGACATCGAAAAAAATCTCAGATACCGGATTGAAGTCCATCAAGGCTGTGAAGTGGTTGAAGGGTTGTGTGTGAAGCTATCTTATTTTGTTGGATCTTAAGAAAGCTGGCAAACCTTTCCAGCAGGAAGCATATTTGTATGGAAAGATGAGAGAGTATTGAGATCATTTGACTAGAAAAGTTCTAAATTTCAGGCTCTGGGGGAGCGGGGGAAGGGTGAAGACCGAGTTTAAAACAGAAACTGGAACATGAGATAGTCCCTTTGATTCTCACCTCTGTCCAGATTAGTTGCAGAAATTCTTCTAAGGACTTACAAGGAGGTACATGAGGTGGGGTTGCTGGGGAGTTAAGTCAGCAGAAGTTAAACAACAAACAAATAAACAAACAAACAAAAACCCAATAAACATTGTGTTTTGTTTTTCATTGAACAGCATTGTGTTCTGTAAACTACTCCTTTAATAGATTGGTATATCTTTATTTCTTATAGCTTATAGGAAAGAAAATGTAGTAGCCATTGTTGCTAGCTTAAATGCCTTTATAAGTCCTGCTATTGCTTATTACAGTGTGTTTAATTAAGTTGATAACACTGAAAATCATTTCACTTGAGAGATGCTGTTATTGTTCTAGCTGGTTTGGCTCAGTGGATTGAGCGTTCGGCCTGTGGACTGGAGAGTCCCAGGGTTCAATTCGGTCAAGGGCACATGCCCAGGTTGCATGCTCGGTCCCCAGGAGGGCACATGGGGGGCAGCGTGCAGAGGGCAGCCAATCAATGATTCTCTCTCATTGACATTTCTCTCTCTCTCCCTTTCCATTCCTCTCTGAAATCAATAGAAATATATTTTAAAAATAGATGTTGTATTTATGGCGTGAGATTCCTTACATTTTGGAGAAGGATTGCTCCCTGAAGTTCCGATTGAAATCTCCCCTGTTGGCTGGGCTTGCGTTGCAGGAGGCTCAGCATTACTTACTTGTAGAGCAGGCCCTCGGAGCTCATTCCTGATCCCGGCAGCCTGCCCCACAGGCAGTGCTGCCCGTTGGATGAGGACACTGGCCCTCCATTAGATGGCTGCTTGGAGGCCACCCGCCCTGCCTGGCCATCCTTTTCCTCCCCAAGCTTCTGGGCCCCACCGCACCTGCTTTCTCATTTCCTCCTGGGCTCCATTTCCATCTGTCCCCCTCCTGCTCTTGCTTGCCCCTGCTGGAAGCAATAATAACACACAGCAGGGCCCCAGGCAGTGTGCAGGGCTGAGCGCAGCTGGAAAATACTCACCTGGCAGTTACTTCTTCTAAGCTTGGTCCCTGCCCAGTGGGCCGAGGAGTCCCTCGTCCCCCACATGCTGTGTTTTCAGTGGTTTTGTCCCTGACCACCTGCCTACACTGTCCAGCAGATTGCTGTGACATTTAACTTCCGTGTCATGTCAATGGAGGTCATATTAATAGGAATAATAGCAAATACACATAAGTAAGATCTGGCATCAGCATTTTTTCCCCTCCACCATAATGGCCTTAAAAACAAACAAACAAACAAAATAACAAAATAACAGACTGGGACAGAAAGGTATGTGGCAGTCCTGGAAGGGAACCCCAGGAAGTGGGATGTAGGTGGGAAATACATATACTTTGCTCTCTATGTTGGTCCTTGCGTAGCCTGTTTTCTTTCTTTTCTTTTCTTTCTTCTTCTTTTTCTTTTTTTTAAATATATCATTATTGATTTTTTACAGAGAGGAAGGGAGAGAGATAGAGAGCTAGAAATGTCGATGAGAGAGAAACATCCACCAGCTGCCTCTTGCACACACTGTACCAGGGTTGTGCCCGCAACCAACGTACATGCCCCTGACCGGAATCGAACCTGGGACCTTTCAGTCCACAGACCGACACTCTGCCGCTGAGCCAGACCGGTTTCGGCGAGTGTAGCCTATTTTCTAAGTGACCCTTTTCCCTCTTTTTTTTTTTTTATCTTGTGCCCACCAGCAAGTGGTGCTCACAGGGGCCAGAGGGCCACCCCGTCCGCTTGATGGACAAACACACGAGTGTGCAGAAGAGGAGACCGGGTTCCTCGTAGCTGCACACATTGCTCACTTCGCTGCCCCGAAAGGTCTTCATGTTCTCCCTGAACCAGTGAGCCCAGGATGAATCCCAGAAGGCCCCTTCTCAGCGCTCCCGCCCCGGCAGCTGGTGAATTGCCGCTGAAGCTACTGATGAGGGAAGAACGCTTAGAGCTGGCCCATGGGCCCATTTAATGCAGCACAGCTTTTAGAGATGAGCTAAGGGTAACAGACTCCATGAAGACCCTATGCAGGAAGGCACACACGATCCTTATACATATTATAGCTTGTCATTTAAATTCAAACGTACTTAAGCATTGAATACTCAACACCTATCGACTGCTCTGCTGAATAAACAGAACATAGTGGTTTCATACATATGCAATCTCTCTGGGAAGTGAATATTAACATTTTCTCTTAAAAAAATGTGTTTTTATTGGTTTCAGAGAGGAAAGGAGAGAGAGATAGAAACATCAATGAGAGAATCATTGATTGGCTGTCTCCTGTGCGCCCCCTACTGGGGATCCAGCTTGCAACATGGGTGTGTACCCTGATGGGGAATTGAACTGTGACCTCTTGGTTCCCGGTTGATGCTCCATCAGTGAGCCACACCGGCAGGGCTATAATTTTCTTATTTAAATATTCACAGTGAGAATGGATATATGTTCCAGGGCTCCAGAATTTCACTCCTCAGTCAAGTTGTTCAAGGCAATGTATGATTTGCAATGCATCAGATTTCATTTTAAAAGCTACAACTCAAAACATGTTCCCGAAAATAATATTATTTCCAATGGAGACTTTTGCAATGCTCCAGTTTCTTATAAATTATTATCTGGCCACCAACTTCTGTCCTATCAATGGATAGTTACTGGTGTGCAATATTTATTTCAATCCTGCTTCTAATATATAGCAGGAGCGTCGCCTGTGAAAAGAAATAACACACAAAAGCTAACAACAGTAACTCTTCTTTCCGTTGGAAACTCAAGGAGTTGGCTGTCTGGCTTAGTAATCCTCTGGATGAGCAAGAAACATTGCTAGAGGGAAAGCAAACCCAAGCCAGGGAATGCAGTGTCTGACTCATTCAGCTCCGGAGGAAGCCATGTGACGCCCTACACGTGACTTCCTTCCTTCCAGTGCTCAGCGCCTCACCTGTAAGACAGGCATAATCATTGCGTATACCTGACCCAGTGGTGAGAACTAGCTGAGCGGCCGAACACAGTGCTTAGACTAGCTCATTCTCGGGGGGAACACTGTTCAATATTAGCTGTAATTACCATTAGTCATGACTCAATGCCAGTGCATAGAAGACTCTTCCCCTCCCCATTAGGAGCAGTGTTCTCAATAAAATCCCAAGTATCACTGGTCATAAAAAAGGTTTGGCTCAATGGATAGAGTGTCTGCCTATGGACTGAAAGGTCCCGGGTTCGATTCCAGTTAAGGGCATGTACCTTGGTTGCAGGCACCTCCCCAGTAGGGGGTGTGCAAGAGGCAGCTGATCGATGATTCTCTCTCATCGATGTTTCTAACTCTCGATCCCTTTTTCTTTCTTTCTGTAAAATATCCATAAAATATATTAACAAAAAAAAACACAAAAAAACAAGGCTGGTGACTGGCTGTTGACTTCCGTCTCTAGAGTAGATTCACTGTGCCATTCCGTCACCGTGTGGTGTGTGCCCCACATCGCATTCAGTGGCGTGGTTTGGACCTCACTGGCAGGTGGGAAGGCCCGCTGTGAAACCACAATACAGAAGCACAGGCGGACGTGGACTCTGCCGAAGGTACAATGTGCAGAGACGACATGGTGTCGCCTAAAGGACAATGAGTGCCCTGCCGACTTCCCCATAGTTGTCCTGACCCATTGCCAGGTTTTCGGCGTACTTTGCCCACAATGTGTGTCTGACTAGCAGCTAAGCGACTGTTTAAATTGCACTAGAGTTTATTTTACAATTATTTGTTGTATAAATAACATTATTTTGTTGGTTTTTTTTTTTAATTTATTTATTTATTTATTTTTACATATTTTAATGATTTTTTTTTGCCCCCTCCCTCCCTCCCCCATATCCCCTCCCTCCCCATAGTTTTATGTCCATTGGTTGTACTTATATGCATGTATACAAGTCCTTCGGTTGATCTGTTATCTCCCCCAGATCCTCCTCCCCTCCCCGCTTAAATAACATTATTTTGATTTGTTGCAGCCCCTCACACCTCAAGGCAGGGAAACAGCAGAGTGGGGGTGAAGGTTGGGGAGGGTATGGGGAGGTGGTCTGTCCAGCTGGTTCTCTGCTAAAAGTGCCAAAGCCAGAATTTGGGGGGTTCTGTCTGGACAACCATGAGACAGGGGTGGTTTTTTGTGTGTTGGTTTTGGTGGCAAATCTTGTGACCCTAATCCTCCTAGTCTTGGAAGGAGAGAATCCCAAAGGTGAGGGGTTTGGGATCAGCCAGTCAGGATCCTGGAGAGAATCCAGTTTCCTGGTGGTAGGGATACATGTCCTTGTCCCTGTGGGAACCCTGGGTCGGGGGTCCCTGCTCCCCCGGGATCGGTCCTGGCTCAGGGGGCTCGCCCGGACTCAGACTGGTGCCTTCTCTCCGCAGGTTCCTGGGCAGACCGCTCACCTCTCCACGAAGCAGCGAGCCAAGGCCGCCTCCTGGCTCTGCAGACCCTCCTCTCCCAGGTGAGGTGTCTCCTGTGCTCAAAACAGCCCGGCCCTGAGCAGAGATCATGAGCCCCAGAGTCATCAGCTCGGAAATGCTAACACCGCTCCGTGACTCTGTTTAGCCTTTTCAGTTGAACTCACCAAGCGGTCAAGTCTGAGGTTTCTCGTCTGTCTCTGAAAGCTCTTCATGAATATGTTGGTGTCTGCTCTTAAGTCTTAGCATTTCCGGTTTCCTGTGCAGTGTATGCTTACTGACAGACGCACGTATGCAGGAAATCATTGGAATCGCGTGTTATTTATTAAGTGCGTTAAGTATCCTTCGCCCTACAATGTGTGCAGCTAATCCAGTTCAGCCTAAAATATCCAAAAAAAGGCTTGTCAGACCAGCCACCTAAAGCAGTGGTCAGCAAACTCATTAGTCCACAGAGCCAAGTATCAACAGGACAACGATTGACATTTCTTTTGAGAGCCGAAAACCGACTTCTGTGCATGGGCCAGGAAGTTTCAATTGCACTGTATGTGTGCGCCTGCACGTGGTATTTTGTGGAAGAGCCACACACAAGGGGCCAAAGAGCCGCATGTGGCTCTCGAGCCGCGGTTTGCCAACCACTGGCCTAGAGCAGTGTTTTTCAACCATTTTTGGGCAAAGGCACACTTGTTTCATGAAAAAAATCACGAGGCACACCACCATTAGAAAATGTTAAAAAATTTAACTCTGTGCCTATATTGACTATATATAAAGTAATTCTCTTGAATAGGAATCAAATAAACACAAAGAAAGTATTTTATAATTACTTTATTATGAAATATTAAGTAAACAAAATAGTGAAAAATTATAAAATTCTTGTCTTGTCTGCACCTACGGCACACCAGGCAACATCTCGCGGCACACTAGTGTGCCGCGGAACAGCGGTTGAAAAACGCTGGCCTAGAGCATCTTCACGGCAGCTTGTGATGCGTGTGGGGAGCTGCCTGTGAGAGCGATGGCCAGTCATTCCTCCACCTGCCTGCCCATCGCTCGCCGGAGGGAAGGTGGGACCCACAGGGCTCTGCTGAAATAGAACCACTCTGGCTCGGCCTGAGGGTTTTGAAAAGTTGCCAGTGTGCAGAGAAAAAGAGAGAAAACGATTTGCCAGCGCGGTTCAGGCAGACACCCGGACCAGGCAGCACTGCCCAGGTCTCCAGGCATCCAGGAGAGAGGCGTTTCCCCCAGGGCCACGAAAGGAGAGTAGTGTCTGTGGCCCAGGGTGAGGGCACCTGGGCGGGGGACCTGGAGGCCAGGCTGGCACTGAAGGTGAACCCCAGCCTCTCTGGCACCCCCCCTGTCGCTCTCTGCAAAGGGAAGATATAGGGTGAGAAGCCCCTGGGGCCCGGCCACTTCTCTGATAATCACATGGCTGTTTTGTTTGCTCCATCGCTTCATGGACAAACCCTGCAGAGAGGTCATTCCCACCTAAGAGTCACACAGTTCTCAGAGAGGCGGGCAGTCTGAGGGTATTTCCTGACCCGTGTGTCATGTCTGCCGACAGCCCTGCTGGGCAGAGCCAGAGGCTGCAACGAGGTCCTGCGCCTTAGGGAGTCTCGCCTTCCAGAGGCTTCCATCGCCTGGTTCCTAGTGTGTGGCCGTGGGCAGTCCCTCCTCCAACTCTGACGGCTGGCCAGCCGCCTCGGAATGCTTGAAAGGGTCATTTAAGGGATCTTAAAACTGCCACTTGCCAGGGACAATGATTGAGGGTGATTGTTTCCTTGCCTCCGTTTTAAGATCCCTCATGTCCCTCTGGCATTACAGACCTCGGTGGTCCGCAATCTGTCATGGGGATCAGGCCAGACAAGTCTCCTCAGGATGGAGCTTAGCGTGATGGTCAACAGACAGCGAACTACCAGCCACAGCAAGAAGGCAAAGGACTGCAGACCCTAAATCAGAGTTAATTACGTTAGTCTGATATCTTCAGCTTAATTAGAGCTGCGGCCGGCAAACTGCGGCTCACAAGCCACATGCGGCTCTTTGGCCCCTTGAGTGTGGCTCTTCCACAAAATACCACGGCCTGTGTGAGTCTATTTTGAAGAAGTGTTGTTAGGAGAAGTTTAAGTTTAAAAAATTTGGCACTCAAAAGAAATTTCAATCATCGTACTGTTGATGTTTGGCTCCGTTGACAAATGAGTTTGCCGACCTTTGAATTAGAATAATGGGTTTGAAAGTGTTTCGTTGTGATTGAAAAAGCAAGTCAAACCTTCCCTCTATGCTGGGCACCGTAACAATAATTGCTCTCCCTGCGTCCTCTCATTTAATCTCCGTTGCGTTAGCGGCTCACAGGCTCATCTGCATGAAAGACATTGCTGCCTACGGACCGAGGCTCCCAATCCAAGCCTGACTCCGTAGTCAAGGCCACCCACCTCCAGCACAGATGCCCCCTTCCTGCCAGAACTTCCCAAAGTAGATTCCTACAGTCCAGGGCATTCCCCCAGGGTGGGCTGACGTGGGATTTTATAGCCCAACCCAAGAACTGAGCCAGCTTCTACACAGGCTGCAGTCCCACAAAACAAACCAAAAAACCGACAGCGACCCCAGCCATTCCTAAAGAGGAAGAAAAAGTTACCTAAGCAAATGTCAGTCATACTTGCAGAATCTATTGAGCGAAAGGCTTAAAGTGGCACTTGGCCTGGGTAGGTGGTGTCACAATTACGAGCTCAGGTGGCCCTCCATGGCATTCGGACTGGCCTTTCCCCTGAACAAGCCTGCCTTGCCGGGCATTCCTTGGCTTTTAGCATCACTCTTTAGGGGCCACTGTAGAGATGACTTGACAGGACTTGTTCTCACCTTTCAAAACGATTCCTGTCACCTCCAGGGTTATAACGTAAACGCCGTCACCATAGACCATGTCACCCCACTGCATGAAGCCTGCCTCGGCGACCATGTGGCCTGTGCCCGGACTCTTCTGGAAGCTGGAGCTAATGTAAGTCCCTGTTCAATGTTCCCATCAACCCAGGGCTCAAATCGAGAGTTCTCATCCTGCCTCCCTTTCCTTCTTGGTGGTTCTCAGAGACAGTAGGTTAAAACAAAGCTCTCCAACTGCCCAGCCTTCTCTCATTCACACTCCAAGAAGGAACCCCAATCACTGCAAAAGCAGGGTAGCACACTGCATCCTATGGAGTGCTCCATGGGCTGTGCCCTGCTTTCGTGGTTCTCCATAGGAATAGATGAACTTGTTTGTGCCTATAATGTTTGCCCATCTTTTGAATGATTTTCTTTAAAAAATATTTTTTATTGATGTCAGAGACAAGGGGAGAGGGAGAGAGGAATAGAAACATCAATGATGACAGAGAATCGTTGATTGGCTGGCGTCTCCTGCACACCCCAAACTGAGGATTGAGCCTGCAACCCGGCCTTATGCCCTGACTGGGAACTGAACACTCACCTCCTGGTTCATAGATTGATGCTCAACCACTGAGCCACGCCTGCTGAGTTGGATGATTTTCTTTAGATAAGTCCTCAGAAATTTCATTTTCAATTGAAACTGCTCCTGGAAAAGTGGCTTTGTCATCATTTCCATCAATCACTGTCACGTTTGTTGACTTTCTTACCTATTGAAAAGCACCTAACAATTAAATTCATTTTTTGTGTATTTGATCCGTGAGTATGTAGTTTTTTCATCATTTTTATTGTAGGTTCATTCCTATGAGTTATCCACCATATCCTCTTTCTATGTATCTGTTGAAGCTGTAAAGCTTTCCTTACCCATGTGTCTGAGCTAAGCAACCCTTTGTCATATTTACCACCCACGTGTCCCCAGTTATTTCTGTGGGCAGATCCCCACACCTTTAGACTAGCCCGCGAGTCGATCACGTGCGATCCTCCGAATCTCACTCTCAGGTTTTGGTTCGGTTCAGGTCAACGCGATCACCATAGATGGCGTGACGCCGTTGTTCAACGCCTGCTCGCAGGGCAGCCCGAGCTGCGCGGAGCTGCTGCTGGAGTACGGAGCCAAGCCGCAGCTGGAGTCCTGCCTGCCCTCCCCGGCCCACGAGGCCGCCAGCAAAGGTCAGCTCCGGGCAAGTGGCAAGGGCAGCCAGCGGGCCACCTGCGGGGCTGCAAGGACCTTGTGGTGACTGACAGGCTGGGGCTGTGGGCGCAGGTGCGTGGGGGAGGGGCCTGGAGGAAAACGGGTCTGTGCTGTGTGTCCGCAGGCCACCACGAATGTCTGCAGATCCTCATCTCCTGGGGCATAGATGTTGACCAAGACATTCCTCATCTGGGAACGCCGCTGTATGTAGCTTGCATGTCACAGCAATTCCACTGCATCGGAAGCTTCTTTACGCTGGTAAGGTCCTTTCAAACATCTTCCATCCCATCCATACCCACAAGCAAGTATTACAGCTCTTATTTCTTTTTCCTAAAAAAAAAAAAAAAAAAAAAAAAAAAAAAAGTGTTGATTGATTTGAGAGAGAGGGAGAGGTCTGCTGTTCCACCAATTTATGCGTTCATTGGTGGAATCTTGTGTGTGCCCCATCAGGGATGGAGCCCTCAGCCTTGGCATTTGGGGGTGATGCTCTAGCAGCTGATGAATTACTCAGCCAGGGCTCCACTTGTTTCTCTACATAAGCTGCTTTAAAATTATATCTCATTTAAAAAATGTTCTTCTTCTAAGCTTCTCACATATCGGCCTATAGCCTATAAATAAGAACCTCATTTTTTAAAAATCTTTATTGTTGAAAGTATTACATATGTCCCCTTTTTCCCCTCATTGACACCCTCCAGCCCATCCCCTGCCCCAGGCACTCACCACCTACTGTCTGTGTCCATGGTTGATGCATATGTGCATACAAGGTCTTTGGTTGATTAACTCCCACCTACCCACCCTCCCCCATCTTCCCTCCGAGATTCCTCACTCTGTTCCCTGCAAGACTTCATTCTTCTTCTTCTTCTTCTTCTTCTTCTTCTTCTTCTTCTTCTTCTTCTTCTTCTTTAATATATATTTTATTGATGTTTTACAGAGAGAAAGGGAGAAGGATAGAGAGCTAGAAACGTCGATGAGAGAGAAACATTGACCAGCTGCCTCTTGCACATCCCCTACTGGGGATGTGCCTGCAACCAAGGTACATGCCCTTGACCAGAATCGAACCCGGGACCTTTTCAGTCCGCAGATGGACGCTTTACCACTGAGCCAAACTGGTTCCGGCAATACTTCATTCTTGCTAACTCCACTTCACCCCAAAGCTCCAACCCCTCTACTTACAAAGGTCAAAGGTCATAACATTCAGATTTTCACGTTTGAATGCAATGTTGCTAAATGTGAATATATCTGGGAAGAAAACGATCAAAAGAAACTCTAGGGATAGTTAACTGCTTTGTCTCCTTAACCCCCACCGACCCTAACTCCCATACCGTCCTAGACTGTCATCCATCTCACTTACCTGAAGAGACACACTGCCCATTAGTTGAAACAAACAGGTCCTCAAGGTTCAACTCCAGTCCCTGAGAGCCTTCTCCTGACCTTGGGACCAGGGCTGGGAGCTTGGTTAAGTATGGTTTCTCTCTTTTCTCCTCCTCTCTTCCCTCCAGCACAGTGCTTCTCATGGCGGTGTTTAAATAAGTAAATAAGTTTCTATGCTTTTTATTGTTCACTAGAGGCCCAGTGCACAAGATTCATGCACTCAGGACCAGAGGTGGGGGATCCCTCAGCCCGGCCTGCGCCCTCTCACAGTCGGGGAGGGAGAAGTGGGCCTAAGCAGGCAGCTGGACATCCTTAGTGCTGCCACGGAGGCAGAGAGGCTCCCGCCAGCTGTGAGTCCACCTCAAGGCTTCTGGCTGAGCAGCACTCCCCCTTGGGAATGCACTGACTACCAGGGAGCAGCTCCTGCATTGAGCATCTGCCCCCTGGTGATCAGTGCATGTCATAGTGACCGATCATTCTGCCATTCAGTCTATTTGCATGTAAGCCTTTTATTATATAGGATGGCAATCGTTTGAACTCTGATACATCCTGACAGGTCTTTGGTAACCCCTTACTGTTCCTCACAGTATCTTCGCTAAATTACTCATTTCTGGCAAGCAGTCTCCATCTGTTCCACTCCCTTTACTAATAAGACTCATAACACAAGTTCTGCTAATAATCATTGGCAGATTGTTATTTCTGGGCCATGTCTCCCATAAGCTTACATAACCAGGAGAGTGTGTTCTTCGTTACCTTTCTTTACTTTGCTGGGAATATTTTACTTCCATTGAATATTTTATGGGTAGAAGAATACTGAAAAGTGCTGGACAGACCTCCATGCTCAGGCTCTGTTCTCTCCTAACACCGACACACCCAGCAGTGTGTATGCTCTCAGATGGAGATTTTGTTATGCAAGGCAATGTTCCCATTAAACATTTCCATTAGGTTAAAATGTTGGAAACAATTACATTGATTGCACCTTGAGCGTGGCAGGAGGGCCGCTCCCAGCTTAGAGTGCCCTGCTTCTTACCAACAGGAGTTTGACAGACAGGACCAGGGAGCTGGGCTGAAGGGACTAATGCATTTTCATCGATACATTTCTCGGTGTTGTAACCACTTAGGCGCTGGAAAATGGGGTTCTTCTTCTCCCGTACCTCATTAAACAGCGTTTCTCCATCAGACATGCATTCAGGGGCCGCCACGGAGATAAAGGGCAATGCATTAGGTGATTTAGCACAGGAGTTATTTTTAAATGGAAGCACTTAAGACAATTTGCATGCAGGAACAGAATGCGCCTTTCCACGGGACAGACTCGGAGCCTGTGTGCAGTTATTGCCTTCAACTACACGAGTGAGAAGTGACAGGAACGTCTGACTACATTTTACCCAAAGAGCCTATGTCTCTGGAATCACAAGTTTCCCAAGAAACAAAAGAACTCTGTTGCCTTAAAATAAATGAGAAGAAGAAAAGCAATAAGCTCTTGAATTTTCCTGAGAGCTATCAGTCAGGATGCAAGTAGACATGTGTCAACCTAATTGTGCTCTGTTTACAATACAGATGATAGCTGATATGAGGAACGTTGGAACTGTTTAAATTTAAAAGTTATTTTTGTTAGGTGATATTTTAACCATGTCACCTAACAAAAAGAAGAATAGTAGACAGTATAAGAATATGTGCATTTTTCATCCAGATCTACCAAGTTTTAAGATTATGTAAGTGTGTATGTATATGTGTGTATGTTTATATGTATATGTACATGTGTGTATGTTTGTATTTGTGTAATGTTAAAATCATTCAAACCTGTAAAGAAAATTTGTGAGTTTATTTGAGCAAAACGATCCACAATTGCTGGGAAGCAGAATCTCAGCAGATTGGGATAGTGCTCCAGAGAATGGCAGTTTTTCATCTATTTTTATACATCGCAATCAAAGGAGGGACATAGGTGGGTTACATGAAATCCACTGGTGATGGATTAGGGAGGCGGGAGAAAGCAAAGCGGGGAAGTCTCTGGGATTGGATAAAAAATAAAATGATGGACACATACTTAGGTGGGTACCGGATAGTTAACAGTCAACAATTAACAGGATGACAAGGACAATGAAGGACTCTGTGGTCTCCGTCCTGGTGCCCAGCACATGAGGTTGTGCCCCAAGGGGTCTGGGAAAAGGGAAGTTGCACGTTGCCCGGACCTTTCATAGGCATGTTATCACAGATGCAAAAGGACAATAGGCTCAGAGAAGGTGAGGGCTGACCTTGTAAGGGAAGATACCGGCCTAGGACAGGACTGCCCACTATCACTGCCTTTAGTCAAAGTGTAATTTCAGGCCATCCTGTATGGTGACGTTAGGTCTCTAAGTTTGCAAGCCCACCATGCAGGCATCTGTGAGCTGTCAGGGTTAGAATGTAGCCCCTTTCGTATATAGTATGTGTATGCGTGTATGTGTATGTTCATATATGTATGTACATGTACGTGTATATGTATGAGTGAGGCACTCAGTGCCAATGGAGCTGAGGTCCTTTCTGCCACCCCTTCCTCCCTGCCCTGAGGTGACCCTTAGAACATCTCTGTTTGTCCCCATCGTTGTCCTATTTCCCCGTAGGTGCTGACATACAGAAAGGCAAATACTGGGACACGCCGCTCCACGCTGCTGCCCAGCAGTCCAGCACGGAGATTGTCTACCTGCTGCTGGAGTTCGGGGCGGACATCAATGCCAAGAACACGGAGCTGCTGCGGCCGGTGGACGTGGCCACGTCGAGCAGCCTGGTGGAGAGAATGCTGCTGCAGCACGAAGGTAGGGGGAGGGTGGGCATCCGGACCAGGGAGGCGTGTCTGCGGGGAGAGGGAGCCGGGGGACCAGAGACCGCCCAGGGCATGCGAGACAGTAATGCTGTGCGAACTAGAATATTTTTTGTGAAAGTAAATACTTTTTTAACTTAGGTTCTATCGATGAAAAAGATAATCACAATGATCTTAATTTTTTTTTTCTTCATTCAACCAAAACCCTCTATTCCTTTGGCTAAGTTAAATAGATTCGGTTTTGACCCTACATATCATGTAATTCTGTATCATATCTACAATTAAACCCTTAGGAACTCTCCTCACTTTATGGGGGCGGGCACCGTCTGCAATGTGGGTAGAAACATGACCAGGAAATACTTCCACACTTATGACTTAGGTCCAAGATGAAATCTCCCAAGTCCGGCCCAGACACAGTAATTCAATTGGTTTTGGCTTAATCGATAAATCGAATTTGAGAAAAACAATTAGTGCAGGCCCTCCTTTGGTCTGTAGCTCCTTCAAAAAGCAGAATTTGTTTCTGAGGTTTTATTTTTTTTTAATACATTTTTATTGATTGCAGAGAGGAATGGAGAGGGAGAGAGAGACATGCTAGAAACATCAATGATGAAAGAGAATCATTGATTGGCTGCCTCCTGTATGCCCCCTACTGGGGATTGAGGCCCCAACCTTGGTTTGTACCCTGACCTGAAATCAAACAATGACCTCCTGGTTCATAGGTTGACGCTCAACCACCGAGCCACACCGGCTGAGCAATTTCTAGCCCGAAGGCTTCCATGCCTTACAGCAGGTGGACGGAATATATTGTACCTCCATTCTAACACGGTCGTACGAAGGCAGTGTAGATGCTTGCATGAATTCCCTGGTACAGGGGTCATGCTGCCAGTTTGCTACAAAGCTCTGTAGATTTCTCTGGTGTGACTTCATGCACCTTGTAACGTCTGGAGATCCGTGTTTTGAGGTAACGGACACACACCTGCTTGTCTCTTGCAGCCACGCCCAGCTCCCTCTGCCAGCTGTGCCGCCTCTGCATCCGACGCCGCATCGGACGGCCGCGCCTGCACCTCATCCCGCAGCTCCAGCTGCCCACGCTGCTGCAGAACTTCCTGCAGTACCGATAGAGAGTAAACAGCCTCCGAGCCCCCACTGTCCCAGCTCTGCTTCCTCCGCACGCTGCGTATTTCACATTAAAATGTGCTCACGAGGGGGGAGACGTGGCTGGGGCCCCCCAGGGGAGCGGGAAATATCGGTTTCACCTTTAAGTGTCCTAGAGGGCACTGCTGTTTTAGGTAGGCGTTGTCATTGTTTGTGGACATAGTATGTCTAACACACCTATGTGTTATTATTTCCATAGAGCCTTCTGTCGGCTTAGGGGAAAACAGAGTTCTCCATTTTATGGTTTTGTTTTTGAGTGAAAAGGAAATATTCTTCTTTATATGGTGTATTTGAAAAGGTCTATAGTCTTCAAATAATGTGTTCACCTTTCTAGTTTGGTCTGCCATGATTCTCTGTATTTTTATATTAAGACGAACCACGAGTACTGCTTAGCAAACAGCAGGGAGCCCGGCTGGTGTCACTCGGTGGTTGGGCATCGGCCCAGGAACCAAGGTTGCTGGTTCGGTTCCCAATCAGGGCTCATGCCCGGGTTTTGGTCTTGATCCCCCGTGGGGGCGTGCAGGAGGCAGCCGATCAATGACTTCCTCTCTCATCTTTGATGTTTCCATCTCTCTCTCCCTCTCCCTTCCTCTCTCTAATAAAAATCAATAAAAATATATTTTCAAAAAAAGAGCCGCTAGTACTCATTTGAAATAAAGAGGACTCATCGGGGCAGCCACTGAGTGGCACCCGCACTGTCCTTACAACAGTTCCCAGGGAAAGAGAGTCCCTCTCCTTGCAGAGATCTGGTCCAGCTGGGACTGGGAGTTATGCTGCCACCCCTCCCCCCCACACACACCCTGAGGGTGAGGACCTCGCCACCTGCTGGGCTATTTTAAGGCCGCCCCTCCTCAAGGGCAGCCTGGGGAGGTCTCTCTCCAGAGCTTTCTGACACATCACTCCAGCCTCCTCCAGGTTCAGGCATCACCAGCAGCTGGTGCTCCCGGGACCGAGGGGAAGGGACCGGACCTCGTGTCTGCCTGGCAAAGAGGCCCTGCCCTGGTCACACCTCGGGGAGCAGGGCAGCCCAAGGCTTTCGAAAATGGGAGAGAAAGAGCTCCTTAAACTGCGGGGTCCACTTAGCCAACTTAGAGGCCTTAAAAACGGGCCCCCGGGATAGACACTAAGAGGGTGCTTCTAACTCTCCTTAATCAGGCCAAGCTGTCAGCACACGGGAGTGAGGGAGCATTGGGTCAAAGAGGCTACTCCTGAGTCAGCGCCCTCTGCAGGGTGAATACCGTCTTTATTCTCTTGCTTTAACTGTGCTGGTGCCATGGAAAAACCGTGTCTGTCCCCTTCGTCCTCGAGGCCGGAGTTGAGTAGATTACGGGTTTAAAAATAAGATCATCAAGATGCTTACAACTCTGTTAAGTAGAAGAACATATTTTGATGAGGTTTTAAAATTTATCACATTTTTGGTAAAAATAATGTAACTCCTATTTCAATAACTCAGAGGCCCATTTTCCTGTCTCCTTAGTTCTCTTGCTGACTTCCAGAGACCCCTGGGGGATTTCTTGTTTAAAATTCCCAAATCATGACGTTTTGCATCAAAAATCATTTGTTCAGAGTTTCACAAATAGAAAGAAGGCCCAGCAAATGTGTTCAAATATGTTCCTGTGGCTGGAGAGAGACCTTTAAAATTTCTGTTCTTCTGAAATGGTTCTGGAAACATTGTTCATGATAAACCCCAAGCGACAAGACCGGTGCTGGGCACCCAGGAGGGACGGGGTGAGACTGAGTGAATGAACTGCACGCACTGGGGCACGCACAGGAGGTGGGAAAATCCAACCTACAAATTGTTTCCAAATACTACACAATAACACTTCCTGTAATAACCAAGGAAACGGGTGCATTTAGACATTAAACTTTTATTCCGATGTTAAGCATTTTATTAAACATTCAGACATTGAACATTTAATTTCCAAGGCCTTTTTTCCCATCGGTGTTTGGGAGGGAAAGCTGTATGGTTTCCAGTTTCCAAACAACACTGCCCTTGTCCCCTCAGCCTCCCACCCGCTCCTTACCCCGCTGGGCTGGAGCAGGCTGCGCTGGGCCGACACCCACAGGCCTACAGTGAAACGTCCACCCCACCCTGCCGCCCGGCTTGGGGGCGCAGGCTCCACCCCAGTGTGGCCTGCAGGAGGCAGCCTGTCAGGGATTCCCTCATCACTGATGTTTCTATCCCTCTTTCCCTCTCCTTTCCTCTCTCGGAAATCAATAAAAATATAAGCCTAACCAATGGACTCAGACAACAGCTGGCTGAGGGCATGAGTGGGGGGATGTGGGGGAATGGAGGGGATAGGACACATATGTAATACCTTAATAAAGAAATTAAAAACACTTAAAAAAGACAAAAAATTATATATATGTTTTTTGGTTTTTAAATTTTCAAATTTGTTTATTTAAAAATTTTTATTTTATATATGTATATATACGTATATACACATATATATTTTAAAAATGAAAAGTAAACCTCAAGGGGGCAGATAGGAACACAGCCTGAAGCCCCTCACTCCCACCCCAGGCTGAAGCTCCCCTGACCATGTCCACGTCCAGTTCTCACAGGGATCACGCCCCCCAAGGCAGAGCTTCAGATCCCCAAATCAGGAGGCCCAGGAAGCCTGCAAGGAGGCCCAGCTCCCACCAGGCCGGCCCCGCCCTCCCCATTGAGGCCCCGCCCCAGAGGCCCCGCCCCCTTTCTGGGCGCTGCCATGGAAACCCAGAAAGCCACAGGGCAGCCATCCACAGGAAGAAAGGGAAGAGGGCGCTGTTGCAGATGCCACAGGCAGCCCAGGCCAAGCTGCCTCACCTCTCCTCCTCGCAGCCCTCCCAGGCGGGCTCGGGGCGGCCTAGGAAGGGCCTGGTCTACCCGCACCCGCCCCGGCGGTCCCGCCTGTCCCGCTCCATCCTGCGCTGGCTGCAGAGCCTGGACCTCACCTTCTTCCCCAGGAACATCAGCAGGTGGGCCGCAGGTGGACCCGCGCCTGCCTCCTCCAGGCCGCCCGGGCCCACATACACCCCCGCACCCTTAGGGAGCAGCCTGAGGACAGGGTGATAGAGCTTCTCATTCATTCAATCATTCATTCAATCATTCATTCAATCATTCATTCAATCATTCATTCATTCAATCGTTCAATCATTCAATCATTCAATCATTCATTCAATCATTCATTCAATCATTCATTCATCATTCATTCATTCATTCATTCAATCGTTCAATCATTCAATCATTCATTCAATCATTCATTCAATCATTCAATCATTCATTCAATCATTTATTCAATCATTCATTCAATCATTCATAAAATCATTCATTCAATCCATCATTACATTTTACACCTATTCTGACCGAGGTAGGGTGCTTTGGTGACTACTGAGCGGAGAGTATTAAAACAGCCGAGGCTCCTCAGAGTCACTAGACCAGGTCCTGGCTGTCAGGACAGACGGTTAGCTCGGTGTTAACTGGAGCACAGAGTGTAAGTGACTCCATGTCATCTCCTGTCCTTTCTGCCGAGGAGCAGGGATTTCTCCAATGGCTACCTGATAGCAGAGATATTCGCCATACATTACCCCTGGGACCTCAGCTTGGCATCCTTTGTAAACGGCACTTCCTTGAAGGTCAAGTTGGATAACTGGGCGCAGTTAGAAAAGGTAAATTCGCAACCAGGGACAGCTTTGTTCCGTGGGCGCTTTCAACAGTCTGGGTTTCATCGAAACCGGTTTGGCTCAGTGGATAGAGCATGGGCCTGTGGACTGAAGGGTCCTAGGTTCGATTCCCATCAAGGGCATGTATCGATACCTTGGTTGTGGGCACATCCCCAGTGGGAGGTGTGCTGGAGGTGGCTGATCGATGTTTCTAGGTCTCTAACCCTTTCTCTTCCTCTGTAAAAAAAAAAAATCAATAAAATATATTTAAAAAAAATAAAAGGTCTGGGTTTTTAGACGTGATAGGCTAGGACTGTGGTCAGCAAACTGCGGCTCTCAAGCCACATGAGGCTCTTTGGTCTTTCGAGTGTGGCTCTTCCACAAAATACCACAGCCTGGGCGAGTCTAGAAGAAGTTTACGTTTTAAAAAGTTGGCTCTCACAAGAAATTTCAGTCATTGTGCTGTTGATATCTGGCTCTGTTGACGAATGAGTATCACTGGCCTAGGAGGTGATACTGCCGAGTTGGCAGCTTGCTTCCTGAGGTAGAAAAGGTCATTGACGCGCTCACTCCACAGACGAGTGGGATGTCATGGCTCTCTTGCCCAATAACATCGTTTAATAATGAGCACGTGAAGCAGAGACAATCAGTGGAGAGAGAAAAGGGGGATTGACGTGAATCCATAGCGACTGAACGTTGGTATAGGAATTCTCGCGAGGCTAATGTTCTCTTCCCTCTATTACAGTTCCTGGCCAAAAAGAAAATCAGCTTGCCCAGAGAACTGGTCTACGGGACGATCCACTGCAAAGCCGGGGTGCCGGAAATCCTGATCCAGGAGGTGCACACCTTGCTGACGCACCAGGAGTGAGTGAGCTGGGGGTTCTGGGAAATGCTGCTTCACCTCAAACTTGGGGCACTGCCCATCTCACTCCCAGAATGGGGCTCGTGAACAGTATTTTGTGTGTTTTTATTTATTTATTTATTTATTTATTTATTTATTTATTTATTTTATTTCCAGAACGCAAAGCATCCAGGATGACCTCGTGAACTTCACCGACTACAGCTACCAGATGCAACTGCCTCTGCTCCCCCGGTCCACGGCCTCCAAGTTCATCAAGGACAACATCCGCTTGTCAGAACTCATGAGCAACCCCAGCACGCTCAGCAATGAGCTGAAAATCGACTTCCTCTTCCTTTTGCAGATGCTGCAAAGGAAACTGAGCAGAAAGTTGCACCCAAGTAAGTTTTCCTTGGAAATCCTCGGCGGAATTCCTCCGCACCTAACAATGCTCCTCTTGGCCCGAATGAAGGGAAGACACTCGTGTCTGCCGTCTCCGGTCACCAGTGTAACGGGAACATGCCCCTGTTATGCAAGCCGTGGGATGAACTGTTTTTGTCCGGCTGGTTTATGTTTTAACTTATTCGTTTTGAGGAAAGCATAGGTGACCAGTGTATAGACACGTTTCTCTTTAGAAAACCTTTTACGTGAATCTGTTTGTGTAAAATATTGTGGGGGTTCAGAGTGTCCATATCACTCAGGAGACCAAGGAGGACAGGAGTGTGTGAGAGCCCGTCGGGGTGTAAGTGCTGGATCCCTAGCTGCTCTCCGGCCTGCGGGCAGTGCTGTCCATTCTGCAGTAGCTGTTGGTGTGTAGATGGCCAGGCCTATGGGGTCAACCCATGGCGTCTTGTGGTGGTGGTGGCTTTTTTCACCCTTATTCAGGACACCCCTTGTGCCTGGGAGCCTGATCTCCTGATGGCGGACGCTGGGAGACCTCGTCCTTACCTGGGCACCCAAGCCATTCGGGAGTGAGGTGGCGCAGGCCATCAGGATTTCTCTCCCTTTTGTGAACCCCGTGTTCCGAAGAGCCATCTTACTCTAGTCTCGGAAGGAGCGGAGAGCGGTAACCTGGCCTCCCTCCCTAATCCATTGTGGGGCAGATATTTGTCCTTCCTCCAGCCTGTCCGCTCTCCCATCTTCTGTCATTCTTTGTGTGTCTTCTTCGTTCCACTTGTGAATTGGAGCAGAGACAGAGCTGTGGGTTTTTCATTCAGATGTTTGGTATGTCTTCAAACACTAAAGCTTATCGTACGTGCATGTGTATAATGCATATACACTTGTGTGCCCCCTTGTAAACAGAATATCACCAATGCCTTCCCATTCCCCTGAGCATGCTCTATGACAGCATTCTCTACCCTTCCTGCTTAGGAGCCATGGCCCTCCTGCCTTATGATGTCCTTGATTTTTAAAAAATATATTTTTATTGATTTCAGAGAGGAAGGGAGAGAGAGAGAAACATCAACGATGAGAGAAAATCATGGATCGGCTGCCTCCTGGACTCCCCACACTGGGGATGGAGCCTGCAACCCAAGCCTGTGCTCTGACAGGGAATCCATCGAACTGAGACCTCCTGGTTCATGGGTCCATGCTCAACCCCTGAGGCACACTGGCCGGGCTTAAAGTAACTTTTTAAAGCAACTCTTTTGTGCATGAAGGAGGTGAATGATACAGGAGATGGGGGTTAAGTCCTAGTCACAGAACTCTTAGGATTATGACAAAATGGATACAATTATACAATTGGCTGGATTTCTAAATCATGGGGCTTTATTTTGCCAATGGCCACAGTGAATCCCTAAGAAACGACGTGTGTCTATTTTACAGGCCGGTTTGAAGTCAAGCCGAACGTGGGAGAACTCACTCTGGACCACTTCTCTGCCCTGGTTGCTCGCCACAGGGCCAAAACATGGGCTTCAAAGCAACAGGCTGCTCCTGTTCTACGTATGTGCTTTTTCTGTGGTTTCATTTTTAGCTTTTTATCTGTGACGAGGGATTTATTTGTTTGTTTTGCTTTGTTCATTGTATATTAGAGGCCCAGTGCATGAATTCATGCATGAGTGGGGTCCGGCCAGCCTGGACATGGGTGGTTGGCTGGCCTACCTGCTGGTCCAAGGGACAATTCGCATAATAGCCTTTTTTATTCTATAGGATACACACTGAGTGGCCAGATTATTATGTGTTCAGAGATCATCATCATCTGGCCATTCAGTGTATATCTAGCATAAACAATGCTAGAATGTAGACAAAGAATGTAGATTTCTTAGTTGTGACAGGACCCTCCCTGGAGGAATGAGTGGCCTGCAGGGACCGGAGGGCTGGACGCTCAGAACTCTGGGTGTGCTCTGTGCGTGCCAGAGCCAGGCGCTGGCATCGTGCGCAGCGGCCTCGGCTGTTTCTGCAGCAACATTTAAAAGCAGCTGAGTCATACTCGGGATCAACATGAGCCGCGGGTATTTTTAGGCACCGCTGGCGACTCCTGGGGGTGGGTGCCATGCCGAGAGTTTGTTTAAGGCTACGATCAGAGTGAGCCCAGCTCTGCCTGTGGCCTTCGCTGTGCGGACGTGTGGCATATCAGAAACGGTGGTGGCCGCACACATAGCTGATGACCACACAACTGATTTTCACTTTGGTTTGTTTTGTCTTTTAAATATTCCAGCAAACATTGGCAACGCTGGCAATTAGGGGAGCAATCCCCGGGAAGCGGCCCAGAGCCCCGAGAGGGAGCCGCGTGGCCCTGGACACGCCACCGTGGAAACACCTCCTGCTTCTGCAGACGGGCTGCCGCCGCCATGTTAAAGGGACAGAACTGCCTCCTCCGGCTTATATTTCAGTGAGAAGTAAATTAAAGTGGTCCTTTATCCATACGCGGGCTGCTTCTTCTTATCACTTCCATTCAAAACCCATTTGTCACTGGGCCACAGCCTGTGGAAAGCACACAGAGCAGTTAATGGTGCAGAGCGAGCACAGGGCGCTGTGGAGGGCAGCCGGCATGCTCACCACCATGAGCAGCAGGCTTCCTCGGAGAGGGTGGCAGGACGGTGACTGTCCTCTGTCACGTTTTCCTCACTAGACACGAAGAGTTACCAGGCAGCCTGACAGTGTTCACTCACACAGCACATCTACGAACAAGAACTTTTGTTCTGAACGGTGATGGTTGCACATTGGCCCATGGACCATCTAGCCCAGGCCCACAAAAGGCTGTGACCATTTCTCACAAACAGTGTCCTCCCTGTTGGGAGGCAAAGCGCTCAGCTCAGAAGTTGGCTCTGGAGTTGAGCAGCCCATTTCTTCCATCTATGTATACCTTCTGGTGGCTGCCATCCCCCCTGCTAATCCCCCTGGTGCCTGCCATGCCCCCTGCTACATCCCTTCTGGGGACTGCCATCCCCCTGCTTTCCTGAAGGGAGACAAGAGCAGGCGGATCTCCTGAAAGGATGGTTCTTTCACCTTCCGGTGATGTTATGTCCGTATCTGGGCCATTTTCTCCACCTGGCACCACTCCTGTTGGCCGCCAGCTCGTTCCCAGCCCCTCTGGCCCCGAGGACAGTGTGAGTGCCACCGGGTGCGGGTCCGTTCCCAGCTACACGCCACCACGGTCCCGCAGTGCGGGAGGCGCAGTTCCATTAGCGTTTCCGCCTCTGAGACGTCCTTGGCTGATCTTACATTTTGGGGGAGAGCATACATAGTAAAAGAAAGTAAAGGAAGCCCCAATGGAAGAGGTGACTTCTCAGGAAGGTGTTTGGAATAAAGGACTTAGCCCAAATGCCCGCCTTAACCAGCCGTAGGCTCCCTGCCTGCTGCCTGCACCCTCTCAGGACACATCTCAGGTCGAAGCGATCACCACTAACCCACCCCGGCCGCTCCCCAGGGGAGGGCTTAGAGAGAAGTCAGATGAAGAGCCAGAGAAAGGACCGGATCGGGATAATCAGTCAATCACGCTGCTCTGTCCTCCGGACGCTGCGTCCAGCCTCCTGAGAAAGCCAGTCCCTCGTGGCCTGGGGAAGGTGCCTGGCCCCTGCAGGCCCCACGGAGGCTGGGGGTCAGAGAATGGTCCAGGGGCCTCACCTGGGTGAGTGAGTGAGTGAGTGCGGGCAGTGGGAACGTCATAGCGGGGAGCTGTGAGGACCCCCCGGATGCGTGTGCCCGGACGCCACCGCTGGGCACACCCGAGGAAGGCCGCCAGCCAGAGGCTCTCTGATGGAAGGAAGGAACTCTCCCGCAGCCAGGCAGCCTCAGGAGCGGGACCTGTCCATCAAGGGGCAGGATGCTCCCCCGGCCACGGGAGATGGGAGACTGCCTCCTCTCTCCTCTTCGGCGGTTCCCCGGAGGCAGGGTTTCCTGCAGGCGGAGGGTCTCCCCCAGATGTCCATGGAGTGGCTTTTGCAGGTCCCCCCGCCCCCGGAGGGCCATTGCTGATGGACACTCGGCCCTTTGCCCCTGCAGCGACCTGGGAGACAGCGGGGTGTTCGGGACAGACGGATGCTCAGCCTGCCGGGGACCAGGCCATACTGGCTCTCATGGGTACTGACTACAACCAGGGGACCCAGAACATGTACTCACATAACAATCTAGACAACTGCATGCACAGCCACCTGCTGTCTCAAGTCAGCATGGAAGCGTTTTTCCATTTATTTAAGTACACATGTTTCACAGACATGGTACAATGAGCACTTCCTAGGAGTGCGCCACAAACACAACTCCTGCCTTATGAGTGCACTCAACAGGAAATCCCGATCTTATAAACAACGTGTGATGTATTTATCTATTCAGAATACCTTTGAAGACAAAAAAAAAAGTAATTTTCCTGTCACGGTACAACAACACGCAGTCATTGCGAATGCAACCGCGTCCCTGAGCACATCTGGATGGTCTTGTGGAAATATGTGTATGTTTCACTGATTGACATGAAAGTCAGAGGTTTTCACACGATGGACACAATTTTGATATTGCAATTTCGTGAAACACCTGGTCATGTCAGAGAGAACAATGTTTCCCAATGCTTTCAACATTCACTGTCTCATGAGACTTCCTTCATAAAGGCGGGTTTAAAAATGCAAAATGATTTGTCTATGCTATGGACATCTTCAAACAGTAAAATAAGCTCATCTTATTTATTGGATTTTCATGCATATAAAATCTAACAATGGAAAATGCTTTTACAAATTTTAAAAATTACTTTTTTCATATTAAGGTACAATAATATATACAGATTGACATAGTCAAATGACATTTATAATTCTGCAAAGAATTAATAGTTAAAATTAATATTAAGGTACAGAACATGGTAGATGTCAAAGCATAGCGGAACTGCACTTGATCTGCACAGTTTAGATTTCAGACAGAACCTGGGTTACTCTCCATTCTCTTCATGTGCTACATGTTTATTTTTTCTCATTTTATACATAAAATATTTTTTGCATTCATTAAAATACAAAATGTGATTGTTTATAAATGTATAATTTAAACTCAATGATATCTTTTGAAGGAATTAAAGCAAAAAAGATAGGCTTCTTTATTTAAAACAAAATAAAGAAAAATATACTGGGATTTAGACTCATTTTGAAGTAAGGAAATTTTAGTACACATATGCCAATCAGTAAACAATACTGAGTTATATTTATCACAAAAGGTTAAAAAAAATACTCAGATACACTTTATATTATCTACTGCATCTCTGAGTTAGAAACATTCTTGTTTATAGTATTAAATTTTTTAATAAAATGAAATTTAATGATGAATTAGAAGTGGTCAATGTGGTAGGTAGGTAATATATATTGTTTTCTGTTTTAAGAAGCTGTTTAAGAAAATTGTTAAAGTATTTTAAATGCAACAAGTTTAGAAATAATAACCAGGATTATTAGACAAAAAGATCTATATTACAAATTCTACACAGCGACTTGAGTATAAAAGGACTGTTCTTCCTGATATGCATTCATTTCATAGATTTCAAAGTCAGAATTCTAGAACAACTGAGCTGCTTATGGTCATGCCTCAGGCTTTTCTTTCTTATAGCTTTACTCTTTTAATTAATATTTTAAAATCATGAATTTACATAATATATATACAAAATTTTAATATCCTACTTACAGGAAATTTACTTCAAACTAAATTTCACCAAATAAATTCAGTTATATTGATATAAATCCACTAGAGATTATGTTGATATTACATGCATTAATGAAAATTATTATCTATACAGACCGAGTCTCTTAAAACAGTCAATTATCATAAAATGCAAATTCTCAAACAGATACCACCGCATTTTGTTTTTTACTCCCCCACCCCCAATGTTTTTCATGCTTATTCCTTTACAATTGGACATTTGAATTTCAGATGGAATCCTTGGTAATGGTCTCTCTGTGTGGTTCAGCTGGTTGGAGCATCGTCTCTTCTGAACACCAAAAGACTGCAGGTTCGATTCCCGGTCTGGGAACATACCTAGGTTGTGGGTTTGATCCCTAGTCGGGGGGTGTAAAAGTAGCAATGGATGTATGCTTCTCTTACATCAATGTTTTTCTTTCTCTCTCCCTTCCTCTCTCTTTAAAAATCAATAAAAAATACCCTTGGATGAGGATTAATAAAGTATGTTGAGTGTGTATCTATTTATTGGTATACATTAAACTTATAACTGTAAACTTTGACTAAAGATGAGCTAAAACCAGTGGTTGACTATTCATTCAATAGAAGACAAGGTAGGCGTCTGTGAGTGGACACTCGGCCAGCACACCTTCCTCATCGACGCCTGAGAAACCCGGTCCTTCGAACGGTCAGTCGGATTGTACTGCATCCAAGCACTGTTCCGAGGGTCCCACCCTTTCATGTCTCCACAGCAAACACCTGGGTTCCTCCTGCTCGTTGTGAGCATTTTATGGGCTTTTTTAGATTATTCATTCAGTCCTTTACGACTCAAATAATCCCTTCCTCCCAAATATGGCTGTTTTATTTTATAAAGGAGACACCTATGTTTTTCTCAAAAACATATAAATATTTTACTTCTTGAACTTAATGAATAAAATCAACTGTTACTCCATATTTCCCCCTCCCCCCTTCCCAACCTTGGGCGCGTGGGCAACCAAGGTTAATACGAACCAATAAAAGGTGTTCTAGACACAGCGAAGCCGGGGTAACGCCTGCCGTCAGAACGGGTTGAGTCGAATGCCAGTCCCTAGAGGCGAGAAGGGGTTCACCTTGGCCCACATCAGAGCATCGTTCAGGGAGATGACGGATTTCCCGTCTTCAAGGAAGTACACGGGGCCCTGCGCACGGGGAGAGGTGAGGGAAGAAGAGGAGCATAAATCTGCAACACGTTTTTAAACAGAGACAATCCCTCCCACAGAAAGCCCACGGGAGATGTTTGCACAGTGCTGACAGGAAATGAAAAACTACAGACTTACTCTGGGTGGCAAACCCACAATACGATATGCAGTGATGTACTGAACACTGTACAACCTGGAACTGATATCATTGCATTAACTGCTGTCACCCCAATAAATCCAATGCAAATGTTAAAAGTATGAGAAAATTAAACATCTTACTGTTAAATACATTCTGATGTCTTTCAAAATAGGATTTAGTTTGATAATTTGAGATCTTTCAATTCAGCAGTGTTAACAGAGATAACAGGTAGTGTTAATCTGTTAAATACTGCAAAGTTACCATTTTATAAAGGCATATGTCTCATCATAGCCTTAAGCATATTTTATGTTTAATCATAACGGCTGGGAAGTTATTCAAGCCAGAACCTCTGAACTAACCGTGTGTGTGTGTGTGTGTGTGTGTGTGTGTAATTAAAATCACGCCAAACATGTGATTTGCCAGCAGATCTGTAATTTAGTTATATCAGTTAGTCCCTATGTCAAGGGCAGTTCTAAAGAACTAAATGCAAAACAAACAAACAAAAACAACAACAACAACAAATGACCTAACCAGTTTAGCTCAGTGGATAGACCACTGGCCTGCAGACCAAAGAGTCCCAGGTTTGATTCTGGTCAAGTGCATGGACCTCGATTGTGGGCAAATTCCCAGTAGGAGGTGTGCAGGAGGCAGCTGATCAATGTTTCTCTCTCATCAATGTTTTTAACTCGCTATTCCTCTCCCTTCCACTCTGTAAAAAATCAATAAAATATATATAATCAGAGTGAGTATGCAAATTAATCCAACAACGATGGGAGGTTAATTTGCATACACAGGGATGGAGTGGCAGGGCGGGATGCAGGCATTTGCACCGCCCAGCTGCTCCGGGCCTCCGGGCAGCGTGGGGAGGCGGAAAGGCAGCTCCAGCCGCAGTGAAGGCGGTGCCGGCAGCCAGAGGAAGGAAGACTCATTCTCGCAGGAATCTCCCGTGCATCGGGCCTCTAGTTTGTCATGGTGACTGTGGACTGTCTCCCTTATGGGTTGTCCCCGAGGACAGGATCTCTGTGCACTTTAAAACATTTGTCACTGAGCAGACACATCGTTTGCCTGTTACGTGGGTTCCTACTATGACAACAGCAGCAGTGGACTCTCTGAGGTTATTTTAAGCGGAGAGAGACTGTCGGCATAACCACGGAAGCTGAGGGGGTCTTCTGGCTGGGCCTCAGGCATCCAGATGACAGTTAATTCAGAATTGCATTTCAAAGAATGACAACACAGATAAGAGGATGGAAATGCGTTATTTCTGCCTGCCGTCAGACAGTACCTGGATTTTCAGCCCAGTGAGACAGGAGATGTGCGCGTCGGAATGGCTGGGCAGGTGCGACCCTGTCACGTAGTCCGGCCCCACCATGCCTCTGAGCGGCTCGGCCCGCAGTCTCCGGAGCAGGGCTGCGTGCACGCTTCTCTGTGCCTCGGAAGCTGGCGTGCAGGGGGAGTCCTCTGAGGATCTGTATGGTCAACACACATGGCACTCCCATGTTTGCAAAACCACAGAATGGTTCAGGCTGAGATTAGACAGTCCCGAGGGCTTTTTAGCACCCTTCATTGATGATGCCACATCAACATTAGACTCAATTTACAGTAAACACGAAGGACTTTAAAAAAGGCGGCACTGTAAGCGATTACTGAACATCTGCCAAACAAACCCAGAGTCCTTCTTCTTTTTTTTTGTTTTTACTTTTTTTTTTTAAATTAAATTATTATCTGTGTACATATTTTACCATTGCGGTCCCTCCCCTCCCCCCCCTCCCCCCCCCTCCCCCGTCCCATACATACCCACCCTCCCCAGAGTTTTGTCCGATCACTCACGGGGGCACGGGCTGCCTGCAGGCCCTCCACGCCTCCAGCTCCTCCGAGAGGCGCCTGATGGTCAAAGGCACAGACACCTCCCGACGTTTCAAGAGCTGGCTGCAACGAGAGAGAGAAACCAACCGCTCACATCGAAGACAAAGGCACCAGAAAAGCGAATGGACAACTGCAACTTTAGGGTTAACGACTGTTCAAAAATGTATGTGTGTACTCGAACGTGTGTGTGTGTGTGTGTGGTGTGTGTGCGCGCGCGCGCGTGCGTGTGCGCTCACTGTGCAGTTCGCCTGTAAGTGCTGGCGAGTCCTAGCTGGCCCACAGCTGTGGGCTGGTGGCAGGCTGAGGAGTGAGGGACGGACACAGGAGCTGCATAACGTATGGAGGACGGTTCGAGAAGCCACGCTCTGCTGACGGATGGCCACGCCGGCGGCTGTACGCACAGTGTGTGTCTGCACTAAAGTGAGCGTTGGGAGTAAGAAAGCGAGCCGGAGAGCAGGGACAGAGTCAGCCAGCGGGGAGGACAGGGGTGCGGCTGCATTCTCCACGGACAGAGCTGAGCCAAGCGGCAGGGCCCGCGCCAGCAGGACCCACCGTCCTGGGGAGTGACAGCGCCAGGCTGAGCGGATAAAGGGACGCGGGCGGCAGTGTTGGGGGCCCCGGCGAAGGAGCCCGCCTCCCCCGCAGGCCCTCACCTCGTGTACTCATAGAGCGCGGGGACGATGCCCGCGTACTGCCTCCTGGCGGCCAGCAGCGCGCCCGTGTAGCCGCTGAGGACGAGCAGCTCGTTCCGCGCCCTGCGGGGAAGACGGCTGGGTTTGAGAAGCCCGACCTGGAGGTCTGGACCATCATCTCCTCTGCGGTGACCGTACTGGCGCCTCCCCGTTCTAGTGGGTGACGCTGACAGCACACTCCGTTCGGAAAATGTCCTAAACTCGAGGATGTTGCCTTCATCGGTAACTCAGCCTGGCGTCATGCTGTGACAATTCGGGTCAAAACACGGATCTTCGACGCCATCGCACCCTCGCCTTCTTGCTCTTCCCCGTTGCCCCGCTGCTTCCTCGTGTGCTCGCTCCCTGGGAGCTCCCGGGTCCGGGTAGGAATCCCCGGCCCGCGGACCGCTCACCCACCGCCTCCTGCCCGGGCTCTGCCGCGCGTGCAGCCACGGCCTCGCCTTCCCACACGGGCATCAAGCAAAAGGGACCGGCCCACGGCCGCTAGTACAGATTATCCACAGTCTCGGGACCTCAGCCACATGGAACAGTGACCTTAAACCAGGGGTCCGGGGGACCTCTGGCCCACGGGCCTTGTGAGGCCCGTGAAATCATTTGGCCTGGCCCTGCCAACGCATGAGGGGTGAGTTAATTAAATGTTTGACCAAATAGAGCTGGCTAATTTTAAAGCTGATAATTTAACGTGGCCCTCGAATGAGGTTATGAATATCCAACTGGCCCTGGCAGAGAAAGTTCCCCACCCATGCCTTAAATGACACCTGTTTCCCGGGGCAGCGTCACGTCTGACGTGCTAGCCCTTTCAGTTCTTCCCCAACCCAGCATGCTGTGCACACATGGAGAGTTAACAGATAAAAACATCAGTTCCTCAGGGCTTAGAGGTCCAAAGCCACCCAAAAGCTTTAAATTAGCCCTATTTGAACTGGTGTGTATGTGTGTGTTCATACACACATAAACATACAAACACTATTAGTAAAGGAGGCCACAAAGATTTATGATTTCTGGTACAAATTGACCTCTGCATTTTTTTTCTTAAGACGACAACAGATAAAAATGTAATTTTTTTCTACAGGTCCTTCTAAGATGATCTTATTTCCTTTTCAAAAAATATATTTTATTGAGATTTTACAGAGAGGAAGAGAGAGGGATAGAAAGCTAGAAACATCGATGAGAGAAAAACATCGATCAGCTGCCTCTTGCACACCCCCCACTGGGGATGTTCCCGCAACCAAGGTACATGCCCTTGACCGAAATTGAACCTAGGACCTTTGAGTCCACAGGCCTACGCTCTATCCACTGAGCCAAACCAGTTTCGGCTGATCTTATTTCTTGATCTAAACACCAAAACTCGCAGAGCCACCATGGAACACCAGGTGGCTGCAGTGATGGATTCTGGGGGAAGGTACTCACTGGGTGCATGTGTGCAGGAGTAGCTTTTCAGTACGAATGTAACTCAGCAGGTCAAGAATGGGATGAATGGCATCCAAAGTCCAGTCTGTTCTACGGATGTGTTCTGGCAAGACAGAACGAAGTCAAGAGTCTCTAGGTAATGGTATTCACGTCTGCTCACCCACTGCTGAGCCCACGTGATCAGCTCCCTCCTGGCGAATCCTCTCTGTCCCTGGGGTCAGATCACAGGCATTTATTGTACTTGCCCAGCGACCCTCTCCCAGGCCCCACACCATGTGGTCAGCACTGTCTTTGCTTTCTCCAGGTGGGGTGGCTGGTGCTCGATGTGAAAGCTGTTAGCAGAATGAAAATGAAAATGTGAAATAAGTGAGTAGATGTTAAATGTCTCTACCAACTAAACACTCACCTTTGACGAAGTCAAGACCAACAGGAAGGGCTTTTTCAGGCTCTGGACTTAACAAGTAGTACTTGACAGCTTCAAACACATGGCCCCCTGCGTGCGCTGTCTCCGCTAGCTGCATGCACTCTTCCTCGGTGGGCAGCTTGCACTGGAAAATAACCAGGGTGAGGACAATACCACCAAAACGTGTAGGGGTGGAATAGCAGTGTGAGTACTAAATCAGTTTCATGGTTCTTTCTTATGGAAGTTGCTCAGAATAGATGTGAATAAAACAACTTGTACTGAGATATATTTATGAAACGATCTTTAAGGTATGACAATAATAGCAATAACAATGAATAATAATAAGTGGGATGTTGCCCAAGAGTCAGCAGTATTTATCACACATTACCCAATGAAAGAGGGAGAGGGCACTGCCTGGGCTGTGAGAGTGGAACTAGTGCTGGATCTGACCCTGAACCTGCCAGGAGCTCAGGCACACTCTGAGTCCCCAGCTACCTTCTCACGGAGGTCCTTCATCTCCTCCTCGAAGCCAGGGTAGAAGGCACAGAGCTTCACCAGCTGAAGTTCATTATCGGGAATCATCAGGAGCAGGTCCGCGGCCAAATTCCTGGTCCCATAACCAAAGGGGAAACGCCATGAGAACAAAAAAACCACACCCAACACGAGAGCCATGTGGGAGGAAGGAGACTCAGGATTCCTCCCAGGCAGTCCTAGGTGCACACAGCACTGACCTCCTGCTCAACTGTCAGCTTCTTGGCACAGATCCCAGGGACTGAAGGGTGGGGAGGAAAAACGTGGGATGAAATGCCTAACCAGTTCTTTTTAAAAACATGTTCTTATTGATTTCAGAGAGAGGAAGGGAAAGGGAGAGCATCATGGATCGGCTGCCTCCTGCACACCCCCTGTTGGGGACAGAGCCTGACAACCAGGCATGTGCCTTGATCTGGGAATCAAACCCTGACCTCCTGGTTCAAGGGCCAACGCTAACCACTCAGCACCACTGGCCAGGCTCTAAATGGCCTTTAAAGCTCTGAACAGAGTCTTCACAAACTCACAATTCATTCCGTCACTATGTAATAATTGCCTCATCACACCGAGTTGAATTAGGTCTGTGCTTTGGAATGAATTACAGGCTGTGAAGTGAACACTAGCCAGCTGTGGACAAGGGTGTCTGTCACTCATTGGAGCACTTAGGTTACGTTAGAAGCTGGGCGTTCAGCATACCTGTGAAACGTTAAGGCAGTGGTCGGCAAACTCATCAGTCCACAGAGCCAAATATCAACAGGACAATGTTTGAAACTTCTTTTGAGAGCCAAACTTTTAAAACTTAAACTTCTTCTAATGCCACTTCTTCAAACTAGACTTGCCCAGGCCGTGGTATTTTGTGGAAGAGCCACACTCTTGGGGCCAAAGAGCCGCCTGTGGCTCACGAGCCGCAGTTTGCTGACCATAGCTTCAGGGAAAGTCGCACACAAATGCAGTTTTCTGATTTACATTTTTCAAGATGTAATCAATGGAATGAATCACTTAAAACTAAAGTGTGTAAAAAACTGCAGGTACAGCAGCTTTACATTAAAAATATTTTTGTTTGCCTATCTGGCATGGCTCAGTGGTTGAGCATCAATCTATGAACCAGGAGGTCATAGTTTGATTCCTGGTCAGGGCACAGGCCCAGGTTGTGGGCTTGATCCATAGTAGGTGGAGTGCAGGAGGCAGCTGATCCATGATTCTCTTTCATCATTGATGTTTCTATCTCCCTCTCCCTCTCCTTTCCTCTCTCTGAAACCGATAAAAATATTTTTTAAAAAATAAAAAAGTATGAAGGGGTTTTGGTTGCATGCATCATAACTGAGAAAACACTGATTTTCATAGTTTGAGATGTTATTCAACTTTCAAGAAACTGATAAACATTCAGCACGACTTTAGAAGAGGTGATACTTCAAGTGTGAATTAGGAGGGGTGAGCTTTGGGCTGAGACAAACCCTGCTTCCCGTCCGTGTGAAGCCTTCAGAGAAATCTAGATCAGCCATTGGTGTGAACGAGCTATTTTTAAAACATTAGGAGATATTTAACCAAGAATATAGTGAGCACAAAACAACAATAGAGATAATTTGTTGTGTCTGATTTTCTGTTATCATTGCAGAGGTAGAATATAAACATTTAATTAAGCAGTTTCTATAAAAGTGGATGGTACCTGTATTCATCAGATGGAAAGCTAGAAGGAAAACAATTCTGGATATGAATACCATAGACAGGCAATGCCAACTCTAACCAGAGAACACAGACATGTGAAGGGTTCTTGGTTAGGAAGTTACACACATTCTATTGCGATGCTGCTGCTATCTTAATTACTCTCTAAAATCCGAGGAGCTGTACTGCTAATAGCCACTGGACTTACAGACCCCGTTCCCCGGGAACAACCAGATAAGCATCATCTCTTTCGGAATTTGAACGTCGCCAGGTTTCCGGCACACATATCTACGCATCGACGGGTATATACGAGAAGGACTCCCGGAATTTCGGGGAAACAGGCGGTTTTTTTTTGTTTGTTTTTTTCATATTAAAAGCACCTGATATACAGACCATTGAAAGAATTTTTAAAACTTTTTAAAATTCAGTATCTATTCCTGTTTGTTTTTTTGTGTTGTTGCTTTCACAGAAACACATCTCTCTCTCTCTCTCTCTCTCTCTCTCACACACACACACACACACACACACACGTTTCCTTAGCTTGGGTGCTGACGTTAGCATGGAGGCAGTCACCTCTCCGAACAGACCTCATGCTTCGGGATGGGTTGAGGGAAGCCACGGTGACCAGGTGACTGCCCACTGCAGTTGGCCACCGAGGGACGCCTGGGTCTCTCCAAGGGTCAGCGTTACAGACACAGATGGGAGTGTGGGGGACCACGCGTGCTGGTGGGGAACGAGGCTCTCCTACCCCCGAGCCACGGGGTCACAGAGCACAGCTCAGGGCGCCCGGCTCACTGACAGCCCCACGTGCGGGCGGAAAGGCAGTGGACAGTGTTCCTGAGTGAGCCCCCCTAGGAGGCGGGCAGCGTGATGGCTGCTGCAGCCTGCATGTGCCCCCCGCCAAATTCACGCGTGGAAACCAGCCCCCCAAGGAGATGGTACTTGGAGGTCAGGCCTTTGGAAGGTGCTCAGGTCAGGAGGGCAGAGCTGCTGGAAAGGGACTGGTGCCCTCACAGACGAGGCCACAGGAAGATGCCAGCTGTTAACCAGGAGGCCGACTCCATCAGACCCCCAGTCCGCCAGCGCCTGGGTCTTGAAGGTCTCAGCTTCCAGAACCCTGAGAAATGCCTTTCTGCTGTTCAAAGCCACCGGGTGTTTGTTACAGCAGCAGAACTGGCTGGGCCCCTGGGGACAGTGCACGCTCTGGAGGCCGTTCACGTGGCCTTGAACCCTGGCTGTCACCGCGCTGAGGCCGGAGACCCATCTGAGAGCTCATCTTAAGGTGGGGCGTGTGCAATGCATGTACAGCATGTGCAAGGGGCGTACAGCGGGGAGAGGCCACAGTCCTGGCAAACAAGCTCATCCAAACGTCTCAAGGCGCCGAGTACTTTGGTGAGAGAGAAGATTGAAGTCTAAAACTATCTTTATTCAACACACTCCTTCAGAGTGACAGCAACAGCCGCATCTTTCCTAAAAGTCCCTCCCTCACCGAGGGGGGTCGGCCCTGAGGACAGGGCTCTGCAGAGGGGAGAGGGAGCCCATTGGACCGGGAAGCCCAGGTCACCCTCCGCCCCCACTTCCCAGGGTCTGTCTCCCACAGCGGTGCCCCAGTTCAGGGCAATGGCCTGGGCTGAGCCCCCGGGAAATCATCTTTGTTATTTCTCTCCAGTGGAAAAGTGACTTTCTCTTCCAAACCTCAAACCCAGACACAGGGTCTGACAAGGAGGAGCGGGTGCAGGATTGGCAGTGCGGGAATGTGCGGTCCTGATAGTCCTAAGATGCACACATGGCTGTCTCCTGACGCCTATGGGCTTGGAGAACCATGGGCCCCAGCTGGGCTACTTCCGATGGGCCTGGGAGGTTCCATTCCACAACCACTACTTCCTTCTCACCCCCTTCCTTTCACAATCTCCCCTTTCACTGAAAAAGGAGGCCCTGCACTGTTTATCCCTGCTCTCGGAAAAGGCACCTCCTGGTACTGACCGATACAAAGAATGTTTGTGGTAGGTTTTTACAAATATTCCTTACCAGATTAAGTACATTTCTTTTTATTCCTCGTTTAAGAGATTTTAATACGATGATTATACATCAATACTGACTGTTATTTAATGACTTCCTGTATCTTTGGGACAATATTATGCTTCTCTTATGTTATTCCATTAATGAGGTAAATTATATTAATTGCATTTCTAAAGTTATCCATCTTCACTTCTCTGGTATAAAGGCAAGTTACCCTTGATTCTTTTTATGTAGGACTGACCAGTTAGCTAAATATTGGTTCCAGATTTCTGCATCCATGTTCATGAGTGAGATTCTCTGGCAGCTTTCCTTTTTGTGCTGTCCTAGTCCAGTGTAGGTATCAAATATATATTAGCTTCTGATAATAAGAAAAAGATAGGACACCCTGTATACACCCAACACGCGATCAGCTGCGACTTGCGAGCCTGAACAGATGCATGCCATCACCATAAAATTCTTTATGTTTAGAAACTCTTACCACAATGGGGTCATCATGCATTTCCTGGCCAACAACTCCAGGGCGTAGTGGGTGGCAGGGGCTGCCGCCTCGCCCAGGACCGTGCCCACGCAGACCGCCAGCTCCAGCTCGTTCCCGCGGAGCAGGGAGGCCATGGCCAGCTAGCCAGGGAGAAACAACGGCCTAGGGTCAGAGACGCAGGCGGGGCAGGCCGCTCCCGCCCCGTTCCCGCCGCTCAGGAAGCACCGGGGCACTGGCTCACGCTCAGTCCCTCTTACAGAATGCCCTGCACTACTTCTACCCAGTATGGAGGCCTGACTGCAACTTCAAGTGGAAAAGTTGATAAAGGGACACACAGGCGATACTCTCTAAGGTTAGAATTTAAGAATTGAGAGCACTTGCCCATATTTTTATAATTAATAACAGTCTCTCTGCAATGTCCTCAATATGTCCTTCAGTTTGTATAAGAAAAAAAATGTTAATCATCGCCTTAATTGGTTTGGCTCAGTAGATAGAGCATCGGCCTGCGGACTAAAAGGTCTCAGGTTCGATTCTGGTCAAGGGCATGTACTTTGGTTGCAGGCACATGCCCCGTAGGGGGTGTGCAGGAGGCAGCTGACTAATGTTTCTCTCTCATGGATGTTTCTAACTCTCTATTCCTCTTCCTTCCTTTCTGTAAAAAAAAAAAAACAACAATAAAAAATATATTTTAAAAAAATGTAAATTATTTTTTTAAATAAATTTTTATTGATTTCAGATAGGGAGGGAGAGGGAGATAGAGACATCAGTAATGAGAGAGAATCATGGATCGGTTGCCTCCTGCATGCCCCACACTGGGGATCAAGCCTGCAACCTGGGCCTGTGCTGTTGACTAGGAATCAAACCGTGACCTCCTGGTTCATGGGTCAAAGCTCAACCACTGAGCCACCTGGCAGGGCAAAGGTGTCGATTCTTAAAAGCTTCATAAACAGTGTCGATTCTTAAAAGCTTCATAAAGCTTCATAAACTCCCTGAAGCCAGTGTTCTCAGGAGCCAGGAACCCTGATTCTGCATCTGCACTCCGGACTGCCCTGGTTCCATCAGTGGGTCAGTGGGGGTCACCCTAAGAGTGTAACTGGTGAAGAACACACTGAAGGGAAACCAGCTCTTTCACACGTCAGGGACAGAGCCCAAGTGCAGCCATTATCCATCCTTTACCACCTCCTGCTCCTCACCTGTGACAGACACCTCAAGAGGCTCGTCGCAATAGGAGCTTAGGATGGGATGTACAAATGTGGGGGCAGAGCTCGGGTCTGCGGAGTGTCACCCGGGGGCTTGGAAAGCATGCAGACCTGGCTATGACTCCCTCAGACACCAGCCCTTTCCCTCACATCCCCCCACTCCCCACATCTTCCCCCAGCGCTGTACCTCCACGTCGTCCACGGCCAGGTGGCAGCAGGCCGCGCGCACCGCCCGGCCGCCATGGAAGTGCCACTCCGCCAGCTGCGCGCTCGCCATGTGCAGGAGCCTGGGGGAAAGGGGACAGCCTAGCTCAGCAGGCGCCCCGGGGAACCCCTCCTCCCCCTGCTCTTTGTCCCAGGCTGGGGAGCGGAGCGGAGGGACCCAGCTGGACACCTGACTTAGGGAGGAAGCCGGACGGGGAGAATCAGGGAGCCGTCTTTCTTAGCAGAGGAGCTGACAGACCCCCACACGTGAGGAAAAGGCCTACTTTTCAGTCTATTCCCCCTCCGGACACAGTGAGGACAGGGCCACAGGGGGGCGCAGTGAGGACAGGGCCACAGGGGGGCGCAGTGAGGACAGGGCCACAGGGGTCACAGTGAGGACCGGGCCACAGGGGGGCGCAGTGAGGACAGGGCCACAGGGGGGCGCAGTGAGGACCGGGCCACAGGGCGGTGACCGGGAAGAGCTGCAGGGGGACCGGGACTTTTCCCAGTGCAGGGGGGACAGCCTGGGGGTGTGTTGGGGCTGCAGAGGCAGGACCGGCTGGCAGAGGGCAGCCGCCCAAGAACCAGAGGGCACACTGGTCCCCAACACAGCGCTGCCAGCACCTGATGACCCCTTACCCGGTTAAGGGTCCTGACCGCTCCGACGTCCCATTTTCTAGGCTAAAATGGGAGTCCTGAGGGGAGGGGGAAGGCGGGCAATGAGATTATGAGAGGGAAGAAGCAGAGAGTTCTAATCCTCTTGCTTTTCCATATGTGACTCTTTGGGCTTCTTTGCAAGAGGCTGGCACGTTATTCTGTCACTAACACGGGCCCGGGGTGATGACAAGGTCACCGGCACGGTCTGCACCGGCCACAGGGAACATGGTGAGCCCACCCCCTGCTCCCACAGGTGGCCCCGCTAGGACGTGGGTGCTGGCCGAGCAGTCTCCCCGCGGAGACCCGCTGGCCTTCGGGAGCTCAGGTGCGCCCAGGCTGCCCTCGTGGCTGCCATTCCTGTGCACTGGGCGGAGCGGCCGCAGACCCCCCTCTGGAGGGAAATGCAGGGGCCGAGCAGCCACCGCCTCTGAGGGAAAGGAGGGTGGGCGGTGGGCCCTGCACTGCGCCTAAGGGGACCCCGTAGAAACACGGGCCCAGGCACCGCGGGCTCACTCGGTGAAGTCCTCCCCGCGGGCGTCCTCCGGCCCCGAGGGCCCAGGCGGGGTGGGCGCTCGGCAGGTTTGCATGTTCCCCTCACACGCAGCCTGGAGAGGAAGGAAAACTCATCACTCTTCTCAAAGAGTAATCTGTACTGTGGATAGTATTACAGATGCTCCCTTCTCCCCTCCCCACTGAGCCCTCCTCTCCTCCCTACTCCTCCCCGGGCCTTCACTCACCCAAGGATTTTTCCCCCATTGATTTTTAGAGAGAGGGGGAGGAAAGAGATGAAGAGAGGGAGAGAGAGAGAGAGAGAGAGAGAGAGAGAGAGAGAGAGAGAGAGAGAGAGAGAGAGATGTGAGAGAGACACACAGATTGGTTGTCTCCCCACACCCTTCCCGACTGGGGCCAGGGGTCCAGCCTGCACTGAGATCTGTGCCCCTGACCAGAACGGAACCCATGAGCCCGGTCCCAGGGCTGATGCTTGCACCGGGCTGGGCACACTCTGTCACTTTAAGTGATCCTTGGCTGACTGCGGGTGAGGGACACATTTCAGACTCGCATTCTGAACAAAGGATACCTAAATCGTGTTTGAAATTTATGCCAGAATGTGGAGCCACCTTAGAATTTGAAAGAACCAAAAACACCACACACACAGAAAAGCAGGTGACGCTGCTGTGTGAACATGAAGCCTCAGCGCTCAGTCACCAGGAAAAGCCGGTGAAGCTCATGCAACGTTCAGCGGCGAGCAAAGGCTCCGGGTTCCGAGAAGTGTGGGCAGGTGGGGACCCAAAGCCAGGCCAGCATGGCCACTCACACCCGGGCCGGCCCTGGCTCTGTCCGTCCAGACGGCGCTCCGTCAGCAGGACCCTCTCCCCCCCACCTGCGGTGTGCCCGCGCCTGTACCTGGGCCACCAGCAGCGCCTCCTGCAGCTGGCCCCGCGCCATGAAGAAGCGGACCAGCTTCCTCACATCGCCCACGGCCATGCAGTACGGGATGGCGGCGTCCTTGTCCTCCTGCATCAGCTGGTCGGCTCTCCTGCGAAAGGAGAACAGTTTCTCTCTTTACAATGCAGGTGTTTCCAGGCCCTCGGCAGGACTGGGCTTTCTGAAATACCCAAACCTGGAGGCAGATGTCATAAAAGCTTTCCTGTGCATCACTTTTTGGAAAAAGACAGATTTTATGATCAAATCATAGACAGGAGACAAAGGTTTTCTGAAATAATAGAGACTATAGGTACTTATTTACCCTTAGACCACTACATGTATTCAGATTCTAAATATACTGACCGAGCCAGGCCTTAAAATCAGTGCAGCTTATTATTTACACAAGCGATATATATTTTTCTGAAGGTGAGTTGTAGACTAGATCCAGTGCCAGGGGTCCCTCTGTCTCATTAAAAATGAAAAGTTTCATTTTAATGCCAGATATAAATACTCATTAAACAGTATTCTATAGGCCTAGCATAGTGATTAACACATAATAAACTCTAAATAAAGCTCTGAAGGAATGAATAGAATAGAATAGAATAGAATAGAATAGAATAGAATAGAATAGAATAGAGTAGAATAGAAAATAGTCTTATGTTGTGGATTCAAATGTGTCCCTCAAAAGATATGTTGACATTCTAACCCATGGTATCCGTGAGTAGTACCTTATTTGAAAATAGGGTCTTTGTCAATATAATTAAGATAGGGTTATAATGGGTTAGGGGTTAAGACTGATTCTAAATATGATATGGGGCATGTCCTTATAAAAAGAGGGCACAGGGACACTCAAGAATAATGCCATGTGAAGACAGGCAGAGGTTGGAGTGATGTGTCTGCAATAATAAATTAATAAATGTGTGGGCGTCTGCTTTGTTAAAGAGACTTTTAAATGGTACCGTGAACACAACGAGGAATAGAGAGCTTCTAAAGGCAACTTGCTTATGAATCATTAACAAAAGCGATGCCAGCACATAAACTACGATCAGGAAAGGAGGTACTGTAAGTGACCCAGGACGTTCCAGACAGGTGCAGGGATCCTGACGCTGATGATTCCGGAGGGTTCCCGGGGTGGGGGGGTCCCTCTGTCTCTATTGTACCCAGGCCTGTCTGTCTGTCTCTGCTTCTCTTTCCCAAAGACCAGCCTGGTTCCTTCCACTAGTAATACTTCACCTGCTGTGTTGAGCAGGAACCTGGTTTATCTAATTGGTGTTGGCATTTGCACTAAGTTGCATTCCAATGGCCAGCCTTTGGGCAGGAGCAGTAGCCGCATTTCATGCTGTTTTCCCAGCTCACCTTTCACCACCCCCAATGTCCGGGGTCAATGGGGTTCCTCCCAACAGCTCTCTTGTTACCCTGTGACCCCACCTCCTTGGTTACAGCTGATTAGGAACAGTATTCTCATTGGCCTTTGGAACTAATAGGAAGAGAGACTGCCAATCAAATGCAATGACCGGTCTGTAGAACGCAGACTTGGGTGTCTTGGGGAGAGAGATCATTTCCTGGCTGCCATGTGAACCTCGGAGCAGAGGAAATCTGGCGTCAGTTTTCAAGGATAAATGAAAAGGAGCTTTTTCTGAGGTGAAGGCAAAATTGTTTTGAGGAAGTATCCCACAAGCATCTGGGCACCTTCAGAAAATCTCACCACTTACCTTTCCATAGCAGCACCGTGACCAGTGAGCATGTCCGTGGACCTGCCATTCCATCCACTGAACTGACATGGGGAACTGGCCTTCCACTGACTTTATCGGATGGCAGGTCAAACAAAAGGGCAGCAAAATGACTTGCAACCGATCAGTTTATTGTATCAGAGGACACGAAATCAGTTATCATTTAAAAGAACATAAAATATGAATCTCAAAAGCTGCTGTGCTCTGCCCCTGCTGTTCCTACGCGAACATGCTTGGAAGGGCTCTGGGGCACGGACGGCCTTACCTCTGCGTTAGCTTCCTCCAGTACGTCACCGAGACGCCCGGGGCCACGGACAAGGCCTTGTCCCACTGCAGCAGGGAGAAGAGCAGAAACACAGCCGTTCCCGCGCACAGTCTCATGCCCAGCAGGCGTGTTCTTTAATGAACTCCCATTGGTGAAACGAGATTTTAGAGGGTATTTAGAGTGTCAGCATTTCCAGAGTGACTTTTCTAGCTCATTCATCCCACAGAGTATATTACCATATCCTATATAATAAAAGCATAATATGCTAATCAGACAAGACGTCCTTCTGGATGAGCTTCCCAATGAAGCCCAGGCTGCAAGGGAAGCTGGTGCTGGCAACTAGGAGAAGGCAGGCCTACTCTCACACGAATTTCATGCATCAGGCCTCTAGTCTATAATAATAAAAGCTTAATATGCTAATTAGACCGGACAGCCAAATGACCTCCTGCAGGACCTTCTGGACTAAGCTGGGGCTGTAAGGGCTGAAGGAAGCCACCATAGCTGTGAGAGCTGAGCCCCTTGCACAAATTTCATGCATCAGGTCTCTAGTTTTAAAATGAAATGATATGTAAATTGTATCATTTAGCAGGGAAAATCCTGAACTAGTCCCAGACAGAGAGACAAGAGCTAGAAAAAGGGAGAGGGAGAGAGAAAGAAAGTGATGGCGGGGGAAGGAGTTTTTAGTTTGGAAAATATATTAACTCATCGTCCAACAGGACACCAGAGTAATTTGTTCCATGGTATTCTATGTCCTACGTTCAAAGTAATTTGCACCGAGATTTTACTCCACTGTTATGTTTAACAAATATATATGTTCCTATTCTTTCCTTACTCATTTTTATAAGTTATATTTATTGTAAATCCTTCCTTTGCAATTGGTAATGCTGGTCTTCATATTTAAAATATCAGACTCCTAAAAAAGAAGCTCATTGCTCAACCAAGGCCGATTGTGACTGTGACTTCAAAGGATGGAGTTCACTACATTCAAGTCTGGAAGGGAAGTGAGGGAAAAATATTCTGAAAGATCACTACTTAAATCAAAACTTCATTTTATTTAACAAATGTTTTAATCCTCACCCAAGGATATGTTTTTTAAATTCATTTTTAGAAGGAGAGGGAGGAGAGAAAGAGAAACATCAATGTGAGAGAGAAACATCGATCAGTCGGCCATGAGTTATGTACCCCAACAACCTAGGTATGTGCCCTGACTGCGAATCTAACTCACAACCTTTCTGGAGTATGGGGTGACACTCCAAACAACTGAGCCATCAGATAGGGTGCAAAGCTTCATTTTAATTAAGGCTTTTCAGAATAGCGCTCTACTGCAAGTAAGGCTATGAAACTGGTGATTAGCCTAAAAATAATGTTAACATTTAATCAGGTCATTTTAAATGTTATATAATTTATAATCATGTTACCTAAGAAAGGGAATTTAAATACATTTTAAAGGGAGAATTAACTATACTGTAGTAGGAGGAAAAGGGAAAAAGAAGTTGAAATGTAGATTAAATTAATGCCACCAAGGTTTTTCAGTAAGAACAGGTCTTGTAAGTGAAAGGATTACATGTTTTTCTAACCTTATAGTACTCACCTTGTCTAGCAGGTCCCTGAGCCCAGGACGCACTGTGATGGCCCACACCTGACAGACCAGGGACCAGCGAGATCCAGAGAGAGGCCCGCTACACAGCCCCCAACTAACCAGGACACATTGCATGGCTAAACTTGTGCACCTCACCCCGATGGCCCCCACCTCGCCCCAATAGCCCTCACCTCCCCTCGATGGCCCTCACCTCCCCCCGATGGGCCTCACCTCCCCCCGATGGGCCTCATCTCGCCCCGATGGCCCTCACCTCCCCCGATGGGCCTCACCTCCCCCTGATGGCCTCACCTCCCCCCGATGGGCCTCACCTCCCCCCGATGGGCCTCACCTCGCCCCGATGGCCTCCACCTCACCCCGATGGCCTCACCTCGCCAAGCTCCACCATGAGTTCGCAGTAGCGCTGGAGCTGCCCAAGCCGCAGGTGGATCTCCGCGGCCTCCTTCAGTCTCTCCTCTGTGGTCGGCGCGCCGATGCCCCCTCCGAACTTGGACATCTTGACTGTGGTCAGCTCCTGGGCTTCAGACTGGGGGCAAAGAAAAGACCCTTGTCCTGAACTGTGTGCCATCAGCGCAGGCCAGGCACCCGCCCGTGAGAGCACCTTATGGACACACAGTTGACAAGCGTTCGGCCAGGGAAGCAGACCTGAAGCCCGCACTTCTCTCTGAAGGAGGCTGCCTCTCACAGTGTGGGTGGGTGGACCTGGGTGGTCTGAGGAGGGGGAGGGGGCGGCAGAGGCGAATTCCCACTGTCCCTAAAGCTCCTGGGTTATTGGTGGCGACACAGGCCCGAGGCCGGAGGCAGTGAGGGGAAGATGCAGCAGTGATGGGGCGGCTCATGTCATGAAGGCCGCTGTCAGGCGGTAAGTGATGGACTTCCTCGACTGGCTCCTGTACAGCCAACAGGGAACGGCGACCGTCAGACGTGTCCAGCTGTCACAGTTCCCTCCATGCTGACAGGGAAGCTCACCGCGGACACTGCACTGTGATCCTAAGCTAGTTCTTCTCCCTGGGCCCAGGGCTGGTGTGTGGTGGGTGCTGCAGGTCACCCAGGTATGAGATAACGAATACTTCTGCATGACAATCCACCGAGATCTCCGCAGTACCATCAGGTTAATAAAACAGCTCAGAAGACAGCCTGCCGGGCCCCTGAGGCCAGACCCAGCGTGGCCCCCGCATCCCTGTCACCCAGTTGCAGGTGCATGGGAAGCATTGCAAGCAGGTCCAGGTGACCTGTGGGGTTTCTCGCAGTTTGCCTTAGGAGAACTGCTGCTGCCTTCTCGGTTCTCAGGACATTCCTGCTCTCATAGTCAGACTCTCATGCCTGGTCACCCCCAATCCCCCCCACCCCCCACTGGCCTGGTCACCCCTTATTGCCCTCCTGCCAGCCTTGTCCTCCCCCCCTCAACTGCCGTCCCCTGCCTATCTGGTCACCTCTAACTGCCCTCCCCTGCCAGCCTCATTGCCCCTAACTGCTCTCCCCTGCTGGTCTGGTCCCTGCCTCCAACTGCCCTCCCCTGCAGGCCTGATCACCCCTAGCTTCCCTTCTCTGCCAGCCTGGTCACTGCTAACTGCCCTTCCTTTCAGGCTTGATCACCCCCAACTAACTGCCTTCCCTTGCAGGCCTGGTCCCTCCCAACTGCTCTCCCATGCTGGCCACCTCGTGGCAGCCATCTTGTGTCCACATGGGGGCAGCTATCTTTGACCACATAGGGGCAGCCATCTTGTGTGTTGGAGTGACAGTCAATCTGCGTATTTCCCTTTTATTAGATAGGATAGGGAGAACGCACAACTCCCTTTTGCCCGAGCCCCTCCCGCCTGCCGCTGCACTCACCGTGCGGAACTTGAGCAGGTGCTTCCGGTGCATGATGCCTTTGCAGTAGTTGTGAGGCAGCAAGCTGTCATCCTGCCCTTTGATCACGGCCACCAAGGCCCACAGGTTGTCACTGCCACCTGGAGGCTAACAGTGGACGCGGAGTCAACAGCCAAGGATGTGCTTGGAGGGAGAGACCCGCAGCCGGTGCCTCTGCACCGTGCCGAGCAGGCACAGGGAACTGAGCATGAGAAGGAACGGCCAGGCCGCCTCCCACCGCCCGTCTCCGGGTTCACCTGCTTGCTTACACCGTGCAGGCGTGTTCAGAGGGCTGCACTGAACCCGTGACACATGCAAACACGTGATGACTTCACAACCACGGCTGTGACCACCCGTGTCGGGCAGAGGGAAACGCTCATACTCACGGACAGACACTCCGAAAACCACCGGAGCTTCTCCCCACACGGATGCCCGCCCGGCTTCTCTGTGTCCTGTTTGATGGCCCGTGACACCTTGCCGCACAGCACGGGCGGCGCGCCTGGCAGGACGGCGTCATCTGAGGACAGACATCGCGCAGTGAGGAAAGGCTGTCGGGAGATTAGGTTTAAAAATAAAAAGCTGGCCCGGCTGGTGTGGCTCAGCGGTTGAGCGTTGACCTATGAACCAGGAGGTTGTGGTTCCATTCCCAGCCTGGGCTCATGCCCTGGTTGTGGGCTCCATTCCCAGTGGGGGGCATGCAGGAGGCAGCCGATCAATGATTCTCAGCATTGAAGTTTCTCTCTCTCTCTCCCCCTCCCTTCTCTGAAATCAATAAAAACACACTTAAAAGTAAGTAAGTAAATAAGTACAAATAAAAAGCAGACTCATGCATGCTGTCAGTACCAGTGTTCCCGACAATCTCCTTCCAGGGCCTGTCCGCCAGGATGCTGATCTGTACCGGGGCGATCAGGGGCGCCAGCGACCACAGCCTCACGGTGGAGTCCCGGGAGCAGGAGGCCATGGTGAAGGGGCGGCTGGGATGGCACGTTAAGCCTGAAGGAAGGAGAAACGGCCTTAACTGCAGTCGACATTGGAAATACATTTTATTTACTCGGGCCTCAGCGAACGCACACAGCATTGCACTTTTGAAGAAGTGTTTCTATCTTTTTTTTTTTTTTTTTTAAATATATTTTATTGATATTTTACAGAGAGGAAGGGAGATAGAGAGCTAGAAATATCAATGAGAGAGAAACATCGACCAGCTGCCTCTTGCACACCCCCTACTGGGGATGTGCCCGCAACCAATGTACATGCCCTTGGCCGGAATCGAACCTGGGACCTTTCAGTCCGCAGACCAAAGCTCTACCACTGAGCCAAACCGGTTTCGGCAAGTGTTTCTATCTTGACTGAAAACACCGTAAGAATGGAATAAACGATTTATAATAGCATATCCCATGAATGATGGATATAAATGGAACCGTTGTGGGAAAGCAAACGGCCCTGGATGACAATGCTGGAATCACATTTCAGTTTATTAATACCGACACAGCACACGGCCCTCTGTGACTCCATGGAAGGTCTAGCCACAAGGGTGGGGCCCTTTCGATTTAAAATGACCGGAAGTGCGGTTCCCTCTCACGCTCAGTCCCACGCTGCTCAGGGAAAAGGCCACGCGGCTGAAGCACATGGACACACGTGGCTGGGTTAGGGGCACTTCCTAGGAGGAACCATTGGTGCCATCGGAATTGGCCTACTTGGGCCCAGCAAGTGAGAGTGAAGTGATGAGCAAAGGATAAGAAATGTGATTTTCCATGCTTAACTCAGTAATATTAAAAAATAAAACACCACTGTACATATCCTAGAATAGAGGTAGAGGAATGGCTAAATCAATTACATCTACTTCGTTATTGATTTCCTGTTGTATAACGAATCTCTGGACTGAGGGTAAGAGAGGAAGAAAAATCCAAGCCATACATGCAAATATGTGTGTGTGTGTGTGTGTGTGTATAAATATGTGTGTGTGTGTGTGTGTGTGTGTGTGTGTGTGTGTGTGTATAAACACAAGTACACCTGCAGGTAAAGACACCACAATGTAAGCCAAAGTTATATTCTGCAAGTTTCTGATGACGTTTTTTTTTGTCTGTATGGTTCCTAATGAGAATGTTATTTAAAAATGAAACAGTGTAAGACTTCTTAAGAACACTATCCTGCTCAGAAATGACAGGCATCATGAGGGGCACAGTGAAAGCAGGAGAAACACTTTACCATACACGTCTGCGCCGTGATCGGACACGGTGTCCAAGCATGTCCCATCGCGGGTGTCCCACACCCGCACCGTGTAGTCCCAGCTGCCGGAGACCAGGAGGTACGGGATCTCAGGGTTCCACACCAGCCCCCGCACGGGCCCTGAGTGCCCGCTGAGAACACTGATGCAGGCGTCCTGAGTATAATCCCAGATTCGAACAGACCTGGAACAGAGCATTCTGGGTATAATACCATCTGAGTTATAATCTACCCGAAATATTAACCTATTCTTATTGGAGCACAATGATTACTCTCAGTGTATTACAAAAGCATTTTATGTTTCAAGATATGCTAAGACTCTGTTCTTCATAGAAGATGGAAATAAATAATTAGGCCAGCACTAGTGAACTGCAATAGAGTATTTTTTCTCCTGACTTTTACTGGTCATGTGCTAATGATACTACCTGTTCTATTTCACAGTTTATATGTTTAAAGAATGTATTGCTTTAAGTGAAATACCCAAAACAGATAAAACCAAAGAAAAATACGAGTAATAACATGGATACAAAAATTTTAGAGCACTTAAATTTTTTGTAAGTCATGAAAATACTGTCTATATGGCAATGGATATTACCTGAAAAATCAATTCATATTTGTGATTATATCAGTACAGTAAGTCATCCCTCCACATTTCTGTCAGTATAATAAGTTGCTTATTCAGTGTGGAATTACTCTCAGATCATTACAAAACTTAAATATAACTGGATTCATGATATGACTTGAATCTATTGATTAAACAAAGTGCAAATGTTACTAAAATAAAATTTGAATTAAAAATCAACCTAAGACTGTTCCAAATTCCAACTTTGCTTAGACAATTCATACTAATGTTTTAGTCACAGACTTATAACAATCTGATGATACCAGACTACTGACACTTCTAAGATTATATGACGCTATAAAGGAGACACATTATATATATTTGTATTTCTCTAAGGCATCTCTCTTCTGCTTTCTAGAAAGAGACTTCTTCTTTCCCCCTATTCTAGGACAGCACGATGTACCCAGGTGTATCAAAATCTACTTTTGGGTGCTCATTTCTTATATATATTTAAAGTATTTTGTTTGATATCACCTTCAGAGATAAGACTATATTGATTTTTTTAAAAATTAATGCAATTAAATTGAATGCAATTAGGTACTTGTTAATGCCCACATGTGAAGTACATAGTTAAAATATTCCCACCCCAGTTGGGTCACAGAAGTGGACTGGGAAATTCGGATCGAAGCCACGCACCCGTCATCGGAGCCGCTGCACAGGATGCCCTCCCGCAGGGGCGACCAGCGCACGTGGAAGACCTTGGCCGTGTGCCCGCTGAACACCTTCAGCGGCTGGTCCGAGCTGGTGGCCACGTAGTAGACGCGCACGCCTCTGTCCTCACAGCCCGTGGCGATCATGTCTCTGGAAGGCCGTCGGTGGCCCGTGGAGATAGGAAAACGTGACAGATGTGGTGTTACTTGTGGCTGATAATTTTAAAACGCACACAGTTCTAACGTCGGACAGTAGAAGTTTTAGCTTCCTTTGTGACATGAGACTTAAATCTTACACAAGTAAAAACATAATTTGCAGAAACTGCCCTAATACCAACAATGTGTCTCTCTGACTGCTCCCTTCTAATCAGTTACATTTTTGTTTTACGCATCTTAGACCTGAGATAACAGTATTTCTATTTCTGTATGTTCTTTTTTCAAAATGTCCAGATTGAGAACTTGCTGACTATTTCTCAGAACTACTGGTACTTAGGGCGGGTCCCAGTGGTGAGTGACGGGATGTGCTTGCTTGCTGGTAAGCAGGTTGTCAATTACACCCGCCGGGCCCTCTGGTCAATCCTCGGCGGCCAGGGTCAAACCGCTCCCCTGGGAAGGCCCGCTGGGATCACTCCCAAACGGGCTGTCCATATAGGGCGGGTCACAGCCCTGTCGGCCGATTCTCTCTTGGCTTGAGATGCTCTAACTCAGTGGTTCTCACTGATTCCTAGGCAGACGGTGAGGTCCTGGGCCAAACAGAACAGCCCCCCAAGGGCCATTACCCACCATGAGCAGCTCCCACACCCTAGAGGCCAAGAGGCCACATCACAGGGCACTGGCCTGAATTGCGGGCTGCCCTTTGTCACAGGGGCTGTAAGAACTGTATTATACAGTCCTATGTGAAGAAACACACCAGTTTTCCAACGGGAATGCTGAGCTGTAGATGTGCTGGTTACATCTGCCCAAGCCCACTGATACAGGGGCTGGTTTCAATATCGTTTGCATAATACAATATTTACATGCATAAATATACATATATATATATATATATATATATATATATATGCAGAGACTTAAGTATAAAATCTTAGAGATGAAATAATAAACATTTAAAAAGAGTACATATAAACATCAAAATTAATATTCAGAGATACCTTATGAATAAACTTATAAGTTCAAGGTGTTACTTATCTCCTAACATGCTAAGTAAAATATGAATATAGCAATTAGAGTATTTTTTTTAAATCTTTAAAAAAAATGAAATTTACTAGGCAGGCTTGGTAGAAAGTGTAATAGTTAAGTATGGAGGACTTTTTGAAAAGAAAAACCTTTCTTAGCCATCAAAGCATATTGCATTAATCACTAGTTTTAATTTCAACTGTCAAATGCCTATTAAACCTACGAAACTGAGAGATGAGAGTGTGGAACGGTTATGTTGGTCAGACACAGGGAATCTGTGTATTGAAAAGTGTTTGGCTAAGAACACAGAGCTACAAAAAGGTACCACTTTGAGAGCTGACTGCTCAATTTTGGAAATGACATGCATTTTAAACAACACTGCCTATATAGTTATTCCAAGTGTGTGTAAACACTTTGGGGGGCCGCCCTCTGGATTGGACTGATTTATATTTTTCATTAGTTAGCCACACACTTCATCCTAAGGCAGTGGTCGGCAAACTCATTAGTCCACAGAGCAGCAAACCACGGCTCGCAAGCCGCAGGTGGCTCGAGAGCCGCAGTTTGCCGACCACTGTCCCAAGGCATCGGAATTCTGTTCTGAAAGCAGGGAATTGATGTTTCTAAGTCTTACAAGGACAAACCATGAGATAAAAAGACACTTGGACCCAGTAAGCAATGCCGGGGCTAGGCAAAGGGGATGCTGCCTGAAGAGTGAGGAGAGTTCCCCGGGGGTGACATTGAACTCGGTGGCGATTGAAATCTCAGGGCGGCAACGATTCCTGGTTCCAGGGGGAGAGACTCACTTGTTGTTCTGGCTCCAGTCACAGCCAAACACGGCGGCAGGGTGCTTGTACTTGTGCAGCACTCTCCCGTCCAGGGTCCGGATGATGCTGAAACCGAGAGCAGCGTGCTAACTGGAAACAGACCCTGTGAGTGCTTCGTTCAGGGGAACAGAGGACGGCTCAGTCCAGCCTGAGCGTTAGGAGAGGGGCCTTGCCTGCACAGCGCTGGGCACATTCGAACGTGCTGGGTAAATGTAAGCTACGTCACATATTACTGGTTATGGTAATCTATGTAAATGTTATCTATGTCACATATTACTGGTTTTGGTAATCAATGTAAATGTTATCTACCTCACATATTATTGGTTATGGTAATCTAGGTATACCCATTAAAGGGGATACATTTTCAGTGAGAAATTATTTCTTATAGAATTTTATTGAGGAAAAGCATAACGTATACAACTATTGTAAACCATAATGATATAGCTAACATGTGCACTAGGTATTCAGATTCAGAATTTATATTTAAAATAACTCCTCTCTAATGCTGGTGACATGTCCCATCATACCAAATCCAAGACGTACATGTGGTCATATTCCTCTGCATGTTCTAAGTGATGTAAGTAGAAATGTGAAGGACCCCCTTTCCCTAAAAGGACCCTGTGTGCTTTACCTGGAATACCATATACATGACACCACAATGCAAGGCCCACTGATTCCTTCAGAAAGAAAAAAGTAAGTTGTGTACAAACCAATGTATTACAGGCTTTAAAACGTTTCTGGAACAGCCCCCCTAAGACACCGTAAGGTCCACCAGAATTCTGAGGGTGGGGTGGTGACCCCTGCTCCGTCATCAGATAAACACAGCCCTGAACGGACACACGTGTGACCCCATCAAAAACACGTTGGCAGCCGAAACCGGTTTGGCTCAGTGGATAGGGCGTCGGTCTGTGGACAGAAAGGTCCCGGGTTCGATTCCGGTCAAGGGCATGGACCTTGGTTGCAGGCACATCCCCAACCTCTCATCAACGTTTCTAGCTCTCTATCCCTCTCCCTTCCTCTCTGTAAAAAATCAATAAAATATATTAAAAAATAATAATAATAAAATAAAGAGTAAAACTTAAAAACAAACAAACACGTAGGCACAGCTTTCTTATTTTGGTTTGTATCAATTTGCAAACAGTTCTTTCAAGGGAAATATCACTAATATTGTTTCTTCCGAGAATTTTAATATCCCGGTGAAGAACTTTTAAGTTTCCATAAGCACTACCTTTCCCACTGAAATGAAAAAGTGAGAATAAGAAAGCAGGTGCTTGCACAGCAAAACCGAAGATGGGACAAATCACGACCGTCCAGCAACCAGGCGTGTCTGTCTCACCGCATAGACAGCAGCCCCCGCAGCTGAGCGGCATCTTCAGGTTAAAACATTATTTCAGCCCAAAGGCAACTTCCGCCTGGCATAGTATATTTTGGAAACCTGCCTTCCCCACAGGCTTAACCGAATTGAGGAAGCGTGTTCTGAGACATGGGGTCAGGGAACCGAGCTTCTATAAAACGGGTTTTCCCACATGGGCTCCTTTATCCCTATGCTTTCCTAAATGACAGCACCTCCCACACTGGGAAGAACTTTCCAGAGCACTGAGTAGCTCCCGAGCTGCTGTAACCCTGACCCGCCACCCCCTCCAGCATCTGAGGAGAAACGTGCAGGCTCTTCATGAAAAGCCCTTCATGCCTCATTGAGGCCATCGCTCTCTTTTCGTTGTTACTGGGGCAGTGCTGTCACTGTGCAGCCAAGGCTGGTTCCTTTTTCATCCTCATTTATTGTTCATTTTTTAAAAATTGACTTCAGAGAGGAAGGGAGAGGGAGAGAGAGAGAGAAAAAGAAACATCCATGATGACAGGGAATCATGGACCAGCTGCCTCCTGCTCAGCCCACACAGGGGATGGAGCCTGCCACCCGGGCATGGGCCCTGACCAGGAATCGAACTGTGACTTCCTGGTTCATAGGTTTGATGCTCAACCCCTGAGTCATGCTGGCTGGGCTCTTTTTCTTATTTTGAACATCGTTTCATAGTTATTACTGACGCATCATAGCAACACAGCAGAGGCCTGTGTGGCCTTCTACATGGTACTGATGACAGGTGTGCACACGTGAACCTCATCAGGATGTGCGTGTCCAGCTGCCAGGACACACTGGCAGGGCCCAAGGCTGCTCTGTGGACGGGACAGCGGCGGCAGCACTCACCAGAGGCCGTCCTCGCTGCAGGTCGCTATCCGTTTGGAATCTTTGTGACTCCAGGCAACGCAGAAAATCCCGTTGTTTCCGTGCTTCAAAAAATGCAAAACACCTATCAATAAGAAATAACGCACCTCTTGTTCTCTTATTTGCTTACTCCGTCTAAGAGCGATTTTGCTACGAGGAGCTGGCTGTGGGTGATGCAAGCATTGGGGCCACACCACGACAGGGAGAGAATACACACTCTGAGTGTGCCCGTTCTCACACTTCACCCAGGATCACTGTTTCAGAGCATGGATCGGGTGGCTTCTGCCTCTCCTCTGTGGACTCGGGCCAAGAGCCAGAAGTGCTTGCTGAGCTCCTAGCGCAGTGGTCGGCAAACTGCGGCTCGCGAGCCACAGGCGGCTCTTTGCCCCCTGGAGTGTGGCTCTTCCACAAAATGCCACGGCCTGGGTGAGTCTGTTTTGAAGAAGTGGCGTTAGAGGAGGTTTAAGTTTAAAAAATGTGGCTCTCCGAAGAATTGTCAGTCATTGTACTGCTGATGTTTGGCTCTGTTGACCAATGAGTTTGCCTACCACTGGGCTAGTGGATGAAGCTCTGCTCCCCGCCTTCTCCTGCAAACACCGGGCTGCAGGGAGGGTGACGGCCTGCCTCCTACCCCAGGGCAGTCAGGCATTGTGGCCACAACTGTTCTTCTCAACTTCGAAGGTTTACTGTTATGGGAGCCAAGCGGAGCAGACTTAGGGTCATTCCTAGAACAAAGGACGTCATTTTTCTGTGTGTTCGCACTCTCAGGCTGAGGGCGGGGAAAGGGACGCAGGCCCAGTGCTGTGATGAGAACCTGTAAGACTCCAGGGGATGTCATACATGGGCGTGTCATCCTTCAACGGGGACACTCCATTTCCAAAACTGACGGAAGACATTTCAATCTTCCAAGCACTGAGCTGCTGGCTGCTTTAGGGGAGAGAACATGCCTTTCTACCTGTTTCATGGCCGTTTGACTAAGGCAACCTCTGGCTGCTGTTTTTACCTTTTTGGAGGTCAAGGGGGAGGCTTACAAAAATGGGTACAAAATGGGGTCGTGTCCACCCCTGTCACCTGGAGCACAGGCCCCCTAACCCCCCTCCCTCTCCTCTCCCCTCCTCCCCCCGCCAGCTCCGCTCCCCCATGCGGGTACCCCGGCCCTCCCACATCCTGCTGCTCCTGTGTGAGGCTCGGTGACCGCTAAGTCAAGCGGGCGTTGCTCATTTCCCCCACATTTATCCTCCTAGATCCGAGCCATTTGATCCCGGTCTTCACTAGAAAGACACGGTGGATCCAGGCGACAGGAACACGGTGCTACGGTGCTGGGCTCTGGGGTGGGGCTGGGGCGGCTCTAGCACTAATGGACAGCTACTGTGGGTCACAAGATGCCTTAACAGCCCACCAGATCTGACCCCTGGGGCAAATAAATGCCTGGTATTGAGGGTTCCTCTTCCGGTTCCTTTCTTCTCCTGCTCCCTTTGTCACTGGGTGCTGCTGTTCTAGCTCGGGGGGGAAGAAGGGGCGGGGGGGAGGTCAGTGCTCCAGGGGAGTGTGCCTGTTACATGGAGAAAGGGCAGGAGCTGAGCCCAGGCCTCTGTGGGAGTCTCCTCTGCTGAGGGCAACACTGCCCCCTGGTGTTGGAAATCCCTGCTCTCCAACCCCTGGAGATTGAGGCTGCTTGATCCTCAAAGGGGGTAAGTCTTCAGTATAAATGGTTTTAAAGCCTCAAACATATACATGATTTTATAGAGGATTTATACTTAATAGACATTAACAGCAATCATTTGAAACGAATGACATTTCAAAGCAGCAAGAGGCAATCCCAGATTCTGTGGCATTTCCCTTGATTCCTATCTAACTCGCTGTCACGAGATCATGTGTGTTTCCCAAATATGAGTGGGACTCCGTCAACTCTGGGTGACAACTGACCCCAACCACCATCTGTGACACCACAAACCAAAGGTGGAGAGGTCTGCGAGCTTGTCATGGACTAGAAGGACCTGAGGACAAAAAGGAAACTAAGGAACTACATAACCGACTTCCCGTCCTAGAGCTGAAGAGTCAGGTTCGGGCAGCTCACCAGCGGGAGGCCTGGCGCAGTGCCCTGGCCCCGCTGTGGGTTCGCCTCTTCCGGCCACGGACTAAGTGCCCAGGTAACCGGGAGGACTCAGGTTCCTGCGAAGACCTGGTGCCACTGGAGGTGGATTGACTTTTCAGAATTCATTTTAACACATAAACATCCTCCCGGGCTCTGTTCCAATCCAGAGAACACACTGCCACCTGGTGATTCTCTACTACAGTAAGATCCAAAGCATGCGAGCAGCCTAAGACAGGCTCTTCGGCCACCAGGAAGTAACTCCTTACCTCAGTAAAGCGCTGCACCATCCTGCCCTTCTTGAGGTCCCAAATGAAGGCACCGTTCTGGGAGGTGGCTCCGGCAATGCAATCCAGATCACCTTGGCAAGCGATGTGACAGGCGTTCTCTGACATGCTTGCCAGAAACGTGCTTCCCAAACATGTCGTTTTTGAAAAAGACTTAAGATTTGCTAAGCAGTCTTTAAAAAAAAATTTTTTTTTTTAAATGTGAAAATCCACAGAATTCATCACAAGGTCACAAGTGAACTGTGCTGACATATAACCATTCATATTTACAAAACAGCTGCATCGGGGAAAACTCTGCGTCGTAACTTAGAAAACACATTTTGTAACGTTAGAAGGCAAATGTTTAACGCTTTCATGTATTTGATTCGCAAAACACTGTGAAGGAAAATGGTCACCTCAGAGGTGCCGTATCGTTAAAGACATGCCTATACAAATGCAACTCAAATGAGATGGGTCCCAATTAGCCTGACTGACCGTGGCTTTTCCCTTTGGTCACGTGATACCATAGGGTCCAGAAATCCAGGTGTCCATGTGGGAAGTCCACTCAGAAAATCTCCCCAAAACGCACCCAACAAATATGTCCTTCCTACGGGGCCTCTGCTTGGCGCTTGGGAGACGACGACATTGAGGGGAAGAAGGTAACTCAAAGGAAAATAAAAGTCCGGAGGCCACTGAATCGTCCTCCCCACTGGAATGGCGTGCTCCTTACCTGGCGCCCAGGAGAGGGAGTAGATCACCCCCTCGTTCCCCGGGGACGTGTACACTGCGGTCAGTGTGTCCACGTCCCACACCTTCACGGTGCCATCGAAGGACGCGGTCGCCAAGAGGTTGGGATCATTGGGCTTGAACTTGCAGTCGAAGATGGTCTCCACGTGTCCCTAGGAATGCAGCACACCAGGCACAGCCCCTGAGCAAACCCAGGGGATGGGTAAGCAACCCACAGTGTGCAGTCAAGTGCAACCCTGGACCAGAGATTCTAAATATGAGTGCAAACCTGTGAGGGCGAGCAGAGACACAGAGCCTGCAGCCCTGTGGGGCGTCCCCATGCTGAGACTGTACACACCGCCCAGACCCAGATTTATCCAGCCCCAGTTCCCTAAGTCAGCAACTAAGCCAAAATGCCCAAAAGCCCAATTTCAGCTGCCATTCAATGCACATCTTTTCTGAATACGTGTCATGCACAGAGGACTATGCCAGGAATTTACAAAGCAATGGACTCTTAACATTTATTATGTAATGCTGGGAACATGATAAAAGACAAGATAAAACTGAAAACATCCTTCAGTGGAATTATTGCTTCCTTCATGCCAATGACACACTCCGAAAGGACTTCACAGCTTCAACTGACAGAGGACGCGTCTGGCTTGGGCTTGGTTTTTAACCAAGTTTTCAAACTGTCCCAAAGCTTCCTAGCAAGTTTACTCTTTGAAACTCCAGTCCTGTTTCCCTGACAGGGTGACACGCATCCCAGACACACACACACACACACACACACACACCACAGGCTGTGTGGTGGGAGGTGCAGATGTGTGAAAACACACACTTGCAAGTGGAGGTCAGTTACCAGGTGCCTGTGGGAACCTGGGGAGAGTCAGGTAAGCAGCCAGCTGCCATGCCTGTCTCCCCAGCGCCGGGGATGGGAACTGACCCTCACCTCCTACTCAAAGCAGCAGCCACTACAGCAGGCCGGGATCTGGGGAGAATTAACACAGGGACAGGCGGGCTCTCTCCCCGCCCCCCACACCTGCCCTAAAGGTACAGGGGAGCCTTTACACTCAGGTGCATCCAGCAGTGAGACCAGAGAGCCTGGCCTCAGGAAACCACACCAGGGCCTCAAGGCCAAGGTGCCTCTCCTTGGGAGAGGGAGAGGAGTGGTGGGGAGAGGGAGGGTAGGTGGGCAGGGGCAGGGGCGGGGCTACTCCCATCCTCATGTCACTCAGGGCAGGGCCTGCCTGCAGGTGCCTTCTTCAATGTTAATTCAGGGCTAAGCTTTCAGATCTCATTGGAAACATCATATAGCAAGACTAAGCGGTGACTGTTTCTTGTCTTCTTAGCAGCAGGACTGCAGGGGTGAAAGGAAGAAATGGAAGCATTTCCCTTCATTTCAATCAAGCTGACATCCACGTGGAAGGACACCTGTTCACAAGCCTCTGAAGGGGGTTTGGATGCCACGTAACGTGAAAGCCTGGAGGTGCCTGGTGCACAGAGCATCACGTGGGATGACTGTGCTGGTGACTGTCCTGCAGCCCCATCTGGGTCTGCGTTAGCAATGCGACTTTATGAGGATAAAACTAAGTCTTCGCTGACTGGCAGGCACTTTGAAGGTGGGAAGATCCAGTGAAATAATTTATGATCAAGGAATGTTTTAGGTTTGACAGTCAAACTCAGAGGGAAGGCAGGGGAGAATGGGGGTAAGGGGGAGAGATCAACCAAAGGACTTGTGTGCATGCATATAAGCCCAACCAGTGGTCATGGACAACATGGCAGTGGGAGCATGTGTGGGGAGGGGTTTGGGATGTGAATGGGGGGATGAGGATAATTATGTGATTCCTTAATCAATAAAGAAATTTAAAAAAAAGGTTAAGTATAAATAAAAAAATAAATGTCTTAGTTTTGATGGAATTATAAATTTAGCATAGTGTTTTAAAATAAAACATGTTTTAATACGAGGATTTGCACTCAATAGAAAGTCTTTTGAACTTAGATTGTGTAACTTCCTTATTAATGTGAATTTTAAAACACTTGTTATATTTTTCTCTCTTCCTTTTCATAATTCTTTTAAAAGTAGGCGGTAATTGGAAATGTGGAAGAAATTTCCCACACTGGGGAAGCATTTGCATGGAAGGAAAGGCTTACAGGGAACGAAAATTCAATCAAAATAATATCTACAAAATATCAATCAAATAATACCAATCAAAATAATATCTATAAAAGGAATATTTCTATATAACTAAGCTACACATTGTTAAACAATATTTTTGCTAATGTTCCATATTTTTATTTGAGAATAAAATTAAAGTAGTCTTCAAATAACAGTATTATTGATTATTTACCTCTTTTTTTTTTTTTTAAAGAAGGGAAAGTATAGTTGTAGAGTCCTTTATAAGTTTTTCCAGGGAAAAACAATTAACATTTATAAGTCTTAAATGTCTAGATTGGTATAATTCAAACCTGTGGGGGGGAAATGGGCATTTAATAAACAAGGGAAAATTAAGAAGGATGATTCTTGACAAATAGTAATTACAACACAATATGCATGATTACAGTCACTCGCTCGCTCATTCATTATGCATGGAATCATTCATGCGACAAAACTTAATAAAGACTTGCTATGTGCCAGGCCCTGTGTTAGGTGGTGGAGATAAAGCATAGAGTAAAACCAAGCAAAAACGCGAGACCTCCCCGAGACTGTATTTTATCGTGTGTGGAGGCTGAGTGGTCAGAGCACAGAAGAGCCCTGGCCAGTCTGCTCAGTTGGTCTTGAGCATTGTCCCTGCAGCCAAAGGTCACCGGTTCAATTCCAGTCAGGGCAGAGGCCTGGGAGGTGCTCAGGAGGCAGCCGATCGTCAATGTTTCTCTCTCTCCTTCTTCCTTCCTCTCCCTGCAAAATCAATAAAAACATTTTTAAAAAAGAAAAGAAGATGACAGAATCATAATGATTGAATAATAGAAAATAAATCTTAGAAATGCTTCATCCATCCGCTTTGCTCACTCATAGACGGGAACACTGAATCCGGAGTAGCTGGCAGAGATGGATTTGTCCTTCCTCCTAGGAAAGGGTTGTTCTCTTTTTCTCTTTGCTTCCAAAACGTGGTGCAGCAATGCAATTCCCAGTGCTGGACGGGGGCTGGCGGGGTCCACACAGCAAAGGAACACTGCCAGCCATGAGGGCAACGAGGATACGCAGGCAGGGCTGTTCCCTGGACTTTCATGTTTAAAGCTTAAAGATTCTTAATAGTTTTATCCTCATTTTGTACATCATTCCAAAATGTTTCAGCCACCCCAGGGGCAAAGTCCTAATGTTATGATTTGTTTTAAAAATATATACATTTCTAGAGAGAGAGGAAGGTAGAGAGATAGAGATAGAAACATCCATAATGAGAGAGAATCACTGATCGGCTGCCTCCTGCAGGCAGGCTACTGGGGATTGAGCCAGCAACTTGGGCATGTGCCCTGATAAGGAATCGAATCTATGACCGCTTGGTACATGGGTCAAAGCTGTTCAACCACCGGAGTCACACTAGCCAGGCTGATTCTTTACAAAAATAAATGTTAACAGTATTAATATACAAGTAAAAGTAAACACCATGAGCGTCACACAGTAAGTGCCATGTGTGAGAGAAGGGACGGCCGCAGACATACCATGTCCCTCAGGAAGTCCCACTTCCTGGCTCCCAGGTCATACAGGCCCACACCGCCATCCAGGAAGCAGCACAGGGCGTGCCCGGGGGGCAGGGAGGACGCCTGGCCCGGGGGCAGTGCCTCGCTCGTGGAGGACGTGTAGTGATTTGGGGTGGAAGGCTGGATTGAAACTGAAAAAGAGAAAGATCAGCAGGTAAACATTTATGGAAGCAGCTTCCTGTGTGTGGATGACACCTCAGGGACTGATTTCCTCTGGCCAGAACTGGGATCTGTGAACTGCAGGCAATAATCACATTTCTGCCTCAGGAGTACTTTTACAGTTTTTCCAAAATTCAGGGGTGAGGAGAGTTGAAGGGGGGAAGGGGGAGAAAGACAAGGAGGTTTATAACTACTACAGTAATTAATCAGTCATAATCCTATATAATAAAAGACAAGTATGCAAATTGACTGTACCTCCACTGCACCCACAAGCCATGCTCACCAACCAATCAGAAGCAGGTATGCAAATTTACCCAACAAATATGGTGGTGGCCCCACGGAGCTGGAGCAAGCAGGAAGCTTGGGTTGTCCCTGATGATGGAGAAAGCCAAGCTTCCTGCCTGCGCTGGCTGGCCCAGGCCTCCGCTCAAGGCTACAAAGTTTCAATTATAGAAGATAAATAAATTCCAGATACCAGGGCCTCCACTTGGGTCACCAGGGGGCATGGCTGGCCTGCAAACCACCACAGGCCCCTCACCCAGGCCACCCCACGACCCAAGGGAATCCCCACCCTGATCTGGAACACCCTTCAGGGCAAACCAGCTGGCCCCCACCCATGCACCAGGCCTCTATCCTATCTAATAAAAGAGTAGTATGCAAATTGACCATCACTCCAACACACAAGATGGCTGCCTCCATTTGGACAAAGATGGCCACCACAAGATGGCCAGCAGCGGAGGGTAGTTGGGAGGCACCAGGCCTGCAAGGGAGAGAAGTTGGAGGCAATCAAGCCTGCAGGGGAGGGCAATTTGGGGTGACCAGGCCAGCAGAGGAGAGAAGTTGGGGGTGACTGAGCCTACAGGAAAGGGCAGTTAGGGGAAAGCAGGCTGGCAGGAGAACAGTTAGGCATCAATCAGGCTGGCAGGGGGGTGGTTAGGTGGTGATCAGGCTGGCAGGAAGAAGCAGTTAGGGGCAATCAGGATGGCAGGCAGGCAAGCAGTTGGGAGCCAGCATTCCTGGATTGTGAGAGAGCAGTCAGGCAATTGGACATCCCTCAAGGGGTTCCAGATTGGAGAGGGTGAAGGCTGGACTGAGGGACATCCCCCCCACCATGCAAGAATTTTGTGCACCGGGCCTCTAGTATAAGAATAAACTCTGGGCTTTGAGAACTCACAACTGTAAACCTACTGACTCCTTTAGTACAGATATTATCCCACCCTCTAATATAGAAAATTGGATATTATTTTGAAAAGAGGTGTATAAAATGCAGGGTGAGCAACCTGGATAAAAATTAGTGTGTGAAGAATCATAATATGCTGTGAATATCTGGTTTATTATCTCCCCATAGAATAAAGCATAGAATGCTTATTATATGCTTTATATATATATATTATTGATTTTTTTTATAGAGAGGAAGGGAGAGGATAGAGAGTTAGAAACTTCGATGGGAGAGAAACATTGATCAGCTGTTTCTTGCACACCTCCTACTGGGGATGTGCCCATAACCAAGGCACATGTCCTTGACTGGAATAGAATCTGGGACCTTTCAGTCTGCAGGCCAAGGATCTATCCGCTGAGCCAAACTGGTTAGGGCAGAACGCTTATTTTTTAATTAGAATTTTCTTTCAAAATCTTGATATATTAGCTTACTCCCCCTTCCATACACACACAGACACACATGCATGTGAGTTTTTTCTTTAAAAGCTCTCAACTCTCTAGTAATTGCTATGCTAATGAAAATAATTATCTTTGAGATTATATAATTCACTTTAATTTAGCACCCAAATTAAGAACCATAATGATCTGACATACATTTTTTTACAACTTACTTTTTTAATATGCTCTTATAAACTTTTAGAGAGAAGGGGGAGGGATAGAGAGACAGAAATATCGATGAAAGAGAAATATCATAGATCGGCTGCCTCCTACACACCCACTACTGGGGATCCAGCCTGCAACCCAGGCATGTTCCCTGTCCTGAAATTGAACTGTGACCTCCTGGTTCCTAGGTCAATGTTCAACCACTGAGCCATGCAGGCAGTACATTTTTCATCTTAGATTTTCTCTCTTCCTCCTCATGTTTACTTTCATTGTTCATATGCTTCTGTTTCTCCAACTTTCAATTGCATGTGTCCCCATGTTTAGTTATTTCCTGCCTAGTCTGTATCTCCTACTGTGTCTTCTTTTCAAGAAGTTTTTCCTTAGTACAAGAATTTGCAAACATAATCCAAAATAATGCTACCACTGTAAATTATCAGACCAACCTATGTTAATTACATACTGGAATATAGATAAATATTTCCCAGATATTCTCTCCTTTTTAGTATGCTCCCTTTTTCATTCAAATATAATCGCCTTCCATATTGCATTCATTTGGATAATGCTATTTCTCAGAATCAATTCAAATGGCAGGAAGTCCAGGCTAGAATGAACTTCTACTGATAAAAGAGGCATTTGATTCTATGAAGCTTTATTGACCATTTGGTAAAAACTAATATAGTCTATGACTCACTGCTATAACATTTTAATTTACTGACATTATGGGTGGTTTTGATACCCTTGATGTACTTATCTATCTGTAAGCCATCTTTTTCTTTTTTTTTTCTTTTTTTTTAGAATTTGGTATGCCTGTATTTTAAACTCTTCATTTTCACATAATTTTTCTTATTCCACACTTGGCTGGATTCTTAAAAACAGGGTAAAAGACTAGACGTCTAGCAATAGATTCCCTAAAAGGAATTACTCACAAATGACAAGATTGGTATGCGCTTCTTCATGTTTGGTGATTTTCCTCTAATACACATGCACTACTTTTATAATACAAAAACAAACATGAGAGAAGCGAATTGGTGACAGTTCAGTCATCCTGTGTTATGCAAGTCACAGCAGCTAAACCAGTGGTGGGGAACTCAAGGCCCGCGGGTCACATAAGGCCTGAAAAGTCATGTGATCTGGCCCTGGCTAGGCAATAGGGGCGAGTTAATGAAACACTTGACCAAATACCGCAGGCTGGCTAACTTTTAAGTGGATAATTGTGTATGGCCCATGACTGATGTTAAAAATATCCAATGGTCCTTGGTGGAAAAAAAGGTTCCCCACCCCCGAACTAAACCAAGAAACAAATATCCGCGCGTGCGCGCACACACAAACACACACACACAGAATTGCAGGATATACACCGTCTCAGCCTCCAGAATGTTACTTCTCCGGTCTCAGCATCTCCAGATCCTGGTTCCCAGGATTTAGAGGTAGTAAGGCCCGACAGAAAAGCTTAACTTGTGTGTCTTTCATGGTTCCATCAGCACAGACATTGTCAAAGGCTGATTTTTAAATTGGCTTTTCAGTTAGCACATATCTGATATGCCTCTATCACCACAGCAGCCATTTCATTTGGAAGCAGCAGGTACAATATTTTAAGGAATTAGACTCTGATGATACTCTTACTCACATTTCTTCCTTGGTGGAGAATTCAGTATATGTAAGCAGTGAAATCCTGTTTTCTTCAGTTTGAAATTATCAATCGGTGTTGTTCTCGAAACATTCCAAATGCGTAGAACGCCTACTTGAGAATCTAGGCAAGAAAAAAGCATCATGTGAACAAGTTTTACTTGAGATATAAAATGCCCGGACTTAAGAGTAATAAGAGAATCTTCAACTTGCAAGATTTTTAGCACTACTAATGGGCCTTCTTCAAATAATAAGACTGTACACTCCTATATAACAAAAAGGTAATATGCAAATTGACTCTTGGAATGACCAGTTGCTATGACGCACACTGATCACCAGGGAGCAGACGCTCAATGCAGGAACTGCCCCCTGGTGGTCACTGCACTCCCACAAGGGGAACTCCGCCCAGCCACAAGCCGGGCTGATGGCTGTGAGTGCAGTGGCTGTGGCAGGAGCCTCTTCCACCTCCTTGGCAGCACTAAGGATGTCCGACTGCAGCTAAGCCATCAGCTGGACATCCCCCAAGGGCTCCTGGGCTGCCAGAGAGATGTCTGACTGCTCTCAGGGGAGCAGGTCTAAACCGGCAGGTGGACATCCCCCGAGGGGTCTGGGTCTGCGAGAGGGCGCAGGCTGGGCTGAGGTGACCACCCCACACCCCCCATGCACAAATTCCATGCACCGGACCTCTAGTTTACTATAATAAATAATAACATGTGCAATCTTAACAAGTCCTGCACAGAAGTAACCAATGAAGGGGTATTATTTGCCTGACTGAATTAAAGAACACGCTCGCATTTAACACGCGGGCGGGTGGGCGCACTCACCTCCGGTGACGAACATCCCTGGGGCGCTGGGCACCCAGGCCAGGCACTGCACACAGGCCGCGGCGCTGGGCAGGCTGAAGGCGGTGATGCAGCAGAGCGACTCGGCGTCCACCAGCCGGATCCCGTGGTGCAGGCTGGCCACCAGGAGGTAGTCCGTGGACAGCGGGTCCCACTCCAGGGCCGTGACCGGGTCCTCTTCGTCCGTCCCTTCCAGAGCGTCGGGTCTCAGAACATGTCTCTGGCTTTTATTACCTGTTAGGACACGAAGAAAGTGACTTTAAACGGCATCCTCAGAGAAAGGCCAGTAACTGAGAGGGTGCTGATTTTCTCCGCTCACACCACGGACCCCAGCAGCACGGGAATAAGAAGCTGCTGATGGCATGTGAGGGCGGGGAGCCAGGGTTTGTCCCAGTGACGCAGGTCAGACGGGGCTGCTCTGCGTTGGCGATCTCTAGTACCTGGGAGGTTGGCCCTATTTGTTACGGAAACACTGTAAGGAAAAGACAAGAATACACACGATATTGTCATCAAGTACCATTCCACCAAGTGACACAGCACAGACAGGACAAGGCTCACCCGAAGGAAGCACGTCCTGTTGTGATGAAAAGCACAGACTCTGGGTCCAGCCCGACCTAGTCCCACCACTTAGGGGCTCCATGTTCTTGGACAAGACACGTCATCTCCGTGTGCTTAGGGTTTGTTTTTAGGGAACATAACGACACCTACCTTGTAGAGTTTTGTCTTTTTTAAGATTACGTGGATGAGTTGCTGAAAGTGCTTAGAACAGCGGAGATAGCATGAGCAGCACATCTCTATTTATTGTCACTCTTTGTCCCACCTTTGTCATACCCATCACTCCCTCCTGACTCCACTACAACCCGGGCAGCTGGACACACAGGGGGCAAAACAAGGGGAATTCAGTGAAGCCAGGGACCGCTCTCACTGGTCTGGCTCAGTGGCTAGCATTGGCCCTCGGACTGAAGGGTCCCGGATTTGATTCTGGTCAAAGGGCATGTACCTTGGTTGCAGGCTCCACTCCTAACCCGGGCTGTGGGTCATGTGGGAGGCAACTGATCGATGTGTCTCTCTCATGTTGATGTTTCTCTCTCTGACTCTCCCCTTCCTTCCACTCTCTAAAAGTCAATGGAAATATATCCTTGGGTGAGGATTAACCAAACAACAGAACCCCACAAAAACAAAGTAAATGAAGCCAAGGCCCATCAAACAATCCTCCTTTCCTTCCAATCACTTACACAACTGGCCATGGGGGGGATCCACTCTGTGGACGCTCTCATGCTCCAAAGCAAGGCCGTGAAACTGCACTCAGAGACCACACCCTCACAGAGAGCCCAATTATCCCTGCGTGCCCTCCACTTTAAAATCCTATTTTACTTAAAAAATAACACTACCGAGAGATTCCATAGCTCTGTCATCAGTGCACACAGTTATCCAGCCTTTCAGGTTATAAAAGCAAAGAAAAGCGAGTCCCTTGGTTCTGTCAGACGTTATGAAATGAATTGAAAACCTTACAGCTTCTGCCTTGACATTAACTTCATCAGAATATAATATTATGCAAATGCACGGTGGGTCTTAAATAGGTGTTGTTTTAGTCAGAATCTATGATAGTGCACATATAGTCATAGAAAGGGCACGAGAGATTTCTTTTATCTTGGATTTGTCAAATTTTCACAATAACCATCAAGGAAAGTTTGTTTGCTTCTTCTTCCCCCAAATAAACATCATCCAAACAGCTATTTTATGAAATAATAATGACTATTAACATAGTGGGTCATTACAAGGCCAAAAGAGGCAGAAAAGTGATTTATGGAGCTAAGTTGTACTTTACTAATTTTACTAGTAAAGTACAACTTTACTAATAAAAATTAGTAAAGCATCTATGACTTATTAAAAATGTTCCAGGAGGATATGAAAAAAAAAAGCAACAAAGAACATGGTAAAATTTACAACGAAAATGTTATAACATCCAGATCATGTTGCTTCAAAGCCCCATCTTACAGTCAAAATGATAAAGGGTTATAGTCACTGTTTTCCGTTCTATCAGATATCAACATTCTTATTATAAAAGATAGAAAAATTAATCTATAAATGTAAAGCCAGTCGTTAGAATAACAGCTGATAACATTCGAGTTTACATTATTATTTATTTTGCTATTACTTGTGTCCTAATTTTTTACACAAATATCCGGCCCCTTGAGTTGTCAGATAAGGACAAATGCATGCGATAAATTGATAAGATGAGGTTGACAACTTCTGTATGAGAGACAAAAACTGGGGCAAGGGAGAATTACGGTCGAAAAATAACATAATGAGGATGATGCATAAACCAACGAGCTGCTGAAATTTTGACTCTGAGATCTATCTGGTGGCTGAAGCCAAGAGGACAAAAACCATGAAAGGTGGCACAACAGGATAAAAATAAAACAAAATGACAAACAGAACAATGTTCCGAGAAGCACGAGGTTTCCTGGAACTGACACCGGAAATAAGCGCCTCTCCCCCGTGCGTTACCAGCGGGGACACAGTGTTGTGTGAGGACAATGTCACCAACAACATTTCTCAGATAAAACAACACCAACTTGATTACTGCCCTCCTCGGGGCCATAGCAGAGTAAAGTCAATTAAAACAGCTCTGTTACGAAGGTGAGACTGTTCTCTGATGAGCTGGCTCTGTCCAAGAATATACCTGGAAATGGATAACGCAGTGGTTTCCCCACATTTTGGGTCTTGGAACCATCTATTCAGGTGAGAATTTTTACATTAAAATACAGGTAATACGGAACTAGGTGGTGGTGCTCTTAGACTGGTTGAGCCACCTGGATCACCTACCCACCCTTATCCCCTCCACCCAACACACACACAAACATGAAACACACTACTAATCACCATTTTAAAACCACGGGTTTAAAATAATGGGTGAACTGCCTTATTGTGGGCAGTCCTCCATGAATAGTTCCCTTACCTGCTTCTTCTAAAACAGAGAAAGCTGGGCAGTGGCACCTGCGGGAGCAGGAGGACAGACCTTCTGTCTGGTTAGGCAGAGACCGAACCCCTGGGGGCCAGGAGGTCACTCACAAGGGGCTGGGGAGGGCTCCTCGGGGACAGGCAGCTGAGCGCTAAGTAGTCAGGCTGCAGCCCTGACGCTTCAAACTCACAGCCCAGTGTCTTGTCCGAATCCAAACGCAGCATTTTCTTCCAAGACCTATTCACTCCTGTCTACGCCAAAGGGAGAGGCATGGCCAGATGCCACCTTCTCTAACCGTGTGTGTGTTGGAGAACGGGGATTTCTGAGCGTGCTTCAGAGAGGCCGTGGACCGTGCCCCAGATAGGGTTGTCAGTGCTGACAGCAGGCCAGGCCTTGAGATACTGTCTCATGGCCCCTTCCCCTTGCACCTCACAAAATAGACTTGCAAGATAGAACCCTGTGAGCTTTCTGAAGAACAGGATGACCCTGTGAATAACATGGTGGCCAATAGCATGGCCCTGCCATTATTTGGGAAAAAGTGTTTTGTCTTGGTTTGCTTACTCTGCACAAACAGGATGTGGCTAATGTGCTTAAAAGGGGGTCTTGCACAAAGAAAGGGCTGGGGCTGCTCTCTGACCCCCATCTGGAAGGCAGAACAGTCGCCGGCAATAACGGCTCCCTGAATTTTAATTTGGTCCGGACGCCAGGGGTCTTTACTCGCGTTCGCTCCACCACACGTGCGTGGATTCGTAAAGCCCTGGGTGTGCATGCGAGCAGAAAGTCTAGCTGGGTTCTTAGCGGTGGAACCGTGTCCCCTCAGAGGGCGTGGGGTCTCCGTGGCGTTGCTGAGAACGCGACCTGGTGTGCGAACAGGAGCCCCGGCCACAGAGACGCTGGTGAGGCCGGCGCGCTGCTGGGTGCCAGCAGGCCTCTGTGGTGAGGGGGGACCCCTTCAGGGGAGTTTCCTATGTACATTTGGTTATCGTTCGAATTTAAAAAATAAACTACACGTTCAGACCCTTTCCTTCAACCAGTGTTACGGACTAACGGGGTCTAAAAAGTTGTCTTTTTCACCCAGGACCACAGGCCTGGCGGGGAACCTGGGGCGTCCGCATGGTATTCTGCACGCAGTGGGAGCATAGTTCTGACCGGTGAGCCCATCGAGGATTCCAACTCCATGTCCTCATCCACTAGGCCGTTTTCTGAGTGAGTGTGCAGAAGCAAAGAATTAACTTAAAAAGCAAAACTACGGGGCGCATGACTGACTCGGGGTGCATCATGCCCAGCTGGGCTGAATGCCTGGCCAGGCCCGGGATGTAAATTATTGTAGCTTCCCAGGATCCCGTGGAGTCAGTGAGGCGCTGGGTACTATTTGCACAGCTGTTACTTTAACATCGGAATCCTGCTCCCGCTGGCTCTCCGCCGTGTCCCCGAGAGGGGACCTGCGCCTGGGAAAGAGCACTGGGAGCGAAGCGTCCTCACCTGGCTGGAAGAGCGACAGGCTCCCATCCATGTGGCCGAACACGACCTTGCCCTTCCGCTGCGGGTGCCACCGGAAGGTGCAGATGTCGGACAGGAAGCTGTGGGCGTCCCGGTGCACGGTCACCCCGCTGTCCGGCCCCGCGATGGTCCAGACGAGCAGCGGGCCCCTGCGGGGGGCGAAGGCCACGGCCTCACCCGCGTGGCAGCACCAGCTCAGGGAGGTGGGCGTCCCTGCAACAGAGGAAACGCGTCACAGCGGGGGCTCCGGCCAGCACTGCCACTGCAGCATCTGCTGTGCGAGTCCCGCAGCAACGTGGGAGGGCATGCTCGTGGTTTATAAGCATCTGGCCTCCTGGCTTGGGAACGGGGTTTTTAAACTGATCCCGGAGGCCACTGGGGACATATGGAGGACACTTGGTCGGTGAAAGGGCAGCATCTAGTTAGGTGTAAACAACTACTACCCTGTTTCCCCGAAAATAAGACAGTATCTTATATTAATTTTTGCTCCCAAAGATGCGCTAGGTCTTATTTTCAGGGGATGTCTTATTTTTCCATGAAGAAGAATACGGTACACATTTATTGTTAAATGAAAATAAAGGAAATATATTACCTGTATACGGTACAGTGTACGGTAGTTGTCAACACAAACTAGGCAAACTGTGAATCCTACAGTATCAAGAATTTACTCATTTATTCAATGACAATCATGTCATCATCTTCTGGAACATCATCATAACAATCCAATTCCTGAATTTCCTGGTGAATTTCTTGTGATTCCATTTCTTTCAGAATCAGTGGACCAAATCTCTCATGTTTAGCCTAGGGGGGCTTTATTTTCGGGGGATGCCTTATATTTCACTCAGAGGGAAACCTGTAAGTAGGTCTTATTTTCGGAGGATGTCTTATTTTCGGGGAAACACGGTATGATTACACGCTTATTTCAAGAAGGATATAGAGTTCTTTCTTTTAGAAAACTATGTGCTTAACAGAGCAATTAATTGTGACTAATTTGTTGGGTGTGAGACCTGCTCTAGGCATTCCCTATACAAATTAGTGTAGTGACAATTCTTGCTTTCAAGGATCTTCAGTGAAAACTGGGAAGACAAGGATGACATGCAGGAAATTAAACGTTACTATAAGGATTTCATAACAATGGAGTTCATGCTACAATCTGTCTTATCTGGAGTTTAGAATCAAACCTCAGCTCTCCCTCAGGTGAATAGAACAAGTCATTTTCTGTCTGAACTTGTCTCCTCATCCATACGCTGGATACAACTACCATCATCTGACCACTTACTTCACCAAAGAGAAAAAGAAAATATAATAATGTATGTAAATGCCCCCTTTACACTGTAAGACAAAATCGAACATCTCATTGTAAATCTCCTCACTGTTACTGCAACCAAATAGATCCCAAGTGAAATAAGGGTTATGGTGGATTTATGACTCAAGACAGGGATGGTGACTCCTCCAACAGGGACACTAGCCAATCACATCAGAATCACCAGACTGAAACTGGGCATCGGATGAAGTGGAATTAGGGTCTGGGGACTGAATTTCACAGGGTTTGTGAACCACTGGGCTACTGTTCTGGAAAGTAAACGGGATTTAGACTATATCTTAAAGGAGCCATGGAGTTTAAATATATGAGACGAACATTATTTCCCAGGAAGAGAAAATGACATAAACAATTTTATGTCATTGTTTGCTGACCGTAAAGTCAATCTGTGTCTGTAATGAGCCAAAGGGCAGAAACTGGAAATCTTATGCCTAGTTCAGGGCTGGACATGTAAGGGGAACTCCACCAGGTGTATTAAATGAAGGAATACGTGAATATATAAATGAGGCCAATTAAAAAGACGATGTGTTGCAGGGTATATTAACAGATACAGAATTTCCCCAGTAAGGGATGAGACACTCTGTATGACCAAACCACCACAGAACATGAGAAACCATGAGAATGCTGGCTTCCTGAATGGACATTTCCAGAAGAGCCGTGAGGAAGACAAGGGGCAGGAACCAGTGCCATCTCCTTACAACAGAAAACTCTTCCGCAGGGGCCTGCCGTATGAAGTGCTTCTCGGAGCTCTATCTGTGCTCACTCACTCGGTTCTCCCAACAAGACTCGGAGATAAGTAAGGCACATAATTATCCACCATTAAAGGTTTTGTTTTCTGACAGCATATTGTGACATTTCTCAAGTTGGTGACAATTTTAACATTTTAAAATTAAACCAATTAATACATTTTTCCTTCAAATTAATTTTTTTATTATTGGGAAAAAGTAATGATGAAGTAAAAACTACAACTGCAGGTTTGTGTTCAACTGCTGGATGGGGAAGTTCTAATATTGATTAAAAAACTGACACGCAAACTTCTACTTTGCTTACCCTGGATTCTAGAAAGAAAGAGAAAAACAAAATCTAAGCCCTTTCAAGGGAACTATTTAAAATGAAAGTCACCAAAAATATTCACAATAACTCTTTGAAAATAAAATATCAAAGTTTTTGATCTTCAAATTAAGAAGATACTTAGAAATAGCATGAGGAACTTATTGCTATGTCTTTGAAAATTTCAGAAGAAAAGGTATGCACACTTGATTTAAATTGTTACCAAAATTAGTTAATCATTCCGCCAATGTGAGTGAAGAGTTTTATTTGTATACCGTATTTTCCAGCGTATAAGACGACTTTTGAAACGAAAAAAAGTCAACCGAAAATCGGGGGTCATTCATTAAACATTTAACTAAAAAAAGAACTGGTGTTGCCTCGGAAGTGGGGGGTAGTCTTATACAGTGAATATAGGCCTAAACCTATGTTTTAACTGTAAAATTAGGGGGGTCGTCTTATACACCGGAAAATACAGTACTCAGTGGCAAAGGAAGCCATGGCACAAGCAGCTGGTGAGGGAAAAACTCTCCAGCCAGGAGTGGGGGCGATGCAGCCGGTGGCGGGTGGCAGAGCAGGGGGTATACTGGCTGTTCATACAACACACAGTTTCATCTGTACGTGAGCGGAACATTTCGATAGCATGGTCTCCTGTAGACTGTGTGTGACTACTTCATGAGAACAATGACACTGTGTGATATGTTTGGTTTATGTCACATAAAACACGGACAGAATTTTAGGAGTACTTATTGTGCTGTTTAAAATTAACTGCACACAAAGCTAGATTTAAAGTACCAGGGAAACACATAGTTTATTAATATAAACAATACTGGTTTGGCTCAGTGGAGATAGTGTCGGCCTGCAGACTGAAAGGTCCCAGGTTCGATTCTGGATAGGGGCATGCACCTTGGTTGCAGGCACATTCCCAGTGGAGGTGTACAGGAGGCAGCTGGTCGATGTTTCTCTCTCATCGATGTTTCTAACTCTCTATCCCTCTCCCTTCCTCTCTGTAAAAATCAATAAAATATATATATATTTTAAAATAAACAATACTGGGAAATCTGGGAGGGTCTGTGGTTGTTGGAGGAACACACAGGACTAGAAAAACATGAAAAATCTTGATTGAGGCAATCGATGGCTTTTATAATTTTTTAAAATTCCCACCAGAGCATATGTTTTTATTGATTTTTAGAGAGGAAAGGGCAGAGAGAGAGAGAGAGAGAGAGAGAGAGAGAGAGAGAAACATCAACTGGTTGCTCCATGGGCACCCCAACAGGGATTGAACCTGCAACTGAAGGATGTGCCCAAACAGGGAATCCAGGCTGCTTCCTTTTGGTGCATGGGGGACATGCCACCAGCTGAGCCACCAGCGGGCTCCATGCTTTTATACATCGCAAAGCTTATACCAAAAGGAAGCTGGCTTTCCGGACTGATGTATGGAAAGCCTTAAGGGCAAGTTTTACTTGCATCAATGGAAGCTCACTGAATATTCAGATATCTTTAAAAATTCACAGATTATAGCAAATTACTAATACTGAAGTTCACTGGCTGTGGCAAGTAAAAACAGTAAGATGTATGAAACTGGAAATAAGACTTACATTTTTCTAGTTGAAAATTAACCTTGTTTGGAAAATATTTAAAAATTTTTTAAATATATATTTTTTGATTTTTTTTTTTTTTTTTTTTTTTTTTTTTTTTTTACAGAGAGGAAGGGAGAGAGAGAGTTAGAAACATCAATGGGAGAGAAACATCAATCAGCTCCCTCCTGCACACCTCCTACTGGGGAGGTGCCCACAACCAAGGTACATGTCCTTGACTGGAATCGAACTTGGGACCTTTCAGTCCACAGGTCGACACTATCCACTGAGCCAAACCAGTTGTGGTTCAGCAAATATTTTTAAGATGAACTTTACATAACAAATTTGGTTTATTTTACCAGTATTTTCAACATTCCTAATGGCCTAAATTTGAAAGACAAGGAAAAAGCAATAAAGGAAATATGTTGAACGTATCCGAAGACTCCAACGGGCATAACTATTATTTTGGAAGCAAGGCTGACCTATCATGGCCTATGGGGTCTCAGCATTGTCACTGCACATGGGAAAGAATGCCATAAAGAACCCTTAAGCAAGACAAAGTTAGTGACACTGTCACTTCTCCGTGATCTCCCTCACAGTCGTCATCAGAATGTTTCAGGGGAGAAGCCAAATGTGGAAAATATATCCAGCAGTAGCTTCCAGATTCATAATCACTAACTGAGCTACACATGGTGCTCAGCAAGAGGCTGCCTTATTGTGACATTTAACGGGGAGACAGGGTGCCCTAACCTCACCATGATGGGAGGGTCTGATTGTAGTGGGAGGAGCAGCATAGTGATACTGTTCGCTTCACTGAGCCCCCCTGGTGTGAACCAGGGCCTGCTATAATACCTTGACCTGAAGGACAAAAACCCGTCCAGCAGGGCATTCGGATTGGAACGGAACAATGCTTAGGCAAGGCCAATTGTCCCATTAAGAAAATCTTATCTAATTATTTTTATATTTACAGGGTGGGGCAAAAGTAGGTTAACATTGTGAGTATGCAAAACAGAGTTACTCTTATATTATTAGTCATTAACTAGTGTAATGTCCTGTTTCTCCGAAAATAAGACAGTGTCTTATATTAATTTTTTCTCCCAAAGTTACACTAGGTCTTATTTTCAGGGGATGTCTTATCTTTCCATGCGCTAGGTCTTAATTTCGGAGGATGTCTTATTTTCAGGGAAACACGGTAGTTTAGGTACCAGCATCTGTAAACTACCTTTCCCACACCCTATGTTTTGGAGACGTTCGTGTTTTATTTAAACAAAGTGATGTGGTATGTACTGGTGCTAATGGTCCAGTGGACTGAGTGTCATTTCTCATGGGATTCCCTGTCTGTTGAGTGCACACGCACACACACAGCAAGGAGCCAGGGCGTGAGTGGTGGCCCTTGTGCAGCTGACCGGGAGAGAGCTGGGCTCCTTCAGAGCCTGAGCTCCCCGAAATAAAACCCTCTGCCCGCTGAAATACACATGTCCCATTCCATGACACATCCGCGCTCCAAAAATACCTTTTGTGTGGTTGAGCTTAGCAATGACTTTTTGTTCTGCCACATTCCAAATGATCACTAAGTTATCGGAACTGCCACTCGCAAAGAGATCGGGGTTATGTGGACACCAAGAGAGAGCTGTGATAGTTTTTTTGTGTTCGGACATAATTGCGTGGAGTTTAAATTCATTATAACGGTGATCCAACTAAAAGAAATACATAAATAAAACATTTCAGTGCTTCTTTTCAGATCGTACACTTTCCATCAACCACATTTTCACAAGCTACCTCGATGAAAATGAGCAGATCTCTCATAACAAAATATGAACACATTTTTCAAGCCTTGGTCTACTTTTGGGTATATTCGATCAGCTGACAGAAACTACTTTGAAAAAAAATATGAGAGAATGGAAATGAAATGTATCAATTTTAAAAGCAAGTAAAAATAAATGATGTACATTAAAATATGCATAACTGAATTTTTATCATATTTTATAGCTATATCTATTTATGAGGAACACACTCTTCATCTCAAAACATTTTTGCTGCAATGTTTCGCGTATATTTAAATAAAAACAGTTAGGTTAAATAAACCGACTCTCATTATTAGGTTAGTAAGATGTGCAAAGTCTTTGAAGCAATGAACCTATTTTAGATCTTTTTTTTTTTTTGGATGGGGGCATATACTGTGTTCTTATATGGACAAAAGGAATTGCCTAATTTTCCTATTCCCTTCATAAATGTGCCATTCATTAGTGAGCCAATCGATCTTTTTATCATTGTTGACATATTTGGGATTATATTGTGTCATTTTATTATTTCTCCTTTAACATGCAATGAACTTTTCACGTTGTTATTGGGGGTTTTACTGGTCATTACTATGTTAGTTACTTATTATCCCAATCTTTGTTTAACCATGCAGTCACAGGAAAATTCTGACTGCTAATGTGATCTTGAACACCCTACCTCGGGACCTTCTGCTATTGGCCAGTATCATTTGGCTGCATTTTCTTCCTGGTCCACTCTGCCCTTGTGTCTCCACCATGGCCAAACCATTTCTGCTGGAGGGCCTCTGCCTGCAGCCCCTGGGCCATATGATGCACTTCTCCCCTACTCGCCCACAGGTGTCCCTTTCCCTGCCCAAGTCCCAGTTCAAAAACACCTCTTCAGAGACCTGTTTTCTGACCAAGGCGTGGCTCAGTGGATAGAGTGTCGGCCTGCGGACTGAAGGGTCCCAGGTTCGATTCCGGCCAACGGCATGTACCTTGGTTGCGGGCACATCCCCAGCAGGGAGTGTGCAGGAGGCAGCTGATGGGTGCTTCTCTCTCATCGGTGTTTCTAACTCTCTATTTCTCTCCCTTCCTCTCTGTAGAAAATCAGTAAAATATGTTAAAAAACACACACACAAAAAAAAAAACCCTCATGCCCCTTCCCAGAAATGGGCCCATGTCTTTCTATAACCTTTAAAATGGATCTATAACGCACTTTGAACATTATATTTGCTTCATTATGATATGATATCTGTATATATTGAGCTTGCTGCTGTCTTCCATGTGGGGGATGGTGGGTGGGAAACTGTGAGTTCTATGGGAGCTGCACTTTCCACTGATCTGTTGTTCCCCTCAGTCATGAGTTCACTGGTTGGTTCATGTATGTGCCCTGACTGGGGACTGAGCCCTCAACCTTGGTACTTGCTGCAACCAGTCGAGCTGATGGACCCGGGCTGACATTGCCATACGTTCGAGAAATGCGCCCCACAAAACCCTGTCTCCACTGCGGGAAGCTCATCAGTGTCTAGATTGATTAACACCATTACTTCCAAAATTTCAATAGACGACATTATTAGCAATTGCAAGGAAATTTACTTGAGAATAAAGCAGCATTTCCCCCCCACTTTTAACTGAAATGAGTTGGTGTTTCGGGATTTAAAAAAGTCACTTAGGAAACACTGAGTGAGACTCTGCTGGATGCCGGAGTGCGCGGTAACGTGAGAACCGGACAATGGGGAGAGGCTCATCACTTACCTGGTCCCCGCCCCGATGAGAGGAGACGCCGGGCGGAGGCGGCTACCTACCTGGTACACGTAGATGGCCAGGGTTGCGCAGTAGGCAAACCTGTCACCGCTGGCCGCGCACACGTCCTTGTTCCAGGGCTGGCACCCAGCGGCCAGCAGCCCCACCTGCCGCACCCGGGACATGCTGGCCTGGGGACAGAACGGGGGGGGGGGGGGGGAAAGTCCGTTACTGTCATCCTGAAATGACCTTCCTCTCCATCGTATGTCGCCATCTCCCTCCATCCTCACCTCTCGGCCCTGAAACAGTGTTCTGCTATTGCCATCCATCTCGATGGGCATGAGCAGAGAACAGAGTTAAACCCGCACGTGTCTACGCACACCAAGGCAGGCCGCTTCTGTCAGGGCAGCAGGAGGCTGTCACAGGCTACGGGACAGGGATATGGGCCAGGGGCTGGGGAGCACGGGGAGTGAGAGGCCTTGTGTGGAGTGGAGGGTGCACATCCCCGCTCCGATACCTCTGGGGAGGCCCTGATGGTGCCAGGCGCATGGAGCTTCCCAAGCAGAAACATACAGATACTTTTATACATTTTTATTGATGTCAGAGAGGAAGGGAGAAGAGAGAAAGAGAAGAGAGAGAGAGAGAGAGAGAGAGAGAGAGAGAGAGAGAGAGAGAGAGAGAGAGAGAGAGAGAGAGAGACATCCATGGTGAGAGAGAATCACGGATCGCCTGCCTCCTGCACGCCCCACACTGGGGATGGAGCCTGCAACCTGGGCTTGTGCCCTGACCGGGAATCGAACCCTGACCTCCTGGTTCCTAGGTTGGCCCTCAACTACTGAGCTACATCGGCTGGGCAGAAATATACAGATTTTTAAGTAAGATAAGCATACATTTTTATGTAAAATGTACCAATTTTTAAAAAGGGGCAATTCATTCAAGGCATCAAATTCAAATGTAAAACTGGGCCAGCATCGGGAGGAAGGTGGCATTTGTCACAGAACTCCAGCATCTTCACCTGGACGCTGTGTTGCACAGGGAGAGCTGGAGCTGCACTGCACAGGGAGAGCTGGAGCTGGGCTGTGAGGCTGTTCGCTAGGAACAGGGGCCGGAGGGGGCCGAGACGCAGACCACACACTGTGTGTGAGTGTGGTCTGTCTGTCTGTCCGTGGCTGCAGGTGTGGGGGCCGCAGTGTCCTGTGACCTCGCATCTCTTGTGAATGAGAAGAGTTGTCCACTTTCTGTTCCTTCGGGTTTTACTGCTTTAGGCCCAAATAAGGACTTCTGAGCTGCTTACACTCCTGACTAGAAACTAGAAGCCCCTCAGCTCCATTTTTATGGGTTAAAATCAAGTAAATTACTCTGAAATCCATGCTCATATATTTTTACTTTAACTATCAGTGTATCCTAATTTACTACTTCTTAATTTTCATAGAGAATAGAAACATTTTGTTTTGTCATGTAATTTGTATGCCCTTTCAGTCTCAGGGTTCACCAACTTAGGTCCTTCCTAAACTCACAGCTGAATAATCATCCACAGCAGCCATGAAAATACTGCATAGGAAAAAAAAAAATTAAAAAAAGTATTTTATTTAAAAAATCTAACCTTTTCAGTGAAATATTTAAAAACGATGAATTATTAAACATGAATACTATGACTTTTAAATCTGAGTTATGTATTTAATCAGAAAGTATTTGAAACTTCCAGGTTATTTTCCGACAGTATTATTATAAGATATATTTGGCACATAGCACTCTGTAGCCTTTATGAAGTGATGCCTAGAGTCTCTGAGGAGATACAGCTTCTGTCATCTCTGTGGTTGGCATGAATCGGCCAGGGGAATGGAAGCAGACCTGCTCAGCCGCGGTCCATCTGAAACATGCACCTGCCTGTTAAATAGGAATCCCGTAGAATGTTCCACAGCCCGGCCCGAAGACAGACTTTACATGAGGTGGCAGGTGATCATGTGCTTCAGAGAAACAGTGTCCCCTTGTCTCTCTCTATGCTACAGTACCTTTCATTTTCTATTTGAACCACTTACGGAACTGCACGTCTGCTCTAGAGACATGTTGCTTCAGAACTATTATCTTTGTGGCAGATACAAGCGTGCACTGGAAGCTGGAGCACCGGGCGGTGCAGCTCACGGCGAACCCGATGGAGAAAGGCTTTGGGAGGAGGAATGCCGAGCTGCCGCACCACGCCAAGTGCTGGTGTCATAGCCTGGCAACCGCCGCCCTGCAGAGGGATGGCGTGTATTTCCCCAGCCTGAGGACAAGGTTAGTTCAAACACACACACACTCACATACACTCACACACACACTCACATACATTCACACACACACTCACATACACTCACACACATTCACACTCACATACACTCACACACACATACACTACACACACTCACATACATTCACACATACCTTCGCACACACACATCCACTCACCTTTGCACACACTCACACACACACACACAACTACTCACACACACCTTCACACACACTCACATACATTCACACACACTCAGACACATATTTACACACATACTCATACTCACATACAACACTCACACACACACACACACACTCTTTCACAAAGTCACACACACTGTCTCACTCACACTCACACTGTAATTGCAGTGAAGATGCTTTGCACAGTAAGTGTATGAAACGCAAACAAAGTGATGAGTGTACTTTCATTATTTCCATGCTATGAGAGCTCACTTTTGAAAATGCAGGAGTATTATGAAATAAAATGATCACAATAACATTTAAAACACAGCTATTTAGTTATAACCTGACAAAAAAATAAAACGCTACAACTAAGTTAAAATCAAGTTTACGTATGTGTCTGTGAGACTGTAGATGTACATATGCCATAAACAAGAATCCCATCAACGTGTACTAGGGAAAGGCCAATGTGGTACCCTAAAGATCAAACTCACGCCTGTATGGGAGTTTTCAAACACCACGAATCTCCATTACAATTTTTAACTCAAAAATGCGTCTTGTGAATATTTAAAACACAACCCACTGACAGGTTTGCCACGCTGCACGCTGATTATACAGGGTGAAAATGCACAGACACCTCACCTGAAAAGTAACAGCTGGGTTTTTGGAGAAAATAAAAGTCAGTTTTCAAGTGCACGTTTTCATTATTTAGGGTAGAATCTTTCTTTCTCCTGTAGGTCTGGGTAAGAGCTGATGGAGACCTGAGCCGGGAGAAGCTCACGCTCATGAAGACAATGTGGTAATTTTAGGGTCACACCGTGCCTACAACAGCTATTGTCATGGGACATCTCAGAACCAGGAACTCATCTGTAAAGGCCGGGGTGTCAGCAAAGGGCAGCCCGGAGCTGGGGGTGGGAGGAGGGGCTTGAATCCTCACACTCTCCATGAGCTGCCCCAGAGACACCATAAGGGGAAACATGTTTTCATAAAAAGCATTTTTTTTTCTTGGTCTCTGACACTCTTTTCCCCAAATTAGATGACCATTCATGTCCCTTCCCAATGAGGAAATATGGACGGTGCTGGAAACTAAACCTCCTGTTCCAACATCAGAAATGCACTATGACATTTAAAATGCATGGGCATAATACAAAGGATGCTGGCCTTGCAGTGTGTGTGGGTGTGTGTCCAGGGGGCTTGGAGTATGTGTTAAACTCATAAACGGAAACATTTTATGATTTGCAGTAGGACTGGAATTCTCAATTTCAAACCTGCAGAATGCTCAGCTTTCACAGTCTGAGGGGTTTTCTCCAGAGTTACATATTAACTGGCTCCAGAGCTGTTTACCAATTTGGTTCACAGCTGAAGAAAAATAATTCTAAAAAGTAGGCAAGAGGCTTTTAAATGGCTGAAGATTTACAGTGAAAGAGATAATTAAGCAAAACGAGAAGAAACAAACCAAAGAACTTAAATCCTTACTAGAGGCCCGGTGCACAAAATTTGTGAAAAGGGTGGGGGGTCTCAAATCTGGGACCCTTCGAGGGATGTTCAATTGCCCAGGATTGGATCTAAATGGGCAGTCGGACATCCCTCTCACAATCCAGGACTGCGGGCTCCCAACTGCTTGCCTGCCTGCCTTCCTGATTGCCCCTAACCGCTTCTGCCTGCCAGCCTGATCACCCCCTAAACACTCCCTGGGGAAACTACAGGAAAATGTTCCACTCATTAATGAAAAAATGTTTCCATTAATTGCCTTAATTTGAATAATTTATAATTCATCCATTAAAAGGGTAAAAAGTCTAAGAGAAATCATGTTATTCTAAACACATCCATTTTGATAAGGTGCATTTTTAAAGAGCAGTTCTGTACTATTGCAATAATACATCTGGATAGTTATTTTCAACATACTATGCCAAAGTTTCCATAGTAACAATGCAAATCCTTTTGAAACTTAACTAACTGCCTAAAAATTTATCAAATGTAACATAGCCCTCTTCCTCAGAGCATTTCTGACATTTCCTTTTATAATATTACTAGAGGCCCGATGCACAAATCCCCCGGCCTCTCGCAAACCCTTGGGGGCTGTCAGACTGCTGGTTTCAGCCTGACCCCCACAGGCCAGGCCAAGAGACCCCGCCAGAGCATGAATCTGTGCACGGGGCCAGTTTTGACCCAATCCCTGCAGGCCAGGCCGAGGGACCCTGGGCCTCTAGTCTATATATATAAAAGCCTAAGTGACCAAAGGATCGATCAACTGGTCACTATGATGTGCCCTGACCACTAGGGGGCAAACACTCAATGCAGAAGTTTTCCCCTGATGGTCAGTGCACTCTCACAGCAGGAGCACCACTCAGCTAACCAATGGGCGCCAGACTCAGGGCGCCCGGATGGCCGCTACAGCCTGGAGACCACAGCAGGGCAGCAGCAAGCCTACTGAACGGCGGTGGCAGCAGGCACAATGGGGCCCGGGGTGAGCAGGAAGAGCAGGCAGGAACGGCAGGAGGCGTTGGATTGATGGTTTTGGCCTGATCCCCGCAGGCTACACTAAGGGACCCCAGGGATGCATGAATCCATGCACCAGACCTCTAGTATGCATATAAGATCTTTGGTTAAGCTCTTCCTTCCCTCTCTGCTCCTCCCTTCATCAGTCAGTTCCATGATTCTATGCCTCTGTGTCTGCCCCTTGGTGGTCAGTGCATGTCATGGCTACCGGTCGAATGATCGGTCGCTTAGGCTTTTATATATATAGATAGTATTATTATTATAGATATTATTATATGCATCTATTCATTAAATGCATTTCTCTATGAAAAATCATTTCATTGAAATTATTGCTATTTTTATATATTAACCTCATTAAAAAGAATTATAGTTTATCCAAGGTAGGTCAAAAGTAGGGTTACAGTTGTGAGTACGCAAAACACAGAATTCTTGTATTATTATTATTTACTATTGTTTTATTTTCCATACAAACAACTGTAAAGCTATTTTTGCCCCACTTTATATTTAAGCCTAAAGACAAATCTGAAAACGCTAGGAATTCATCTTAAACCAGGATAGAAAAATGCCTTTTCCTCAATGTGCAATTAGGATTATTGGCACATATCTTCTTCGTACCTCTGCTTTTAAACCTATCAAATAAACATCTTACTTGCACTCAAAAGTTGGCAATGCAAAATTGTCCATAATGTAAATGATGTGGTAACACGAAACAATTGCATGAGAAATAGGTAGCTGATGACGCCTTACCATAATAGCAGTCAGCAGCTGTGTATCACTGCCAGTTGCCCAGGACCAAACCAGAGAGGGTTGGACCTGCATTACCACCATTTGCCCACCATCCAGAACTGAAATATCATTGCTGACATGTACACATAAGGAACTGTTCGACATTGAAATTTGGTCTTAAAAGAACTGGTGGTCCAGAAAGAAGCTCACTACAGACTGATTCATATGCTTTTCAAGCATTACGATTATTGCTTGTCTCATTTTCAATTCTTATAAGTATATTTCCAGTAGGACATGATTTCACTCATCTAGGGGAAATGTTGAACAAGATAGACTGATGGACAAGAACAGACCCAGAGATAAGGAGCCATGGGTCAGACTGTTGGACCTCAGAGGGAGGGTGGGGATAAAAGGGAGAGATCAACCAAAGGACTTATGTGCATACATATGAGCCTAACCAGTGGTCAAGGACAATAGAGGGGTGGGGTCATGAGTGGGGGGTGGGGATGGGGGATTGGAATGGGGGGTTGAGGACAAATATGTGGTACCTTAATCAATAAAGAAATTAATTTAAAAAAAGAAAAAGAAAAAAAAAAGCATAAAATCGTAACTACAACATAAATATGGCTTACTCTTTGCAGTCCTTCATACCAATCATCTTGCTCAAACCAACTGGAAATGTAAGTCATCCAAGCCATAGGCTGTTTCTACCTCAATCAAGGCAAACGGACACTCGGCATCGCAAGGCAGCACCTAAAGCAACAACAATGAGGTTCAGCCACGCAGCTCACCAGCTCTGCCTCAAGGAAGGCTGCTCAGGACAAGAAGGGAGCGTGCACACACATTTCAGTCACAGCAGAGTTAACGATTTCCAAGGAACAGTGTCTGTACAAATCATGCTAAACCAGAAAATGGACGCCAACATGCAACCAAGAAAAAATACATAAAACAATAATGTTATTGCATAGTAGCTGAGAAAACGCTGTATCAAATAGTTTATTTGGTTTACAGTTTTTATCTTAAAAATCTTAGCTTTAACTTTACAAGAAACAGGGGAGTTTCTACTTGAAGTTACTGAGTTAGCACAAAAACACACAAACTAGGAAGCAGAAAATTAGTTTCATTGTCACCCTTAGGAGTTGGACAGACAGCTATTTGAAAAGACAGCTGGAAGAAAGTTTCCAGGTTAACAGCTGTACGAGAACAAGGTCAGTCCTACAGATCTATTTGCTTCCAGCTCAGCTGACTGCTAACCTCACACCTGAAATGGTTTACAGACAGCACAGGACTGAATGGAGTGCTAAGATGTTCAGCAGAGAATCAAAACCACACCCACTTGACTTTATTTTAGTTTTATTCACTTCCAGAAGAAGTTATCTACTAGCCATGTTAAAGAAGAGATTTCTTGGGAGTCCTGGGAGGATAGATGATCTTGAAAATAGCCCCCCTAGCCGAAACCGGTTTGGCTCAGTGGATGGAGCATTGGCTTGCGGACTGAAAGGTCCCTGGTTTGATTCCGGTCAAGGGCATATATCTTGGTTATGGGCACATCCCCAGTAGAGGGTGTGCAAGAGGCAGCTGATCAATGATTCTCTCTCATCGATGTTTCTAACTCTCTAACCCTCTCTCTTCCTCTCTGTAAAAAAATTAATAAAATATATTTAAAAAGAAAATAGCCCCCCTAAAGCTTAGAGGCATCACCCACTGCTGTGCAGCAGGTTTTGCGTAATCTTGTCCTGGCCGAACTCATCAAACCCTTGCACCTCAGGGAAGGAACAAGGAAGCAAAGGGGAGAGGAAGGGAGAAGGAAGAGGGGTGGTGGTGGAAAGGAAAAAGAAAACCATCTGAATAATGTGAGTGTTCCATTTCTTATACCCCAAAGCAAACTAGCTGTTCTGACAGAGAGAGGACAAAGAGAGAGAGAGAGAGAGAGAGAGAGAGAGAGAGAGAGAGAGAGAGAGAGAGAGAGAGAGAGGGGCTGACTTCTGTGGCATGTGAATGTCACTGGAGGTAAGTGAGAACAGCCTATGGCTGCAAGTTTATCACTAGGCCACGGCCCTCTCTGCAGAAGTCCTCTCCTTGCTCTCTAGAAATGTTGTCAATCCCCCCTGCTTGAAGCCTCACAGAGGACATTCCAGGATGGGCACCACCGCCTGCTTAAGGTTTCCCCCTTGGCCCAGAATCACTCTTCCCCATCCCTGCCTCTGACCGCCTCTGACTGGCCTAGAGCCCTGGTGGGACAGTCAGAGGGGACGATGGGGCTGGGAGAGAGGCACAGGGAGCGTACCCCTCCCTCCTGAAGGTGGTGCACAGGGTGCCGCAGACCCGGGATCGCCTGCCTGCCTCCTCTCATCAGGAATAACTCTCCTCTGGAGGAACCGCAATTAGTGGAAGGCAGCTGTCAAAAGCACTATGTATGTCATTGCAATTCGGGCAATTCACCTACCCCACCTACATCAAAACCTCCATTAAAATGTCAGAAGGAAGAGCTAGAGAGCAGGGACATGGTTTAAAAAGCGTGCTTGGAATAGTAGTCAGAATGATTCCTATTGAATCATTTTTGAAAGATTGTCATTTCGTTTGTCAGTTTCTTTTATTCATTAGATTCCACATAGCAGTGAGACCTTGTGAACAAAAGCGATGCAGAGACATGGAAGCATGCAACAGAATGAGGATTCTCAGGGAGAAGGTGGGGGCAGGGAGGGAAGAGACCAACCAAAGAACTTATATGCACACGCCATGGACAGACAACAGTGGGGTGAAGGCTTGGGAAGGGGGTGGGAGAGGGAGAGGGAAGACAATAGGAGGAAACATGGACATCTGTAATATTTTCAACAATAAAGACAAATTAAATAAATATATGTATTGTTATTTATAAATATACTTGTCCCCAGCTATGGTGGACAAGTATATATATATTCTAGTTCATCCACTGAGAGCAACTAGAAAAGATGAATAAAATTATGAAAATTCTCAAAAGAAGTCCAAAGAGCCTAACCAAGCACCTTTTCATTGATGATGGGTTAGGGTTGGAAGGTGCGGTGGATGCTACATTTTCTCCAACAGCATTTGCCTATATAAAATACCGAGTAAGCTATGGAGAGCTTCTGGTAATGTCATGGGGCTGGAGGGGAAAATGACCTAATAATGTTTTCCTTACAGCAAGAACCATCTGAGCCTACATCCTAACCATCTGCACGCCATAAGTGTCTATAGACGCAAGCTCCTTCCCCAGCCTGGTCAGGGTGCATGCAAGAAGCAACCAATCGATGTGCTTCTCTCACATCTATGTTTCTCTCTCTTCCCTTTCTCTTCCGCTCTCTCTAAAGATCAATGAAAAAATATCCTTCAGTGAGGATTAACAAAAAAAATAAAAAAGAATGTGCACCTGGGATCCAAAATACAACACTGTGGGATTTAAGGACGGCCATGGTCAGCCACAGTGGGTGCCTGTTAATGCCACACACCAAACAGATCCTCTGAGATGTTAGTCTACAGAGTCAGTGCTGTCACATCAAATCCCAGAATGGTCAGTGTGGCGTGAGTGAGCAGATAAGCGGATTCTAAGCTTCATAAAGAGATGAAGTGGCCAGGAATAGGCAATGCAATCTTGCAGAAGAGGAGCAAAGCTGAAAGTGTGTGTACTCGCTCACCATACTGACCACAGAGCTGTAGCAGCTCAGACTGTGGCGGGATACAAGGCTGCACAGCTGATCACCGGCACAGAATTTGATTCCAGAGGAGATCCCCGCATAGTGTTCACTGATATATTACGTCAGCTGGGGAAAGAAGAGACTTTTCAATAACTGCTTGTGGGTGAACGGAATACCCTTCTGGAAAAATAAGTAAAACATTTTAATCCCACTCCTACATAATGCAAAGAGGCACCACACATAATCTTATACACACAGACACACACATCAACATTCAAAACCAGCAGCACGATTCACCATAGCTAAGGTTTGGAAACAGCCTACGTGCCCATCAGCAGGTGAGTGGATTAAAAAGCTGTGGTGCATCTACACAATGGAATACTATGCTGTGGTAAAAAAAAAAAAAAAAAGAAGGAATTCTTACCATTTGCAACAGCATGGATGAAACTGGAGAGCATTATGCTAAGCAAAATAAGCCAGTCAGAGAAATATAAGTGTCACATGATCTCACTCATGTGTGGAATATAAGGAACAACATATACTGATGAACAAAACAGATCCAGAGACAGAGAAGCATCGATCAGATGCTCAAACCTCAGAGGGAAGGCAGGGGAGGGATGAGGGTAAGAGGGAGAGATCAACCAAAGGACTTGTATGCATGCATATGAGCCTGCATGGACACAGACACCAGGAGAGGGGGGAGGGCATGAGTGGGGGAGTGGCAGGGGGTCCAACAGGGTTATAAGGACACAGATGTAATAAGTTAATCAATAAGGGAACAATTAAAAAACAAAACAAAAGAAACTTAAAAGAATACAGACTATAAGGTGAATAGCTAATTAATAGTTGAGAATTTATTTATATTTTCTAAAATTATAATAATCACTCCTCAGTTCATTTATTCAACAAATACTTATTGAGCACCAATTATGTGCCAGTCAGGCACTGAAGATAAAGAACTGTGCAAGCAGATAAAAGCCTGCCCTTCCATAGTTTTCCAGGGAAAAGGGTAAGCAATCACAGAGATAGAGCTGACACTATAATAATTTTTTTTAATATCAAGTATATATTGTTATTGATTTCAGAGAGGAGAGGAGAGGAGAGGAGAGGAGAGGAGAGGAGAGGAGAGGAGAGGAGAGGAGAGGAGAGAGAGAGAGAGAGAGAGAGAGAGAGAGAGAGAGAGAGAGAGAAACATCAATGATGAGAGAGAATCATTGATTGGCTGCCTCCTGCATGCTCTCTTCTGAAGATCGAGCCCACAACCCGGGTATGTGCCCTTGGCCAGAATCAAACCGGGGACCCTTCAGTCTGCAGGCCGATGCTCTGTCCACTGAGCCAAATTGGCTAGGGCCAACACTATAATTTTTAAATTGTTGATTCTGAGCAAATATTTGGAGATGAGGAGGCAAAACACAAAGCTATCTCGCCAGAGAGCTAAGCAGAGGGAGCAGCAGAAGCAAAGGCCTGGCCTGACGCTCGCTGGCAGGTCTGAGAAATAGAAAGAAAAATCAGTCAACACATACAGAATGTGTCCTCAAAGCTCACAGGCATCATGATACAGAGACTCCACGTAGATCTGTGGAACCCTTATCCTCTTCAAGCAGTGTACATTTTCTTAGTAGAAATGTGTTGCCTGTATTAATAAAAATCAAAACCCTAACCACATCTTGTTGAAAACCAGTGTTTGAAATGTGAATACACTATAGGCTCACGGCTATGCCAATATATTTTTGGAATTGCATAACCAATATGTGCTCGTTAGAAAACTCTGGAAACTGCAGAAAACGAGAAGACTTTATTTTCATTCGTCTTTCGTTCACTGGCTTGGGGTCTTCTTCCTCTGTCTGGTGTCCACGACCCTAAAGGACCACTTTCTCCCAGAGAAAGTAAAACCACCGTAATCAGGGATGACTGAGGCTTTACATCGGTGCATCTCCAGGTGGGGGCTCCGTCTCTTGTGTCAGAATTCACAGAGGAACGGGCCAAGGGCGCAGATTCCTGGATCAAACACTAAGCCAGCGGGTCAGCATTGCAGGGCCTGTCAGCCTGCTTTGCAGCATCATTCCCAGAGGATTCACGTGCACAGGGAAGCAGAGAGCCGAGTACTTCATCCAGAAACAGGAAAGTAATCGAGGATTTCTGCAAAGGGTAATTTCTCCCAGCGGAGAGTCAGCTCTTCAATTTCCGTCACTCTGCAGCGTCCCTCCCATATGTCTGGCAGGGCACTCTATCGAGGCATTCCCAACATATGTCAGGTCCCCATGTCTTTAGAGCTTGGATTATAAAATAGGTCAGGGTAAGCACAGTATTAAGCTACATTAAAACCCTGGATTAGGGAGCAAGTAGAAGAGGAGAAGGTCGTTGCAGCAGTTGGAGTCTGGGCCATACAATAAGCCACGTCTCCCAGTGTGAATCCCAATCTGATCCACAAATTCGGGCATCATATGTGGGACCACGAAACTGGCTTAAAGAGGTGGCAAAGCGAATGCATGCCACCGTCCAGCTGCAGTCACTCTCATACCTCCCCACATGGTAACCACCAGACTGAAAATTCTATGGAATTGAACGAAAGAACTGGCTTTCTCTGGGTGCTCGAAGGCTTACAGGATCTCCTTAGTTGGAATGTGGAAATGCGTTTTAATTTGGCAGAGGAACTAATCCACTTTTCTTGAACAATAGGGTCACTCATATACCTTCAGTGTGACATTCTGAACGTCAGCCAAAAATACCAGAAAGGGGTAAAATCACGTATGTTCACTCATCAACTATGAAGTTAGACGTAAATATTCCATTAGGAGAGACGTTATCATGCAAACATGGAAATACTTGCCATAAGGTATCAGATTATTTCTGTAATAAAGTGTGGCAGGAAGAAGCAGTCTCTGTCCATGGGACCGGTCCTCAGGAAGGAAGACCTGAGCATCCGCACCTTCTAACTCTCTGCTTCGGAAGTTGGATTGTATTGGTGAGATTTTTAAGCAGGCTGTACCTTTATGCTTATCTATCTGTGACAATCCGTGTTTCCATTTGACAGTCACTAAAACTGGCATTTTCATATTCTGGGCAAAGGATGTTAAAAATTATGTTGTCAAGTCAGTTGGGGGGAAAAAATCAGCAAAGGAAATCAAAGGAATACAAATCTTGGAAGCTTTAAAATGGAAAGCAGCCCACATAAAGTCAGTCTATCCAAACGTGTCTTTAATATGTGCAGCCCTACCATGATGAGTGGCCTGGAATGAATCCTCAGCTTTGGGAAGTAAAGGCTGTATCAGCAAAGGCAGGGCCAATGCCTAGATTGGGTCAGATGCTACTCTGCTTTGATAGACCGCCTGTCGGAAAGAATGACCTTCGCCAACATAAAATCCCCCCTAAAGATGAACTGATATAATTAATGATAGCTATTATTGAAATATAGATGCTCCTTCCCTCCCTCCTTTCCACTCCCTCTAAAAATCAATGGAAAACTATCCTAGATTAAATAAGTAAATAAAATGTGTCATAACTTTTCATTATGACTTATTCATAATGTTCTGTCTTAAAGGACCAAACTAAATAAAATATTACCTATTTCTTATTAACCAAGACTTCATCTTCCTGGTGGAGCTGCTTTTATTGGGAATGAAGGTTTTCCTACAGCATCTAAAACATGAGTGCTCTTTGTAATGAGACTTATTTTCTACTGTCCAATTAGAAAGGAAGTTTTTTGTGTGTTTAGTATGAAATGGAATTTATTATACGTAATTGAAAGTGAGCCTACAGGGATGCTGGTACATGCTTACAGCTTAAAATGCTGACAATCTGGAAGAAAACAACAAACCTACACATAAGAAAAATAATGGCCTCTATGGTGAGTTGTTCATGACTGAGCATTCAAATCTATGAACCAAGTATTCAATGATGCTCCATGGAAAAATATTTCTTACATCTTTTGAGAATTTTCTCAAACATTACAAAGATCAACTATCCCAATAAAGGCAAATAACACTGACAAATTCTCTCTTGTATAATCTTGTTGCATAAGATTTATATTACTATTTGTTTCCATTATACTAGTTTATGGATTTCTTACATTAGAATATAATAGAATTGCAGAGTTTGGGGAGGTAATTAAGCCACTAAATTATACTTTGTAAGTGAATGTAAAGTAATAACAAGTTAAGACTGTTATCCTTATGGCTTAAAAAAAAGTATCACTCAAGTAGCTGCTAATGTGACATCCCTTTGACAAGTGAGCCTGGGCCTACCGTTTTAGGTTGTCTTTTCTAGAAAGTCTGGCCTTCCTAGTTTTTTCTCTCCAGTTCTATTTGTCTAGTCTCTGAAATCAAGAGAAAACAACCTCAACAGGCTCCTAACGGGACAGCCTATGTTTTCGCATGAAAATTGTTGCAATCTTCCCAATCATTCATGATGGGATTTTCACCTTCAATATATAGAAAGGTGTAGGCCAAAGCTGATCATTTTATAGCATTTCCCCACCATATTTTAAAACCAAGGTTACAAGTCCTTCTTAAACAGCTTAAATAACCTCAAGAAAGAGAAACGTTCTCCTTCAGGCTTTGTTTCTCTGCAGAGTAATTCGATGTGGGATTTCTCGTTCTCGGCAGCCATCCCTGTCTAACTTCTTGCTCACAGCAAGGTGAGCAGTCTCATCAGCGGGAAGAGAGCAATGCCCATGTGGTCATCATGGACCACGGCTGGCCTCGGAGCCTGAAAGAGCCAACCAACTCTTGGTGGAATCCATGTTTCTGATACAAAAGAAAAGAAGGAGTCGGGTAAATAAGAAATCCCTCCCAATCTCCTAATACGATTTCTGTGGATTACAATACTCTCAAGTCCCTGTCTCAAAGAGAGACTGGAAGCTACAGAACTCCACTTTAATATCTCAGCCTGCGCAATGGAATAGATAAACAAAATATAGAATGAGAGTTTGCCAATTGCAGAAAGTAGTAGTAATGCTTGTCTATACATCATTATCATGACTGGCTGGGTAAACTGGTTATTCAGTAATCTGGTTGACTGTTACCTTCCTCGCATTCATCGGATTTCAAATAAATACTGGGATGAAGGAAGAAAAAGCCTTCAAATTGTCTGAATTTCACATTAGCCTTCTTTACAGAGCTGAAGCAAATACAACTATGTCCTTTGGAGAGTTGGTGCACACTTTATCGAGTGACAACCTAATTACCCATGTCTGACATCTGGGATCTATGAAGGTGAGGCAAGCAAAAACAAAACAATTCCTACTCTTCTCTAAGTCAATGAAGAACTGCGGCTGACTTCCCTATGCCCAGGCCAAGGGCCACAAGATGGAGATTATGGAAAACCACCACCAAAACCTTCTCCCCGTGGTAATCTCTCTATTCGGAGCAGAGGAACTCAAAAACACTCTTCTCTAAGCTAAATTAAGTCTGTGGCTTTCTAATCAGTGGAGTTATTATGTGACTAATGTGTCACCAAAAAAATTTGGTATATCAGACTTTAATTTTTAAAAACAAAAAGAATAAAGAATTTTAAATTTTTTAAATAAATACTCCCCCCCCCCAGAGATATTCACAGTTCTTTAAGTATTTCTATTGGTATCCATACAGGGGGACATGAGGTCTCTTTAAATAACCATACTGAGCTACCTGTTTTATACAGAGTAAGTCTGTAGAGCACACTTAAATACATTATTTTCTTTTCCCTCCATGTGTGCTTTTGGAAATCGGTATTGGTTTATTCCAGTTTAGAAAAATCTCCCTGGAACTAGTAACGCAAGGACAGTAAAGTAGCATCGTAACAGCAGTCTCCAAGCAATTCACCAAAGCATGGTCCCCAGAATGCTGTGGAGTCCACAGTCACCCAATGACCCCATTTAACTTCAGATCACAGAGCCAGCAAGACTGGCAGACCACTGGACTCCCTCAGGGCAGAGACAGCCAAACCTCTTTCCTGCCCCCAGGCCCAGGGGCGGGAACTAAGCAGGAGAGGAAGCTTTCCCAGGGCAGCACCAGTGCCCTCCCCTCCAGCCCCAGCACCAGTGCCCGTCCCTCCAGCCAACCTCCAGCCCCAGCCTCAGTGCAGCCCCTCCAGCCAACCTCAAGGCCGAGGCCCTGCTGGGGTCTGGGACAGGCCCAGGGGCATCATCATGGCTCCCTGTGGGCAGACTTTCCCCTGGAGATTTACAAGCAGGAATAATGAGCCAGGAGGCCTGCAGAGAGCTGCAGAAACCCCCAAAGAATTTACTCTGTGGAGAGACAAAGCCTCAGGGAAACCTTTTACTTAAAAATATTCAACAAGGACCCGTAACCTGGGCGACGGAGATGGGCAGAGAAATGAGATTCAGGAATGTAGTGTTTCTCTTCAATCCCTTGTTCAAGACTCCCATGAGTAGATCTATCTATATGGGAGTTACAAAAACAAGGGTGCCTTATTTTTGACACATGACCAAAGTAATCATTAAAGGTCGTTCCAATCAATCACTTTTAATTGCTATAGGGGGGGGGGGAATTCGGCTTCAATTTTGCTCAGTATTTGCATGCAAAAGTCTGATTCTTTTCGGGGGCAGGACCTGTTGTACTGTCATGAAATTCAAGGTACCCATGCCCCTCACATTTCTCAGTCTTCCCGGATGTCTCCTTTCCCTGACCGCTGTCTGGGTACCACCTGAAGATCCAGCCCGTCTTCGGAGGGGAGGTCAGCGGGGGCCTCGGCCCGGACCCCGCCCACACCCAGAAAGCACGGGCATCCCCGCCTCTGAGGGCTGAGGTCCGGAATGCGGGGCTCCGGCGGCGCGGGCGCTGACCAGGTGGGTGCGAGGCTGGGATGCGGACGCCGTCGTGTGCGCAGCCCGGGAGCGCGCGGAGCCCGGTCTGCGCCCTGCAGGGCCCGCAGGACCCATCGCCTGCGCGACGCCACAGGGTCCGGGATGGCCATCCCGGCCCGCCGCCCGGCCCGCGGCTCCTTACCTGCGGGAGGAAGCGCCGCCGCGGCCGCCGCACACTCAGCCCCGGCCAGATGGGCGCAGCCGGCCAGCTCCCGAAGCCCGGCCCCGCCCCGCCCGCCCGCCAGGCCCCGCCCCGCCCGCCAGGCCCGCCCCGCCGCCAGGCCACGCCCCACCCGCCAGGCCCCGCCCCGCCCGCCACGCCACGCCCTCCAGCCCGCAACCCGCCTGACTAGGCCCCGCCCCACCTGGCTAGGCCCCACCCAACCTCCCCAGGCCCCTCCCATGCCTCCTGCGCCCCGCCCCTCCCCGCCAGCGCTCGGAGGGTACCAGGGACAGGAGGGCGGGCTCCACCAGCCAACCGTGGCCCTGAAGCGCTCCTGGTCCCGCCCCTAGGACCACGTGACGGATTTCCTGGCCTCTGATTGGTGGATAGGCGGAAGTGGCTGGTGACTCTGGGATACCAAAGGCTCTGGAGGTGGTTACCTAGCAACGGGCCGTCCGCGCGCGCGGGAAGACGAGGGACCGGGCTCCGTCCGCGAGGCTCCGGCCGGCGGTGGTGAGGTGACCGCGGGAAGGCAGGGAGCCGCCCGAGCGCGTCCCGCGGGCGGAGCCGCGCTTCCGGGCCGTGTGAGCGGGTGGAATCCGCGGGCCGCGGGTCGGCGGGGCCGCGGAGGGAGGCCGCCGCCCTCAGAGGCCGCGCCCAGGGAGACGCCCGCCGCCGGTGACTGCTTCGTCTGTCACGGGAGCCGTGGGCGTTAGCTCACACTCCGCTGCCCTGTGCCCGGGGCGGGGCTGGATGGAAACACTCGGCGCAGACACTTCTCTTTTCGTCTTCCGGCCTCCGAAATGCCTTCACCTCCCGTGGCCCGTGCCACACTCACGGGAGAGGCCGAGCCTTCGTGGGCTGGGCGCGGAGTGTATTTCGTTTCGTTTATCCGGCGTGAAGCTGAACGCAGTCCCGATTTCTTAAAACGCCGCGGGGCCCGGGACAGAGGGTTGGAAAGCGGGGCATCTGGTCGGCCACCTTAGATTTCAGACTCCGTCCTGCCCTGACCGGGGAAATCGCCCGGACCAGGCGCCTGCCCTCCGCAGCCTGGAGTCCTCGCCTAACGCGTTCCCCGCAGGCCGTTTCCTCCCGCGGCGCTTGCTTCATTCCGCAAACCAACACTGGCGGAAAGTTTTGCCTTTCCGCACGCACAGCGCGTCAGCCTGTTAAAAGCCACCGCCAGCCCTTACAACCGCTGCCTGGCGAGGGGCAGTCTTCAAAGAAGGTGGACTGGACGTATGGATGGGTGGATGAAGCAATAAAGTAGCCCATCCTCTAGACGCCGGACTCTAGAAAAGATATAAAAGGCAACAACTTAGTATAATGCAACGTGCGAAGTTCTACAGCAGGTCACATAAACGTTCTGTGAGATGATTTCATGTGAAGGAGGGAGAAATTTTTTCTTCCAGTGTATTCAGAGAAACGTTCAATAAGAGTGCTATTTGAACAGGAACTAAAACACACACACACACACACACACACAAAAAACAGATTTTACCTGCTGGAGAAGGAAACAGGACTTACTCTGCAGCAGGACCAGCATGGCCAAGAGCACCGCGCGGGGAAGTGCTTGCTAGATCTGCCTCATTTTGACTCGTTTGCTTTCTCTGAGGAGGTGAGGATGGGGACCTAAAGATGTGAGGAGGAGAGGAAAATTTAAAAAAATTATATATTGCAATAGCCAACTAAAACCAGACTGAGAAGGACACTGACTCTATTCAGATCATACTCTGACCTCTGAACCCAGGGCTTTTTCTTGAGGAGAGATGCCTTGGAGATGTTAGAGGACATCAGGCTGCAGAGCAGGAAAGAAGCACGGTTGATGAGAAAAGTGCAGTCGTTTGTGGAAAAGATGCTGATGGCCTGAACGCAGACAGTGAAAGGGGGCATGATGAAGAGGGAAGATCACAACAAGTGTTTCTGGGAAAATAGACTCTCCTTTCCTTCTCTGACTGATTCTGTTGGGCACCACGCTGACAGTTGATAAGATACTAGGACGTGAAAAGAAAACTGGGCAAAGACCAGCCTAGCTCGGCCCATCGATTGGATAGAAAAGTCTTCTATGTCCTCTTGGTTCATAATGGCTCTAGCTCTTCAGTTAAGAATCATACATCAAAGGGAACATTAGAATTACCTGTGTATGCATTCAGCAGCTGAAGATGGAGGTCTGAGCCTGGAGCGTTATACATTTGTCAGGTCATACAGAGTGACAGTCATTTCAGACGCCCAATCAGCACCCTCCCCCTTGATTCCGATTGCCCTCATTGGTTTTGAAAGGGAGAGTCAAACAATAGCAGAAGTAGTTAGATTTGAAACCCAGAGAGAAACGCTCTAACCTAATTTCAGAGAAAAAGATCCCTAATTCTTATTCTTTCATTCAAGGAACATGGAGTGTGTACTCTCATCTTACAACAAAAAAAATGGTCTGTCACTCAGGCTAAGAGTTTCGGGCAATTATTCGTTCCTCACACAGTACAGCGAGTTCTTCATGATGAGACTGAAAAGCAGAGAGGGGAGGGGGATGAAGTGACTTTAGTCCTTCCAGGCCAGGCGAGTTCTCTGAGAGCAGTGTCTTGGAAGAGATATTCGATGCTATTCATGTGGTGAGTTACTTTTCAGTGACTATTCCATAAAAGAACTTACATTTTAGAAAAATTTAGCTAAAGGGGTTTTCGATTCACCTAAATGCAAAGCCCTCACACTATCTTTTTGTTCTTGTTAATCCTCACCCCAGGATATTTTCCCATTGATTGGTGGAGTCTCTGTCCACTGTGCCAGACCAGCTAGGGTCCCCTCACACTACTTTAATGTAAAAGTGGAAAGAGAACAAAACAAGCATGTCAAAAAAACTCCCCAAAAACCTGGACAAACTGAGGCACAGTAAATACATAGAGAACTAAATATTTTAAGACTTTCTGTAAGTGAAAGAACTTTTAAAACTTGGAATAGTTTTAAAAATATAATCTACTTTTATAATAATAATAATAATTATATATATATATATATATATATATATATACACACACACACACACACTATATATACTAGAGGCCCGTTGCATGATATTGGTGCAAGAATAGGCCCCTGGCTTCACTACCAGCCGCCAGAGAGCCAGCACATTCTGCTCTAGCAAGCCCTCACTTCCGTCTGGAGCACTACTACCATAGTTCCCTCCGCCACGGCCCTTCCCCTCATAGCAGGCTTCACACTACTCTGCCTGCATATGCAAATTAACCTTCATGTTGTTGGTTTGATTTGCATACTCACTCTGATTGGCTGTGTGTATAGCGAAGGTACAGTCAATTAGCATTTTTCTCTTTTACTAGTGTGTGTGTATATATATATATATATCTGCATACATTGAAAAAATAATGTTAACATTTTGGTTGTTATGAAATAGATTACTTATCTAACATTACTCTTTGGACTTTTTGATGTACCAAAGGGACTTAAAATCAGTTAATCAATAATTGCATAAAATTTGAGATTTTTATTGCCAGGATAATATTGATTGAATTCTTTAAAACATTTTGAGTTATAAAGTATTTAAACAGGAAAATACAGAGAATAGCACAATAAATATATATGTTTAATACATTTACCTCCTGCCATATTTGTATCTTTTAAAAAATACAACACTTTGTAGATAAAGTAAAATAGTCCTTTTTTTCTCTTGTCATGACCTCTCATTTCACTGAGATATAACTGATCTAATAGATAAACCTATATATTTTAAATGTGCTTTTTCTCTGTCACTATTTAAACATTTCATACATATTGGTGTGTGCAGGCATTTTACTTTGATTGATATGGGTCTCGTTGTAGAAGCAAACAGATGACCACAGTTTGTTCATTTACCTGTAGGTGATGCTTAAGTTGCGCAAACCTTTGCCTCCTGTGAAATGCACTCAATCTCCTTGTCTGTGGGTTTCTCAGACCACAAGGTGAGGTCGCTGGGTCATGATCATGTGTGTGCATGTTCAGGTATAAAATATACATGCAGGTTCATGCATAGCATGCATGTGTATGTTCATGTATAATGTATACATATATCTTCACCTGTAAATGTACACGTGTTCATGTATATAATGTACACATGTTCCTGTATACCGTACACATTCAGGTACAACATGCATGTGCACATCCGGGTATAACACACATGTGCATGTTCATATGTGGCATGTGTGTATGTTTCAGTATAATGTGTACACACGCGTTCCTGTATAACATGTACACATATATTGACGTATATCATGCATGTGCGTGTTCGGGTATAAATGTATGTGTATGTTCAGGTATAACCTGTACGTGCATGTTCAGGTATAACACATATTACCCAGTTCCTCTCTGTTTGCCCTCTAGCCAGCCAGCAGCCTATAAGTGTCTCGCTGCCCCATATCCTCACTGACATCATATTTTCCCACTTTTTCCAACAGACGAGTGAAACAACATCTTCTTATCACTTAAAGATATATTTCCTGCATATGTTGAAATGGAACATTCTTTGTATTTCTAAATGAACAGACAGTTCATTTCCTTTGCGTATTTTTCTGTGTTTCACTTTTCCTTATAGATTTATTGCTCCTAAATACTCAGCGTGTTCATCTTTGTTGGCCATACCCATTGCTAGCACTACTCTGAAGCTCCAGTTCTGAAAGATTCTCAATCATTATTCGTTTGAGTGTCTGTTCGGTTTTTGGGGACCTGCATTTGAGCTGGGAAATCCACCTCTTGCGTCTTCATCACTTTCCTGTCCGTGTTTTAACTGCCTTGTCCCTCTGTCTGAACTTTGGATGTAACACTCAGTCCTGGATTTCAGTTTAGGAATTCTTTCCTTCAAGTCGCTTCTACGAGGTGTACCAGGCCCTGCCCAAGTTCCCAGGACTCAGGGAGGGTTTCTGCTGAAGCCACTCTCCTCTGCTCGGGCCCGTTTCAGCCTGAAACGCAGCAGCTATGGGTTCAGTCCCAACTCATTGGTCCAGCTTTCAAACCTGCTTATCCAAATATCGAGTGAGGCTAGCCACTTTACAAT